TAATTGTCTTCAAAGACTTATAAAACTGTTTATATCTGGGGTTTTCATAGAAAGAAACTGTTAGTTGACTTACCAATCTCTTTTCTAGTAATTGGTCTACATTTTCTCTTCTGGAACCAATTTTGGAAACTTTGTTTTCCTACAGATTTCCCATTTCTAAATGTACTTCAGGGTTGCACAGCACCCTAAATTGCTTCCTGGTTATGCTCATTTCTTGACGTTCATGTCTTTGTGTCTCCTCACAAAGAAAGAGATGACCTATGTGGTACTGTTCATAGGACAGTGTGTGACTTTTCAGGCAGGGAATAAAAGACAATTTTATGGCTTTCTCCCTGCTAGACCACATGCTCTGAGAAAAGCTGCCACATATGGAAGCTCATGTACCTTGTAGAGAGGAAGTAAGGCCTCCTGCCATCAGCAATGTGAACAGGCCATTTTGAAAGTAAATTCGACAGACCCACTTAAACCTTTAAGTCATTAAATTTTGGGCAATTTGTTACACAGCAATAGACTTAATTAATTCAATAGCAGTCGCTTATATGATTCCTAATTTTCACTGATGTTTCTTATTTCTTCCCTTTTTTGGGGGTGGGGGGGGTCTGGTCGTGGGGCCTGAGCTCTGGGCCTGGGCACTGTCCCTCAGCTCTTCAGCTAAAGCTAGCACTCTACCACTTGACCCACAGCGCCACTTCCAGCTTTTTTCTTTTTGCTTATGTGGTGCTGAGGAATCGAACCCAGGGCCTCAGGCATGCAAGGCAAGCACTCTACCACTGAGCCACCTTCCCAGCCCTCTTCCTTTTTTATGACTGAATCTTTTGACTTTTCCCCTCTTTTTTGCTGGTCCTAAGGCTTGAACTCTGGGCCTGGGCACTGTCCCTGAGCTCATTTTGCTCAAGGTTAATGCTCTAACACTTGAGCCACAGCTCCACTTCAGGCTTTTTCTGTGATTAACTAGAAATAAGAGTCTCATGGACTTCCCTGACTAGGCTGGCTTTGAATTACAATACTCAGATCTCAGTCTCCTGAGTAGCTAGGATTATAGGCGTGAGCCACCAGCACCCAGCTGACATTTTTCTCCTAGCTAACAATCTACTAGTTTAGCCATAGCCCCAGACCTTTCTGCTTTAGTTTGTTTTTGACAATGACTCCAGTTTTCACCCAGGCTGGCCTCACAATCTTTTCATCTCTGCCACCTAAGTAGCTAGAAGAACAGGTGTGTATCACTATGCCGGACCTGACTCATATTTTTGATTTCTTGATATGCATGTTTTTGTTTTTACAAATTCTCTGAATATGTTTTGGTTTATGTACAAAGAAGCCCTAGGTATTATTTTATGGTCTCCCTTCTGTTCCGTTACACCTCTAAGTTTCTAGCAATTAAGAGCTATATCATCCTCCCTCCCTCTGAATTGAATCTTGTGGACTTTGTGCTGGCAGATTATTTCTATTAAATTAATTCAGCTCATCCCTGAAGATCCAACTCATAGTATGTATTTTTTTTTTTTTTTTTTTGCCAGTTCTTGGGCTTGAACTCAGGGCCTGGGCACTGTCCCTGAGCTTCTTTTGCTCAAGCTAGCACTCTACCACTTGAGCCACAGTGCCAGTCTGTTTTTTTTTCTGCTTATGTGGTACTGAGGAATCAAAAACCAGGGCTTCATGCGTGCTAGACAAGGACTCTACCACGAAGCCACAATCTTAGCCCCCACAGTATGTATTTCTGACATGGTGTACAGAATTATTACATCCTTTCTCCCTTCCTCCTTTGGGGATATGCTTTCAGTAGTCACCTATTCATAGATGTGTCATCCTTAAATCTATCTATAATTTTCTGAGAGCTTGTACTAAGAATTTATATTTAGACATATTTACACATAACTTCTAACATTCTGAGCCAGGCATGGTAATACAGACCTGTAATCCCAGTACTCAAGGGGCTGCGGCAGGAAGATTTTGAGTTCAAGGCCCACCTGGGCTACAGAGTGAGAACTTTATTAGCTTTGTACCTGAATTCTGCAAGGCTAGTATATAGCAGGCTTCTCAGACTGCAACAAAAATACTGGAAGACAGGTGCTTTAATGTGAGAGATCTGATGGTGATTCCCTTTTGGAAGCATCCTAATGTTTTCTGTGTCTTTTAAGGCTTAAGTCGGTAAATAAAGACAAACAGAAGATATGCTAGAATGTTAAAATGCTTAAAACCTGTGAATTTTGACTTCTTTTGAAAATGATGTAGGTCTCACAATTGGAAAAGGATACAGAAAGAAATGGCAAAACATGACTGATGGTCACAAAGGAATTCAATAGAGAATCAAAGTTAAAGAGACTGACAATGATGATGCAGAATGGCTGGCACCACCCTTAACCAACCTGATATAGGAAAAGATGGATTCGGCCCTCATGAAGGGAGGCATGACACTTTATGAAGGATTATTTGTGAGTTGAAGCTAGGGAATAAAAGACAATATGTGGGGTTTTGCCTTGTTCTCTCTTTGATCACATGCTCCATTGATCTGGATGCTCAAGTGGTCATAGGGAGAGGCCCACCTGGTAAGGGGAATTAGATGTCATCTGGACAGAATTCCATAGAACTAGCTCAAGACACAAATTTCACCAATTTCCTAACAAAGAAATTTTACCTCAAGATGAGAGACTACTGTTGAACTGAACTATCAGACAACTTCCTGACAAGTCTGCTTTCCTATAAGGAGAGGTCCTTTACCCAGGGTTTTTCAGGAAGAATGGTTCATTTGAATGAAATTATAATTATGCATCTAGGCTGGTTCAAAATCATATTCTAATGCCTGTAGTTATGATTCACCAGGTAATGAGGGTAGCGGACTTTAATAGCCAGTATGTGTTGGCAGGCATCTACCACAAATATTTCTTATTAGCACGGTAAGTTAGCAGTAATATATATATGGTAGATGGTGCTCTCCAAGTTTAGTAATAGGTCCTACGAGCATGCCACCAAGACCATTTCAAAGACTCTGTGATGGGACAGTATTTTCATAATGATACTAAGCTACTGTTTACCTTTTCTACTTACTAACATTTGTACTAGTCATGTAAAGCACTAGTGGGGGGAAAAAAACTCTGCTGGTACCTCTCCATTAATCAAGGCAATGGTACCAAACTATACTAGTTTGCTACCCTTTATTCAGAGTTTAGAAAGCCAGTTTCATGCCATCAATTTAGTATAAGCTAATTTTATTAAACCTTAACTGCCAAGTTCACCATTTCATAGAAACATTATAAGACACACAAACATTTTCTGTGTATGGTAAGAGTTAATCATACAACTGCCTGACTTACCAGTTGAATGAACTAGCTACTTTACTCATGAAATAGTCTCTAACATAACTTATAAAGTCTAAATATTTAGACATGAGTATGTGTTATGTGTTTTCTTTGAATTTGTATGAAACAAAAATACTTCAGGCTAAATAAGAGACTACACTTGTCTGTAATAAAATCTCAAGGTTTCAAACAAATTACAAAGCAAACTATAATTTTTTGGGGGGGGAGGGTCAGTCGTGGGGCTTGAACTCTGGGCCTGGGCGCTGTCCCTGAGCTCTTCAGCTCAAGGCAAGTGCTCTATCACTTGAGCCACAGTGCCACTTCCAGTTTTCTGGTCGTTTATTGGAGATAAAGAGTCTCACAGACTTTCCTGCCTGGGCTGGCTTTGAACCTCGATCCTCAGATTTCAGCTTCCTGAGTAGCTAGGATGACAGGCGTAAGCCACTGATGCCCAGCGCAAACTACAATTTTTGAGAACTTGTAACTGCTCTGTGAGTTTAACAGCTTTCCACGGGGCATCACTGCCATCAGTCAGGGTTCAGCTAGAAGATGTAGCTCAATCTGAAAAGGCATTATCAGTCTACAGAAATGCCACAGATGTGAGCCGTCAAAGGAGCTAACTGGAAAGGGGCTAGCAGAAATGCTGTGTAAGTGAGCCATCAGCAGAGCAAACTGGAAAGAGATTTGCAATATCTATAGAAATGCTGTATAGGTGAGCTGTCAACAGAGCAAACTGAAGCTCCCCCTCATCATCATCTAGGTGACTGACAATCAGCTGGGACTGCCACCCCATCAAGGAGAGCATGTAGAATCCTGCCTTCCCCATCACTCTGCCCAGTCTCAGCATCAAAGGTAGAGACAGTCAACGAAAGGAAGGCAGAAACTCCCTACTCAAGGTTTTAAACCCCAGATTAAAGTATAGTCACTCCTGGAAGGAGGGAGAAGAGCACTGGATTAAACCTGTGAAATTATAATGTAAGCAAATAAAGCATTTACAACTAAAATACTAAAACGAAACAGTTCATCTGCAACTTATGAAGTAGTGCAACATACCTTAAGGAGGTGATGCCCAGGTGGAAAGGGAAGCTTGGCATGGTAACTTGAGAGATGATTACCAGACAGAAATCAAAGCTGGTGTGTATTTACACCTGAATGAGTCTGAAGTAACAATGGAATGAAAGGCACTAAGGAGGCAGCTTGCTATGAACTTTTTGTATGATGGCCCTTGAATATAGAACCCATCTTATCTTTGTTCATTCTTGTTGTCTGACAAACCTAAGCAGATAAGAACCTTGCATTTCTACGTCTGGGAAGAGGCTGAGAATATAGCAAGTATTTCAAGTCACAAAGTGAAAGAGATTCCTAGGAACACAGGTCAGAGCAAAGAATCTGATGCCTCAACGTTTTCAACTTTCCCCTTTAATGACTCAACCCAAGAAGAACTCAAAAGAAGGAGTATTTGACAGAGGGGGAAAAATCATGTATTTTAGATGAACACTGTTCAACTATACAAAATGGTGGAAGTAAAATGAAGGACCTAAAGAAAGTATTAAGAGAAAAGCAGTAAAGGTTGGTCAGAGTGGGACCTGAACTTGGTTGAACATGGAGGATGGGCAGGCATGAGTGATGGACAGAGCAGAACACTCTGGATGAATGAGACAATCATGTACAGTGGCTGCGACACATTGCAATATCAATACATACCGAGACTGAACTGCGGGTAATGCTCATAAATCTAACTGCAATTAGTACAGGTTTCTGGATTAGGAAGGACATGAAAAGGAAAGCAGAAGGTTAGAAGGTACACATCATTGTCCCATTAAAAGAGAAGGTCTGACCTTTTAGTGGACAGATCTATATCCACGTTCTGCAGCACTGGCAACGAAGTACAGCTTGCCTATTTGCTTTGAATGGTAGCTTTGGTAAATGGCTTGTCCCTTTTTGCCTAGACATTAGTAAATTGAGTGAGTCAGCACTGAGCTCCTGAAATATCATGGAAAGTCTCACTTTTTAATTCTGTGGTACCAGGGATGGAACCCAGGGTCTTATACTTATGAGGCAAGCACTCCACCAACTGAGCCATACCTCCAGGCCCAAATTTCACTTTTAAGTAAAAACTGTTTTCATTTTCGGGGGGAAAAGAGATAGTACCCTCTAATGGTATGTTTATGTTTGGCATTTCAGAGAAGACCTTTCACTAACGTGGTCAACAGACTTGGTTCCGCACTTACTCTGTGCAAGGCAGCTGAAACAGTAGAGGAAGAGCCAGGGTTACTTCAGTGCTAGTTTAAGAACAAACTATGCCAAGGTGAAAGAAACCCTGTGTGGCCCCTGGAAAAGTGAGTTAACAATGTGGAAGGAAGCCTGCTTCCTCTGAGAGACTTTGAGTCTGAGTGGGTACTCACCACTACAATTTTTGCTGGGTGACAAATATGCAGTAATAAAACTTCAATGTAGGTCCTACTGATTACAATGGATTAATGTTGGATTTATCTCTATTTCTTTATGAGTCAAATGTTATAGTTCAAATTTAGTTGCAAATGATTAAGCTCTCCTCTCCCAGGAATATTGGTAAGATCACCAAAAACGACATGGTTGAAGGTAGAAACAGATAGAGGAAAAAGTAGAGACAAAAGTTAGGATAAGGTTAACTTTTCAGCTCAAGGCTAGCACTCTACCACTTGAGCCACAGCACCACTTCCAGTTTTCTGGTCATTTATTGGAGGTAAGAGTCCCAGGGATGTTCCTGCACGGGCTGGCTTTGAACCGTGATCCTCAGATCTCAGCCTCCTGAGTAGCTAAGATTATAGATGTGAGCTACTGGCACCCAGCTTTCATCCAATTACTTTGAAAAATCCTGCACTGTCAATAATATATACTCCATACACGTAACTAAAAATGACTAACAGATCAAATATCAGGTGTCCATAGCACCCTAACTTATTCCATCTGAAAAAGACTTTGAGAATAATCCTCATTTATATCACAAACACACTTATAAATCTCAGGAAAGCTCCATTTTTGGCCTATGATTCCATGCCATGCATCTTACCATTGATCTACGAATCAGTGAAAGTCTAGTCTTTGCCTTATTCTCAGCAAATTCCAGGCTACTGATGTCTTTGAGGCGAGCTTTATATTTATTCATTTGCTCCACAACAATCAGTTCCACACAGCTAAAACAGGAGGAAAAACAAAACTGTTAAGAGCCAAAAAAATAAATAAATCAACTGTAGCATTCACAGACTATTTTTCAACTGCTAAAGCCAGTTAGAGGATGAGGGAAAATCAATACCCCTTTATGAGCTTAGATACACTTTCCTAAAATGTATTTTTTAAAGTAAAAAAAATTTTGTCCGTTGTGGGGCTTGAACTCTGGGCCTGGGCATTGTCTCTCAGGTCTTCAGCTCAAGGCTAGCGCTCTACCACTTGATCTGCAGCACCACTTCCAGCCTTTTCTGTTTATGTGGTGCAGAGGAATAGAACTCGGGGCCTCATGCATGCGAGGCAAGCACTCTACCACTGAGCCACCTTCCCAGCCCTGTATTTTTTTTTTTTTTTTAAAGAAAAAAGGTCATCCTGAAATATTTCAATTAAAGGGATTCAGAGTTATAAGATCACTAAGAAGATTATAAACTAGATTAATGCAGTATACATTAAGTTGATGAAATGGAATTTAAGACTCAACTAGTCTTGGTGGTGCACACCTGTAATCCCTGCACTTTACAAGGCAATCGGAACACAAGTTTGAGGCCAGTCTAGGTTATACAGTGAGACCCTATCTTAAAAACCCAAAGACCCTAATGATCAATTTAAATGAATTTAAAACACCCTTAGCATAGTAATATCCAACCATGTCTTAACAATCTTTTTAAGGACACCTGAGCTTACGATACCATTTGTTGTCGAAGTTTGGATAAGTGACTACACCAACTCAAGTCCCTTAGGTCCTGAGGACAGCAGGCCTTATATGGTAGACTTTTTTTTGTCATTAGTCATTTAACAAAACACTAGGAAGTTACATTTCCCTCTTCTTCCAAAACATGCTGAAGTTTGCATAAATGGAATGATTCTTTTTTTTTTTTTGGGGGGGGGGGGGGTGGGGTGAGTACAGTCGGCCTGAACTCTGGGCCTGGGCACTGTACCTCAGCTCTTCAGCTCAAGGCTAGCGCTCTACCATTTGAACCACAGCACCACTTCCAGCTTTTTTCTTTTTGCTTATGTGGTGCTAAGAAATTGAACCCAGGGCCTCATGCATGCAAGGCAAGCGCTCTACCTCTGAGCCACCTTCCCAACCCCTGGAATGATTCTTACAGAAGCAAAATGGTCTTTGGGGTTCAATGGATCACTAAAGCACAATAATTTCAACTACTCTCATTAGAGTTATTAAAATCATATGCTCTGATATGCTTACGTGGTAGTCTTGCTGATGTCTTGGACACTTTGTAGTGGGTCAGTGGTGTCAGGGCAGCGGAGAATGCAGGGGGCAAATACAATGGCCAGAGCATTTGCAGACATTCGGTTAGTCTCTTCCTGTAGAGCAATCCTAAGTAACAGAATAAAACAAGAACAAGTGAAAAAGGGAGAAAAGCACGTAGAAGAGATAAGAGAAAGATGCCAGGATGACTCTAGCCACTGCATCAGTGTAAAGACAACAATCAGACTTTCCCCAAAGCCATTCCCCAGCCTCTGGGAAGATGTGCTTCCACTGTGTTCCTTGAACTGAAGGAACGCTTCCACTGGGTACAGATAGCTCACACCTGTAATCCTAGCTACTCAGGAAGCTCATATCTGAGGATTACAGTTTAAAGACAGCTTGAACAGGAAAGTCAGTGGGACTCTTATCACCAATAAACTACTAAAAAAGAAAAAGTGAAGCTATGGGAGAGACCTAGCCTTCAGGGACATTGCTCAGTCCCTAGTCTCAAGTCCCTGGACTGGCACAAAATAATAATAATAGGCTTTCTTCACAGCTTCTGCCACATACTAGGCAGAGTCTATACCCCTTTAGTCTATGTTAACCCACTTCCCACAAATCAGGTTATGTAAACAGATGCCTAATTGCCGAATTAGGGCTTCATATTGCCACCGGGAAGCTGGAGCTGCTACTTGGCTCAGAGAAGAACAGAGAAGTAGTTACTAGGCAGGTCCATCTTAGCTGAAGGTTTGGGGGCTGTTAGGGCTTTTTTTGTTTTGTTTTGTTTGAACAATGCTAGGAATTAAACCCAGGGCCTCATGCATGCTAGGCCAGTGCTCTATAAATGAGCTATATCCCCAGCTAAGGCACCAATTTTACCAACGGAAGGAATCTGCTATTTAAAAAAAAAGTCTTGAAGTTACCTAACTAGATGAAAGATGAGGCGCTCAAGTGTATTCAGATGAGTTCGAGAGAGCTGGTCAATCACAGAGTACACGCCACGAATTGTTTCCTTCCTCTCTTGAAGACCTACAAACAGTAATAGTACCAAGTAAGACTGAATGCCCTCTCTCTTAGGTGCTACTTGGTCCTGTCTACACTCCTAAGAGAAGGGCTGGCTGTAGAGTCTGGGAGAGGCCATGGTACCTGGTGAGTGGTAGGTCACCACTTGGCTCCCTGTACTCATGAGCTGTCTCCTGGGTTTTCATTTATATCACAGCAGAGGATAGAGATACTCTCGTTTTTCAACCATTATGTAACAGATTGATTTCTCCTTAAAATTAGCCAACTGCCACATAAATTTATAAATTCTAGGGACTTGAAAACTAGGCAGGCCTTCAACAATATTCTACTTGGAACAATGTGAAACAAAATTCCACACCTGTTAGGCCTGGCAGGCAGACAGCTTTATACAGTTCCTGCCTAGATTCCCAAGTGAAATGATTGTCAGCTTATCCTTAAATTTATTTAATCTTCTCATCTGCTTTATAACCTTCACCTTTCAATTTCTTTGTGAGAAAACTTTTAGAAAACCACCTTGAGCCTATAAGCAGTCAACATTTAAAGCTGGTCATAGTGACCCAGGACATGTCTGAAACCCTAGCTTCTCAGAACATGAAGATCAGGAGGATCAAGACCCCATCTCAACCAACAGAAACACTAGTTGCAGTAGCATGAACTTGTCATCCTAGGTATGTGGGAAATATAAGTACAAAGATCACAATCCAAGCTGGCCTGGCCAAAAAGTGAGACCATATTAGAAAAATAATGAAAACAAAAATGGGGTGAGGGCATGGTTCAGGTGGTAGAGCACTTGCCTAGTAAGCACAAGGCTTTGAGTTCAAATACTGTAAAAAAAGGGGAAAAAAGCCAACATTTGAAGCCTATTATTTAGAAGATTTCAAGTTCTAAATTTCCAGGCCAGCCTTGGCTACACAGTTATACTTTGTCTCAAAACAAAACAAAGCCAACATTTGAATAGGTGACAGTATACTAGCAGTTTTGCATTGAGTATCAAGAATTTATCTTAGGATCTGTAAGGGATAAATGACTAGAGGGTAGTCTAGTAATGGATACTAAAGATGGCATTCCCTTCTCAAGTAACCCAGGAAGCCTTACCCATAGCTCGAAGAAATTCTTCATAAAGTTCAAAGGTCATGAGTGGATTAGGCAAATCACGAAGCCACTGTTTGAATACACTTGCAATGACATGTATATTATAGTCATCTAGGTTCACACTTTCAGCATCTATTTGAGAAAATACAGAAAAGGCCAAACATATACAAAAAAAGATTCAAATATTTACTTCTAAAAAAGCCTTTTTGTTTTTTAAACTAACCAAATATAACTTTCCACAATCAAATGCCCTGCTTTGGAACAGTTCTTCTTACTGTGATAATGGAACACTGTGTGTTGGTTTTCCAAATATGTGTGAACTGAAGTATGTAAAATAAAGGCTCATATATTTTGAGGCAGAAACATCAAACTACTGCTAATGTTTCTAAATGCCTGCTAATTTTGTACTGTCTGCTTGTGTACTGATCCATAGGCCACATTTTGAGCAGCAATACTTTAAAAGACAAAGAGAAAAAAGCCTGAGACATTTCCTACAATCGGCCACTCTTAGAGGTGACATGAATTTAAGTAATGGGAAAGAAGTACTGCCATCCTGTTTCACTTCATGGCAGGCAGGTTAAGTTTATACAGACTGGATACTGGAAGGATGACTTTCATTTGTGCTGCTCCAAGGCTCAAGAGACAAAATTGACATCTGCCTGTAAACTGGATTAGACCAATTTCTGGCAGGTGAGCCTTCTGCTTGAGTTTTACCAAGCTATCATTTCTCATTGATTTGTTACTAAGAAGTGGCATTATGGGTAGCTGGGTTCTTAGCAATACAAAGACAAGCGAGGAATCATTCTTTTCTAACCACAATGAAACAAAGCAGCTGTGAAAGTAATCAGTGGTAATCTCCCGCATATATTCCAGGAGTGAAATCAACCCAGTCAAGTGTCCCATTCACTTTTGGTCTCTGTAACTAAGTCTGTACTACCTTAGATTATGGACTCAGGGATACAGGATAAATTCTGACTTGTCATTTACTGGTGCTGAGTAGTTGACAAGATCTTCTCTAAGCTCCAGGCTCTTTTCATAGAACTATTGTGAAAACTATAAAAATCACTTAGCAAGGCACAGCAATGGCAGTCCATTATTAAATTTCCCTGGACTTAAATTTTCTTCTTCATGAATTGTAAGATCTACTGGGTTAGTAAAAATATTGCGATATGCTTTCAGTACTTAATGCTTTGTACAAATGACATACTCAGTATGTGTTGGACAAATTAATCATCTTTCTCTAGAAAGACACAGAATGACAAAGACCACATAAAGAACTATATTCTTCTAGCTCTAATTAACAATCAATATGTAATGAAAACTTGAAGAGCCTGAAATACTTATGCAAATGCAAGTACCTGGTATAATTTGGAAAGCACTGTATTACCTGTATCTAGACCTTGTCGAAGCTCCTTGATTTTATTAGTAGACCCAGACTTTCGGTAAATACCTTCTGTATAAAGTCCATGCATTTCAATGTAGTTTATAAGCTTTTCCACCACTAATGGAACAGTTCGGTCCTCACTAGTCAGACGGGACAGTTCAACCCCAAATTGTCGAGAAGACAGCTCTGGATCATACTAAACAGAAGATAATGTTTGTTTCTAAATGTATTCAAACATCTTTAAATATGCTTAGCCAACTTTTTAAGAGAATTATTAAAATTTGGAGGAAAAGGAATTATGATTAAGTAAGAATAACTGAGATGTTATTTTTAATCCAGAAATCCAAACAAAATGAGTGGAGAACAGTCAATGGGGCTGATACTTCAAAATCTTTTCAAAAATCTCTCCAAGCAAAGGTGAACTCAGTATGGGCACCATAAGAAAACCCACTTTTTTGTGTGTTGATTCTGGAACTTGAACTCAGTGCCTTACACCCATGACTGGTGCTCTACCATGTGAGCCAAGCCTCTAGCCCCAGCTTTGTGCTAGTTACATAAATTGAGATAGAGTAAACGAGTAATCAACTCATTTTTATATGAATTAGGATTTTCAAGTAATTCCTGAAGCCTAAGGATGCTTCAAAGATAAAACTTCACACAAGTTGAGCTGAAACTTGATTCATAACCAATGGCAAAGACTACACAGATGGACCCATGTTCATCTGTCATAGGATGCAGGGTTCAATATGAACCAATATCATTTTCATCCTTACTGAATGTTTTTCGGAACCAAGTATTAAAACTTCACCATCAGAAGAGGCTTATTAAATGGTTAGTTTCTGTACTTCCCTAACAGACAAATGATGAAATGATTCTTTAACCATTGTGCCTCATGGCTTAAGAGTATACTTTAATATTAGCACAGTCATACCGCCTTTCTATGGTTAGTCTTTACATACAGTATCTATTTTTTTCCTTCAAACTTTCTATATGATCATAATAAGTTATCTTGCTCATAAACAGGATATACAATTTTTTTTGTATGTGTGTGTATGGTGGGGGGGAGTCCTGGGACTTGAACTCAGGGCATGGGCATGAGTGCTGTCCCTGAACTTTTTGCTCAAGTCTAACACTCTACCATTTCAGCCATAGCTCCACTTCTGGCTTTTCTTTGGTTATTGATTAGAGACAACTACCACTTTCCTGCTTAGGCTTGCTTCAAACCATAATCCTCAGATCTCAGCCTCCTGAGTAGCTAATATAGATGCCACCAGCACCTGGCTTAAATTGATTTTAACTTAATTTTATTTGGAGTATTTAGCCTATTTAATGTAAATCACCAAAATATTTAAATTTTTATCAGTCTGCTGTTTCTTTTTGCCCAAACTGTTTTATGCTTTTCTCATTGCCTGCTTTTCTGGGGGGGATAGGGGAAGAAAAGAAGGTATAGGACTTTGAATTCAAGGCTATATGCTTACTAGGCAGCATATTTGAGCCACATGTACAGCCATTTCTTGCTCTGATTATTTCTGAGATATGGTCTTGGTTCCCACCCCGCCCCCTCCCCCTCCATCCCAGCCTGGACCATGATCTTAATTTCAGCCTCCTTCATAGCAGATGAAGGAAAACACATGAGTGCCACTGTGCCCAGCTACTGATTGCGATGTAAGTCTTGAAACCTTTCTGCCCAGGCTGATCTCCAATCACAAATCTTCCTGATCTCTGTACCTCAAGTAGCTAGGACTGCAGGTGTGAGTGTCACTGTATCTGACTTCTTCTCCCCATTCTACTGTTTTTAGTTCGTATATTATATATATGTATATATATATATATATATATATATATATACATACATATATTAGTTGTTTATAATACTTAGTTGTATATTTAGTTTTATATTTTTACTACATTTTTAGCACTTACTTCAGCAATATAAACAATGTTTATGGGTTGTTACAGAACTATTTAAGTAGTTTATATCCTCTTGGCTCAACTTTGGTAGGTCACATGCATCTAGAAATGCATCCATTTCTTCTAGATTTTCTATTTTATTTGAATACAGACTTTCAAAGTATTTCCCATGAACTTTTGGATTTATTAGTTATAGGATACAGCAACTATTTAAAAATGTTATTTCTGAGCTAGGCAGCTCTTCTGCCCAGTAATTCTAGCTACTTTGAAGGTAGAGTCTAGAAGGATTGCAGTTTCAGGCCAACCTGGGCAAAAAAGATCACAAGACCCTACACCTCAACCATGCAGTGGCACATACCTGTCAAGACAGGTACAAGGGAAGTGTAAATAGGAATGCCTGGGCATAAACAAGAAATTATATTTGAAAATTAATGAAAGCAAAAAAGGCTGAGGATATGGCTCACGTGAAAAGAGTGCCTTGTCTAGGAAGCAAGGTCTTGAGCTTAAAACCCAGAACCATCAAAAAAATAAACAAAAATATGTAGAAAAGGTAACTATGGCCAGGCACCAGTGGCTCACGCCTGTAATCCTAGCTACTCACGAGGCTGAGATCTGAGGACTGCAGTTCAAAAGCCAGTCCGGGCAGGAAAGTCTGTGAGACTCTTATCACCAACTAACCACCAGAAAACCAGAAGTAGCACTGTAGCTCAAGTGGTAGAGTGCCCGCCTTGATCTGAAGAGCTTGGGGACAGCTCCCAGGCCAGCATTTAAGCCCCATGATCGACCAAAAAACAAAACAAAACAAAAAAACGAAATAGTAATTATGCTGCATGCTGCTGTTTATTTAATCATGGCATATGACTTTAAGGATAATTCCTAAGATGTCTGAAAGCAGTGTTTTCCAACTGTGGTTTGTAAAATAAAAATTCAATTTCACATCACTTATAATAAAGGTAAACAGTTTTGGAAAATCAGCTTATTATATATGCACATTCCAACTTATATATACTGAATCAAACAAAACTGTGACTTCATAGGTTCTCAGGCTTTGATTTCAATTTCTTCCTGTGGGACAGAAGAGACTTACAGACTTGATGTTTATTGAGTGATAGCTTCTCACCTTTTTAGAGCACTTGGCTGTGGTTTTCAGACAACACTTCTTGTGACAAGCATACTTACATACTGAAAAACAGGTTAAAAAGGAAGTTTTACAAGTCTGCAAATCAATGACAACTTTTTTCAAGGTTACAACTTCATTTTGGATACACGTTTTTTCTTTAGATATAAGACTACTATAGTGTCACATATAAACTGTGCTCTTAGCAACTAAAAAAGAAGTTTAAACTGTTCTGTGGGGGAAATGAAGTTGAAATAACATGTCCAAATATTTCTAGTCAATATCAATGGGAAGCTTTTTCTTTCAAAATCACCTGTCCTGCTCCTACACTTACCCCTCACCTCCAAATTCCAACATGATATTTATCTATCTATGTGGTTTGATATACAAATAAGCGCTAGATGCTCACAGTCCACTAAAATGCCAGATACACCTATTAAGTATCTTTTCTATGGGTAAGAAAGGCATTACTGTCAAAGACCCTTAAAAGAAGAGGAAACAATTGGGCAGTATCTTAAAATATAGAAAAATAGTTACTTGTTATCTCTAAATGCTCAGAAATACTATGAAAAAGACTATGAGATAGTAAAAATTGTGATAGGGAAGATGAAGTAAAGAAGAATAGATTCAGGAAGTGGCAGATTCCCACAGAGGCTGGGCAGAAGGTGAACAGGAAGGCACTCGAGGAGAGGGCTCTGAGAACCAACTCCTTCCTAATTATCTCCTTTTTTTTTTGGTCCGGTCCTGGGGCCTGAACTCTGGGCCTGGGCGATGTCCCTCAGCTCTTCAGCTCAAGGCTAGCGCTCTACCACTTGAGCCACAGCGCCACTTCCAATTTTTTTCTTTTTGCTTATGTGGTGCTGAGGAATCGAACCCAGGGCCTCAGGCATGCAAGGCAAGCGCTCTACCACTGAGCTACCTTCCTAGCCCCCTAATTATCTCCTTTATTCTGTTCTGGCCCACTAGTAAAAGCCAAGTCTCCTAGAATAATCGATGGCACTAGATGTATGGAATTTTGAACTGGTGATGTATGGGATTATGAAAGTAGTAGTTCCACTGTAAGCTAGAAACAAGTTAGTCTACAAAGACTTTCTACACACATTTTAGGATCTATATATTCTGTTGGGAAAGGATTATTATAGAACAAGATACCTTTTGAGCTGTAAGCTAAGAATTCTATGCATTGATCCATCCAGAGGTCTGCCTACAAATATTTACTATAACAGTGAAACTTATGACAAATATGCTTCCTCATTTTGTTAGAAACCTAGAAATTAGTATTTAAAACAATTTCAGGTGGAGGTATGTGTTATAAAAGACTATTAAATCTGAGTTAGAGGATAGCTAATTAATAATGATAGCAGAATAAGAGCTCTTTGAAAAGCTAACATGTTAGTGGAGACCAGAATTAACTAGATATAAAGTCATGCTAAAATCTGGGAGAAAAGCATTTCAGGATGACTGAGCTGCAAGTACAAGGCTGTGACTGAGTAATATTAAAATATCTTGTCTGGACATAAAGAGTATAGACAAGAGTCAAGCAGCGTGAATTTACTGTTTCTTGTTAAAGAGAACATTAGAAAACTTACACTTGCAAACAGAAGCTCGGTCCATTATCCATATTAAAGAAGAACAGTATTCACAGTATGTAGGAATGCTATATTGGGTAGCCTTGAAGATGTGGCCATTGTGTTCTTCTACCTGCATAAAAAAATTAACTGTTTATAATAAAGGCAATACAGTAAATTCTGCCCTATTGTAGTTAAGCAAAGGGGACTTCATTCTCTTAGAAGGACAATTATCCTCTGAGAAATAAAATAGTTGGTCATCAAATAGAGAAAAATTTGGGGGGGGTTAGTACTACTGAGTCTTGAACTCAGGACTTCATGCTTTGCTTTGGCTTTTCCACTCAAGGCTGGCACTTTACCACTTGAGCCATATTCCACATGAAGCTTTTTGCTGGTTAGTTGGAGATAGTTTCATCCTGAGAACTGAGACTACAATCATGTGCCAACATGTGACAAAAGGAGATATTAGTCAACATTTTTTGAAAATCTATTTAATGTCTGGCTTAACAAAAGATACCATAGAAAAAAGATAGCATAGTCTCCATTCTTCTTCTGCCCTCAGCTATTGTAGGATGCAAGTCAGTTTGATATATAAAGAGAACCCAAGCGCACAAAGATATGAACTGGAAAATGCAGTACTATTTCTTTTGGTGATACTGAGATTTGAACTCAGGTTTCAAGCTTATTAGGCAAGTGGCCTACCACTTGAGCCATGCCTCAACCCATTTTAATTTCATTTTCAGATGGTGTCTCATATTTTTGCCTGAATTGCAATCCTATTTATGCCAACCATGTACCTGCGAAGTCAAGGGCTTTAAACCATGCTAGTTTACTGGTTAAGGTGGTATCTCTAACTTTTTGCAAGGACTGGCTTCAAACTACAATCCTCCCCATCTGGATATGAGTTTCTTGAGTAGCTGGGATTATAGGCATGTGCGACCTTTCTGGCTGCAGGATTTTTCATTTATGGGGCTGGGTCTGTGGTAGGGCCTGAACTCTGGGCACTGGGCACTGTCCCTCAGTTCTTCAGCTTAAGGCTAGTGCCCTATCTCTTGAGTCACACAGCACCACTTCTGCCTTTTTTCTGCTTAAGTGGTGCTGAGGAATCAAACCCAGGGCCTCATGCATGAGAAGCAAAGCACTCTACCACTGAGCCAACTTCCCAGTCCCTGCAGGAATACTTTAATAATCACTTCAGACAATGTTATTACACCAAAAGTTTACAAATGATAGTTTTTAAATTCAAGTATACAACCAACAAATATACCAGTGAACTCTTATGCCGTGTGACACCTACAGTTCTTGGCTTCATTAACATTTAAAACTTTGCATGGAGCTCATCTATAATTTCAGCTACTTGGGAGGCACGCAGAGGTAGAAGAATCACAAATTTGAGGAAAGCCTAGGTAAAGCCAGGGAGACACTTCCTCAGACACCAATTATAACCCAAAGAGCTAGGAGCATGGTTCAAGTGGAAGAGTCCCTGCCTAGAAAGCAGAAAACTCTAGCTTTAATCCCCAGTGCCACCAAATAAACAATCTTCACTTTTAATGAGCTTTTTTTTTTTGGTCAATTGTGGGGTATAAACTCTGGGCCTGGGTGCTGTCCCTCAGCTCTTCAGCTCAAGGCTAGCACTCTACCATTTGAGCCACCACACCACTTCTGGATTTTCTGCTTATGTGGTGCTGAGGAATCGAACTCAGGGCTTCATGCATACAAGGCAAGCATTCTACCACTGAGCCACCTTTCCAGCCCCACAATCTTCACTTTTAAAGATATCACTAAGGAAAAGAAAGAGTAAGCCACAGATCCAGACTGTATTTGCAAATCACTTATCTGATAAAAGGCTACTATCCAGAATCACAGTAGGATGACACAATTAAAAAAAAAAAAAAGAATACTAAATAAACATCTCTTCACATAAGAAAAATAGTCAATAGGTACACAGAAAGATGCTTCACCTCATTAGTCCTGAAGAAAATTTAAACCTATAATGTAAAACGTAAACATGCAGATATGTAAACAAGAATATACCACAGCATACCAACCAGAATTTCTTTAACCAAAATATGTATGCATACATGAAATGTTGTTGAGGTTGTTAGGAGTTCTCTGGGCAACAGGCAGCTTCTAAAAATTACCTTATAACCCAGAAATTATACCTTCATGTTTACAGCCAAGAAAACAGAAAACATATGTTCATAAAAGCACTGTACGAGAATGTTCATAGCAGCACTATTTATAACAGCCAAAAATAGAAAACACCCAAATGTCTCTCAACCGGTGAAAGGATAAATAAAACGTGGTGGAAAGGGTTAAGAGTATAGCTGAGTGGTAGAGTACTTGCTTATTCAAGGGCCCAGGTTTGAACCTCAGATCATCATCACTAAGAAAAGGCTAACTACTAATATAACAGCATGGAAAAAACACAGAAATATTCTAAAAAGTCATGTGCAAAAACTGCATGTTATATGATCCCATTTTCATGAGCTTTTCAGAAAAAACAAAAATACAGAAGATCCGTTTAGAAAAGAGATCATATTTGTACCATTATGAGAAAGATTTTCAGTTTTCTGCCATTTTAGGAAGGCAACAATAAAAACATTTTTCACTGAATTTAGAGCATATCTGTCATTCAAAATTTTTGTACAAATTTGTGGAGTACCTTTTTGTTTTTTTTTCCACTCAAGGCTAGCATTTTTCCACTCTGAGCCACAGCACCACTTCTGATTCTCTGAAGACTAGCGCTCTACCACTTTTGAGTCACAGTGCTGCATCAGGTTTTCTGGTGGTTAATTACAGATAAGAGTCTCATGGACTTTCCTACCTGGACAGGCTTTGAACCTTGATGCTCAGAGCTCAGCCTCCTGAGTAGCTAGGATTACCTATTCTTAAAAAGTATCTACAGATACATATGCTTGAAGCCACTTAAAAGTCTACGGTTCCTTTTCTGTTACTTAAAAAAAAAAAAAACATTAAAAAGGTTCACTTACTAAATCTGTTTCTTTTTTCCTTCTTTTCTTTCTTTCTGTTTTTGGCACCTGCCAAGGGGTAGAGAGAAACACAGAAATTGAGATAACAAAGATTAATATAACATTTTACTTCTTTGCAAATGTCAAGAACTATCTGTTCTTAAGTAATAAATATTCCTCAAGGACTGTGCAGTACTAATGGCCACAGAACGGCAGAATACTGCTGTTTGTTCTAAACCTCACTTCCGTCAAGAAGCCACACCATTACTTTATTAGCTAAATAGCTCTAAAAAACTATCTACCAGCTTTCTGGTAGTACCAAACACAAAAAGTGTATCACTTGGAAAATGAAAAAGCTCTTTTCCAACCACAATACAGAATAATCTAAACCTCTTCCTTTAAACCCAGAAATGCACAAAATAAAGACCTCAACATATCTATAACATAACTGTCAAGGACTGCTTCTCCTTAGAAAATGATTTAAGATGTTTGTAAACTTGCATTCCTATAAACCAGACTATCTGCAAACACAATACAGCAAAATCCATACAAAACACTGAAGTTCCTCTTGATGTAAGCAGAAGCCTCACTGTTCCCTGGGGTAATGAGAAGAAACCCACTTGGGACTTGACCAGGCTACAATGTGGATCTCATATTAGTCATTTATTTGGTAGGGCTAAAACAGAATTAAATAGCAAACAATACGATCCGAGTTCATAACATGCACTTAGAAAATCAAAGTTGTTATCTAGATTTCCTGACACACACATTTTCTTACAAACTAATTTACGAGTCCTAACATAAAGGCCACCAGATAAAACAATGACTTACATACTTAACAATTGTTTTTCTAAAAAGAAACATGGGTTCTGATCTCTATTAAAGCTGAGAACATAATCTTGAGGGCCCAAAATATGTATTAACTCTCATTTTAAACTAATTGCATAAGTTGAAAGTCTTGAAAATTTTACTACAAAAGAATGGAGTGTGGAGGATGCTAAGTGATGATAAATGGACAAGTTTTCTGAAATGATTTTCTGAAACACAAGATATCCTAAACAGACTTTCAAAAAACTCATGATACAATCCCTTTAGAAATCAAAATAAAGCATTTCATATTTACCTTTGTGGTTGTGCTGTCTGCAGTCTTGAATTCATTCATGTATTCATCTAAAAACACCTTAAAAGTGTTGACCCAAACTCTAACTGGAGATTCACTCCAATCACGCTGCTCAAGCCTCATAGTCTTTTCCAGAATCTGCTCAAAGAGGGCATAGAGGTCTTTGTATCGTATGCTTTTCCCATCATCCATCTAATAAGAAATAAGAGAAGAACTGTAAGGTTTTATGAAGCAATTCCTTTTTTTTTTTTTGCCGGTCATGGGGCCTGTACTCTGGGCCTGGGCGCTGTCCCTCAGCTCTTCAGCTCAAGGCTAGTGCTCTACCACTTGAGCCACAGTGCCACCTCTGGCTTTTTCTGCTTATGTGGTGCTGAGGAATCGAACCCAGGGCCTCATGCATGCAAGGCAAGCACTCTACCACTGAGCCACCTTCCCAGCCCTGAAGCAATTCTTTATGTACGGAAGGTAATGAAATTTTGGTAATTGTTACAATAAAGGTCAAGGCCTTGACAGTTTTCCTAATGAACATGCCCAAGAGGTCATTGCAGTATGGAATGGAAGCAAAATAAAACCATAGCAGTATTAGTAAAAGACTCAACAGTATAAACAATGCAGTAGTGAGCAAGTCCTAAGCATTGCTTTCTGAAGTCTGGATTTGGAATTTAATTTATTTCTAAAGATTATTTGCAACCCTTTGAATAACTAATCTCACAAATGAACCTTTTTTAGACAGTTCTACTCTAAAATTAAAAAATTTTTACTTGGATTTCTGTCTAAAATACAAATTAGATAATATTTTCTTTTTCTGAAGAAGAATGACATGCATGTTGCAAACAAATCTAAATGGAACTCCTTTTTTAAATAAAATCTGGAATGGTTATAAAAAAGAAGAGATTCTAAGTGACTAAAAGTTTATACACTTAAATTTTATTTTGTTCTCATCATATTTAGATTAGAGATTGGACATTTTTGATACAGTGTTAGAAAACAACTACTAAGCATATTTTCTCTTCCTGTGTGATTCAAAGTGCACTAAAGAATCTAACACCCCTGAGTTCCCAAACTAGGAAATACAGGTACAAAGCAGGTAATGAGATGCATGTTAAAATATCTGGGCAGAATTAGCAAAAACCTGTCATTTCTTAAACCTAATAATTTGTCATAAGCTTATTACTTCTGTACGAGTCTTGAAATTCCTGTTAGCTCAAACTCCACAGCTCCTGTTAACAGTAAAAAAAAAAAATTTTTTTGGGGGGGGGGTCCGGTCGTGGGGCCTGAACTCTGGGCCTGGGCGCTGTCCCTCAGCTCTTCAGCTCAAGGCTAGCGCTCCACCACTTGAGCCACAACGCCACTTCCGGCTTTTTTCTTATATGGTGCTGAGGAATAGAACCCAGGGCCACAGGCATGCAAGGCAAGAACTCTACCACTGAGCCACCTTCGCAGCCCACACTAAAAAAATTTTATGCTGAGAAAAGTGTAAAAAGTAGAATAGACATTATAGTTTTCCTGACTTCTTTTCATTGTGAATTAAAATTATGCTGAACAAAAGAAAAACCCACTTATGAATTATTTTATAAAAAGTATGTGAGTTCACAAATACTGATTTAATATTTAGTATTATTGTATACTTTAATATCAAAAATAAATTTTTGAAAACATCTCAACTGTCATGTGAAAGTACAGAGTAAGTGCAAAAATGGTACATGCTGATAAAAAGAATTCAGTGACCACACACTGCCTAAGTCCAGGGGGGAAGAATGCATAATATATTCCATATATACAGCTGAAAGAGTTGTTAGAAGTCTAATACTAGAGAGCAAGTAGGCAAAACAAAATCATATCTAGAATATACCAGCATCTTAGTATGAGAAAAATAAATGGGGGAAGGGAAACCCCAAGAAATTCAGAGACAGTATTAATCTGAGATCTTAACATACATTTCCTCAATTATCCATAGAATAAAATCAAAGAACTGGATAACTCTCTCATTGTATATGGCTCCTACAGTATCTTCTAGAACATCATCAAATTATTCATATGCTGAACTACAGTGTCTCCCAACATGGTGTAACTTACCGCCAATGCAGATGAATAAAAGCTGAAGATATTCTGTCGAAATTCTTTTAGGGCTTTTTTAAATACAACATCTACTAGTGTATCCTTTTTGCTGTCCTCATTATCTAAGTCATTCATCTGGGGATCATAAGAAGAAACGAACACAATTAACTAATTTGAAAGAGGGAAATGTGACAGCAGAAAGGTGTTGTATCTTTAACTGTTCTGAAAGTAAAAGCCATCTGATATATTATCACTGCTCAATAAGTTTACACAATCTAACACCGTATGATTCTACAGTTCTGTTGCTAGAAAAACTACAGACATGCAAAGACAAACTTATAAAAGGTAATGTGATAATTATAACAAGTCAATAGTAAAGCCTAAATGTTAAAATTGTCTGCCTAATCTGACAAATACACATCCTATCACCTCAACTTTCTCATCTGAAAGAGAACAAACTACCTAGATTACTGAAACACATGTCACCATCATCTCTAGAAGGGTAAATACTCTGAATCCAAAGATGCTCAGAGGTGTAACTCAGCAGCAAAGTGTACCTTTTTCAGAAGAAACTCATCCATGCTTTTTAAATCACTGGCACTTGCTATAATTTGGATGGAGTCATTTTGCCAGTGCACAGAATCCACAGCCACACTGCTGATCTTTACACCCCGCTTGCGCTTTGCCTTTGGGGAGGGCTCTTTGTTCTCTTTGAATTCCTTCCGGCAACTACCAGGCAGTTCTGGACTCAGAGGAGGTGTTGGATGATGCTGAGCTAATTCTACAATTGAAGACAGAGTATCCAGAAGGATGTAGTAGTTAGTAAAAAAGATCAATCATATTCACATGCTTAAGTTCCTTTGGAAAACAAATGCAATTATCAGAAAAGTAACATTCAGTCTTCACAATGTTCAAGAAAATGAATTAGAGAATAACTACTTTTTTGGAGGGGGTCCAGTCGTGGGGCCTGAGCTCTAGGCCTGGGCGCTGTCCCTCAGCTCTTCAGCTCAAGGCTAGTGCGCTACCACTTGAGCCATTGCACCACTTCCAGCTCTCTCTCTCTCTCTCTCTCTCTCTCTATATATATATATATATATATATGTATATATATATATACATATATATACATATATATATACACACACACACACACACACACACACACACATATATATATACATATGCACACACACACACACACACACACACACACACACACATATTTTTTTTTTTTGCTTATGTGGTGCTGAGGAATTGAACCCAGGGCCTCATGCATGCAAGGCAAGTGCTCTTCCCAAGCCCCTAGAATAACTTCTTTTTAATGACTCCCAACATGCTGAGGGGATAGAAGTACAACATACAACCACACTAACACACTAAATACTACTGATCGAGTTGTAGCTGTGCTGTATGATTTAATAAATTACCAGGCAATAATAAGCCCAACAAGCAGTGGAGTTTGAAAATTACTATTTTTTTCTTTATGGTCTACAACATGACTATCAGTGGTATTATCTGGTGACAGCTGGAAATTTGTAAGGGAGTTAGGTAACATCTGGCTTATTTTTGCTTGAGTATCTTTAATATGCAGGATCTTGATTTTCACTTAATTCCTGGCCTAGACTGGCTTTGTACATAGTACTGAAAAGCACAATTTTTATCTGTAACTACTTCCATTGGGAAAGATTCCATGCAGCCCACTCATCCAGAAGCAGACTGGCTTGTGAAGCCAGGAGAAAATGGTGGCTCTCGGTTTCCCAGGCTTCCTATACATTCTCTCACCCTCTGACACCTCTGATAATGAAATAAATGTGTCTCCCAGACACTAAGTGTCACTTCTGGCAGGAATTAAACTCAACCTCAAATATAACACTAGAATAAAGAATATAAAGATACAAGTACATTCAAACTGATAGTAACTGATTCAAATTTCGTTATGTAACTTAACAAGTACCTTATTACTTCATTTGGAAAAATTAGTATTATATTATAAAACAATAGTTTTTTAAAACTTGTCTATAAACTCACTGTAACACTAAAAATAAGGAAAATATCTTGGACTAGGTATATGACTTAATGGTAGAGTGCTTGACTAGCATGCATGAGGTGCTGGATTCAATTCCTCAGTACCACATAAACAAAAAAAAAAAGGGAGGGTAGGATATATCTTAATAAATTTTTATCTAAATATAAATAAAAGCCTATAAATCCTAACTTTTAAATGCAGTAAAGTCTACTTATACATATTTTAACTGATAAGCCTTAGACTTCCTGCTTTTCTTGGGAATCTGCAGTGAATGATGTAATTAAAGAAAATGAACTTAGAACAATTACTGATCAGACAAGATATTAAGAAAATGAACACCACAGTAATTCATCCGTGGTGAGGAATTCAAAGTTCTCTAAATTAATCTTTAGCATCTACTTTATTACCAGTTTTATCCACAGAAAATGGTCAGCTGATAGATACTAAAAAGGAGTCAGATTATACCTTTACCTTTCATCAGAGCTCACAGCTGCCTCTGCTACAAGCCCATCTTCTCCTATGTAGTTTGATCATTTTTTCTCATATACCCCAACTTTCTCCATGAGCAGGTTTTGTCTGTTACAAGTGAGTCTATTCTCTTCCTAAAAGCGAAGAGATCCTATGGCCTCTCTATTTTGGTCCCTACCACATTCCTCACCTCTGATGTACATCCATGTTGAAGGTTACAGACTACATAGGAGCTAAAAAGAGGCACACCTGAGAATGGGATGGGGTAATCTTCTAATGCTGGGATTACTGGAATTATGGGAGAGTTAGTGCTCACTGGTGGGTAGTTTCAGATATGTTATTATTCATGCTCCCTCAAGCAAAAATATTAGCTACCTCATAAAGTGCAACCAGTAGGTACACCTAACAACTACAACAGTGTTAAGAGATGTCTAGATTCAGTTATTTACTCTTCTAATTACTTTTGGGGGGGGGGGGCAGTTGTTGGGGCCTGAACTCTGGGCCTAGGCACTGTCCCTCAGCTCTTCAGCTCAAGGTTAGTGCTCTATCACTTGAGCCACAGCACCACTTCCAGCTTTTTCTGCTTATGTGGTGCTGAGGAATCGAACCCAGGGCCTCATACATGCAAAGCCCAGCCCTCTTCTAATTACTATTATGTATATCAATAATTGAATTTTGTTTGCCCTGGTATTCTTATAGATAAATTAGAATTAATAATGATACCCAAGAGAAACTTGTCAGAATAAAGTGAGCTAATCCATACTGATATGCTTAGCACAATACTACATGTAGAAAGTACTCAAAGTTGATACTCTGAATTACTGCTAATAACAAATATGATTTAAATCAATGATGGCTACTTTTCACAGTTTTGAAGATGTCTTAAGATTCATAATCATTCTTTTTTATCAGTAGTGGGACTTGAACTCAGGGTCTGGGCACTGCCCCTAAGCTGCTCAAGCACTCTACCACTTGAGCCACAGTGTAACTTCTGGCTTTTTCTGTATATGTGGTACTGAGGAATTGAACCCAGGGCTTCATGCATGCTAGGCAAGCACTCTTCAACAAAGCCACATTCCCAGCCCTCACAATCATTCTTGAAGGGGCTCATGCTCTATTGTGTTATGCCACAGAACTTTGGAACATAGAGTTACAGTGTAGTGTCACTTATTAACTAAGGAAGCTTTTAACAATCCTGGTCCCTTATCTCATTAAAAAGTCCAACAGGATTATGGTTTTGAATGACAAAGAAATAACAAACTTTCAAAAGAGTAAACAAACTACCACACTTAGTCTATTTTTACCATCTGGAAACTGATGAGTTGGAATCACATCTGAGCTGGCAAAGAGTGCTGCAACCTCTGATTGGGTGGCAGGTTTTACTCTAGTAGTCTTTTTCTCTCCTTGTTTTCCTTTGGCCCAGAATCTCATCTTAGCTCTCTGAGGTCTTAAAAAAAAAGGATAAAATCAGCATGTCCCAGCAACACTTAAGTATTATCTGAAGGTTTATATATTGTTCATGCATAGTAATCTACTTAACCATTGCATTTAAATTTAATCATAGTTAGCTTTTAGTTCTGCATTTAAACCCTCACAGGGAAGGTGGTTCCTATTTTTTTCTTCCTTTTCTTTGTGTGTAGGGAGGGTGGATGTTAGGAGTGTGGATTGAACCCCTGACCCCTGCAAATGCTAGGCAAGTACTCTCCCACTGAGCCAGCTCCTCATCTTGAATACAGAAGGGTAAAAACATAAACCAGAGAAGTTAAATGATTTGCTAAAACAAAACATGTACAAAGCAGTGGAACTAGAGGATTCCAACTCAGGCTAACTCCTGAACTAGTGTCTCCTTGATCTTATCTCCCATGCAGCTTGGATTTAACACATAACAAAGAAAACACTGTTAAAGAAGAGACTGTTAACTATTATCCATTCTAAGAACCATTACTTTCTTTCACTAATTTCCAGTCTTTATGGATAAGCATGCCAATTTTTACATCTTATAATCATCTAAAATCTTTCTTCTTTTTTCAGCAGTACTGAGTTCAAGCCCAGTACCAGAACAAAACCATAACAAAACAAAAAAAAAAATTCCTGAAAGTCTTTCTCTAAAAGTGCTTATATAATGTACATCAAAAAATTCTTATTTAAAAAATAACAGTTCCTACAAAATCTCTTAAAAACAGAAATTACTTTCTGAACGTCTTTCTCTACAACACTGGGTCAGAATAGAACCCAAGACAAAGCTCAAACATATTCTACTCTCTTTTTTATTTAATACATTTTTTTTTATTGTGAAAATACCATACAGAGGAGTTACCATTACATGGGCAAGGTAATGAGTACATTTCTTTTTTTTTTAATTATGAAAATACTGTACAAAGGGGTTACAACTACATGGGCAAGATCTACTCTCTTCTTCATATTTTAGTTCTCTTCTTTTACAACAAAGACCACAAGTCATATGACTTAGAGATGTCCCAGAAATCATATTGCTATATTCAGAGGGTAATATATCTTGCTGTATATACCCTGAACTATTATGTGTCTATATTATGTGTGTGTGTATGTATGTGTGTGTCTGGGCATGTGTGTAAAACTGATAACTATTTCTTGACAAATCAGCAAATGAACTTAATTTCAAAGTTCAGTATTTAACTTCAGCCCATTTTTAAACAATGCTGTATTACCCCCATTAATTCTATGCATACTTCATACCTTATATCTGAATCAGAAGCCTTCTGCCTTACTGCCAATTTTGTAATCTCTCCTTGAGACAAAGTTTTATGAAGCTTTGTTTGTTCATCAACTGAAGAATATCGCTGTGATGTCTGTAATAATTACAACAGATTTTTAAAACCAAATAACTACATGATAGCACTATAATTAAAACTGAGCTTCAGATGTAATTAACTATAGATGTTAAAATATAAAAAATAAGCCAGGCACTTATACCTGCAATCCTAGTTACTCAGAAGGCTGAAATCTGACATTTTCATTTTGAAGATCGTGCAGGCAGAACAAAAAACCCAAGACTCTTACCTACATTAACTAGCAAAAAAGCCAGAAATGGAGGTTTGGCTCAAGTGGTAAATTACCAACCTTGAGAAAAAAAAGCTAAGAAGTCTAAGCAAAAGCACGAAGCTCTGAGTTTGAGTCCCAGTACTGGGACCAAACAAATAAAATTTAAAAATGCATTCATGTTCTATTTAGAGATTAGCTGAAATAATAGAAACTAAATAAAACTCTGCTATCTCTTTAATGTAATGAGAAGGACAGGTAATTTGGGTCAATGAGGATGCTGGATAGGACCCATCTAGTTCATATTCTGACAATGTAACAAAAATCACAGGTGGAAAGGGAAGAAAATGGTCACACAAAAAGACCCGGGACAGAATAATCTTGGAACACTCAAGGGTTGTCTTTCATATTTCTTCTGATGTATGCCAAAAGGTACTAATTCTTTTTATGAATTAACTTACAGATTTTTTTATTATACCCAGTTAAGGTTACTATTAGAGTCTTATTATATCCAGGCAAGGTTTTTAAAAAGGTACGAAAAACCAAAGGACCAAAGAATAAAGGTCACTAACATTACTGATGTTCTAAACTATATACAATTTACAAAACTTGAATTAAAAATCTCATTTTTTTAATTTTTAAAAATTGTGTGTGTGTGTGTGTGTGTGTGTGTGTGTGTGTGTGCATGCACGCGTGCGCACTGGTACAGACCAACAGCAGATTAGACAGAAGAAAAGACTAATGAAATGATGAATCTTTGAGCTAGCAGAACCATGTTTCCTCCCCAAACTAAGATTTCTTATTTCTTCTTCTAACCAGCTTAGAATTGTTTTCAGAGGTCATGTGGCTAGATCTAGCACACTCAGATAATGTCCCTTAGTCCCTTATAAATCAGCTGGTTTGGAACTTTAATTACATCTAGAAATCCCCTTTACAACAGAATCTTGATCAATACAGTGAAGTAGAGCCAGGAATCTATGGAGCCATCACATAATTCTATGCAAAGAGATAAAGAGATTTGAATTAGACAAAGCGTGTCACAGAGGCTTGTACTGATTTAAAATAACGGCCAGAAAGAGAAGATTCACCCTAAGTGTAAAAGCCTGAAGAGAACCAACTTCTGATATCAAGGTTACATAAAGAACTAAGGAAATTCAGTATCTCTGAGCTCTTAGTAATTAATCTTCTATGGTAAGAGTTAATTTGATTAAGTGTAGAAATTTCAACAAAAATATTTGATGTGAGCATTTAAAATATTTAACCATGGGGTAAACATAAACACAAAGGTAAGCCAGGCACCAGTGGCTCACACCTGTAATCCTATCTACTCAGGAGGCTGAGATCTGAGGATCACTGTTCAAAGCCAGCCTGGGAAGGAAAGTCTGTGAAACTCTTTAACTCCAATAAACCACCAAAAAACCGGAAGTGGTGCTGTGGCTCAAGTGGTAGAGCACTAGTCTGGAGCTAAAGAGCTCAGGGACAGTGCCCAGGCCCAGAGTTCAAGCCCCACTACCAACCAAACACACACACACACACACACACACACAAAGATACACACATAAAAGGTAGAAGTTATAGTAAAAGAAAATGTAGGAAATGGCACTGTGCTGCTACTCTTGAGCAAAAGAGCTCAAGGACAAACCCCAGGCCTCGAGTTCAAGCCCAATAAATACATGCCCCCCCCTCCCCAAGTAAAACTAAAAGCTCTAACTGTGTGCTGATGGCTCATACCTGCAATCCTAGCCACTCAAGAGTTAAGATATAGAATCATGGTTCAAAAGCCAGCAGCCATGAGAATCTTCTATCCAATTAACTGCCAAAACACCACACTAACCTTGAGCACAAAAGCTCAGAACAATGCCTGGGTTTTCAGTTCAAGGACCAGGATGGACGGATGGACACACGGACACGGACACACACACATGCACACACGCAATGCATGCACACACGCAATGCACACACACACACATACGCACACACCCTAAATGTTCTGACAATTAGCTGGGCACCACTGGCTCATGCCTGTAATCCTAGCTACTCAGGAGGCTGAGATCTGAGGATCAAGGTTCAAAGCCAGCCCAGGCAGGAAAAGTCCGTGAGACTCTTATCTCCAATAAACCACCAGAAAACCGGAGGTAGCACTGTGGCTCTAGTGGCAGATCACTGGCCTTGAGCTGAAGAGCCAAGGGACAGCACCCAGGCCCAGAGTTCAAGCCCTAAATAAATAATAACAGATTAAAAAATTAAAAACTCAGAATCAGAAGGGAAAAGAGAAAGATTCACTGACAATCTGTTACACAATATGAATTAGCCTATTACTCATGAAATACTGACTAATCAGCTTGATTCTGATGGCTCACATCTTTAATTCTAGATACTCAGAAGGCAGAGATATGGAAGATCTTAGTTCAAAAAGTCTGCAAGACTTCATCGCCAAAATAACCAGCAAAAAGTATGAGGCATGGTTCAAGTGGTAGAGGACCTTCCTGGCAAGCAAGCCAAGGAAGAATACAGGTCTCAAATTCAAGTCCTAGTACCTCAAAAAACAAAACAAAACAAAACAAAAACCACCAAAAGACTAATGGGCAATCCCAGACAATCAGCCTTGGGAGGCTGAAGCAGAGTTTGAAGTTACTTGAGCTAAATAAGGAGATGCTCTCTCAACAACTAGAACAAAAAACAAAGTAAAAAAAAAAGCACCAAAAACTTTAACTAGAAAAAAAGGCAACAAAAGAAAATCTTGGCTAAACATAAATTTTTAAGTACCTTTAAAAAAGTACCAAAGGTAGCTAATAAAACAAAAATACATTGCTTCCTAAATAGGAAAAGAATTTTTTAAAACAGCAAAGAAAACATACAATGAAATAAAACAAATTTAATGTATCATACAATAATTATGTAAAATAAAGATGTAACTGAACTTTCCAGTTATATCAATAAGTATGTTTAACTTACCTATGAAAAGAAAATAACTTTTATTTAATTCAAAGTAGGACCCAAATATACTATGCAAAAACCACACACTCAAATCAAAGGGATCTAGATAGACTAAAAAGTGTAAACAAAAACATTCTAGGCAAGTGGAAACAGCAGTCAAACTGAAAAAAGAAGCATTAAGTGTAACAAAGCACAAACTAAAGCATTAGACGTAACACATCATTCTCAGCATGGGACTCCTCAGTATACAAGAACCTGGGAAGCTACAGAAGACCCCATGATGCACAGGTAGAGTTTATGGATGTATACTCTGAACAGATTATACTTTATCAAATGCATGTGGTCCACTCATAAAAACTGGCCAATATTAGCTAATGAAGAAAATACCAGCAAATTCTACCAAATACAAATACTTTGATTATAAGTCAATATAACTAGGAATTAACAAATACACTTAAGTACTTTTTCTCTAAAACCTAAAAACTCTTTTTATTAAACAAGTTGGGTAGAAAAGAAAGTTGAACTAAGTAAATATAAGATTCTGTATGAAAAAGAAAAACTACATACTATGGTATACAATCTATGGGATACACAGGAAGCAATGATCAGAGGGGAAAAAATCAGGGACTTATAGAAATCGATATGATAAAACTAAAACAAATGATTTTTTTTTTTTTTTTGGTCGGTCATGGGGTTGAACTCTGAGCCTGGGCGCTGTCCCTCAGCAATTCAGCTCAAGGCAAGCGCTCTACCACTTGAGCTACAGCGCCACTTCAGGTTTTCTGGTGTTTTATTGGAGATAGGAGTCTCACGGTCTCTCCTGCCTGGGCTGGCTTTGAACCGCGATCCCCAGATCTCAGCCTCCTGAGTAGCTAGGATTACAGGCGTGAGCCACCAGCGCCGGCTGAATTAAATTTCCAACTTAAAATCTAGAAAAGTAAAAAAGTAAACCAAAGAAAGCACAAGGAAATAAATAATTAAACCAAAGAAAGCACAAGGAAATAAGTAATTAACATAAAGGCAGGAACCAATGAATGAAAAAAATTGCAAAAAATAGGTATAATAAAGCAAAAGCCCTTAACAGATAAATGACTAATGTTAAAAAACTTAAACCTGGAGCTGGGTACCGATGGCTCATGCCTGTAATCCTAGTTACTCGGGAGGCTGAGATCTGAGGATCATGGTTCAAAGCCAGCCCGGGCAGGAAAGTCTGTGAGACTTTTTTTTTTATTTTGGGGTCCGGTCGTGGGGCCTGAACTCTGGGCCTGGGCGCTGTCCCTCAGCTCTTCAGCTCAAGGCTAGCGCTCTACCACTTGAGCCACAGCGCCACTTCTGGCTTTTTTTCTTTTTGCTTATGTGGTGCTGAGGAATCAAACCCAGGGCCTCATGCATGCAAGGCAAGCGCTCTACCACTGAGCCACCTTCCCAGCCCCTCTGTGAGACTTTTATCTCCAATTAACCACCAGAAAACTAGAAGTGGTACTGTGGCTCAAGTGGTAGAGCACTAGTTTTGAGCTGAGGAGCTGAGAGACAGTGCTCAGGCCCAGAATTCAAGCCCCATGACCAACCAAAAAAAATTTTTCTGAATCTAGAATGTACCACAAAGGTTCATGGGGTGAAGGACCCTCCTTCTAGAGGGGAGGCTTTAGAAGATAATCAGATTATAAAGGTTCTGACCTTATCAATGGGTGTATTCCTCATCTGATTCTATTATAGGTATAAGGTGGTGGAAATTTTAAGGGGTAGGACATCATTGTTGGACATAGGTCCTAGGAGACATGCCCCAGAAGGTATCTCTTTCCCTCCTGAAACTTAATGGCCACAATGAGATGACTGCTTCACTACAGAAATCATGAGCCAAAATAAATGTTTCCTCCTCTGTTATCTCAGTTTTTTGTTACAGTGATGGAAAGCTGACTAACACAACTATGTAACTTAATGTTAAATGCAAATCTCCAAAATAAGAAATGACAGGAAGGAAATAATCACTGAAATAGAGAAAACTTAAAGACGCTAAGAAACTAATTTCCAGGGATGAATCTGATCAAGATGCACTGTACACAAATTTGGATATGTTAAATTGTACTTGTACAACCATTTGTAAATTCAAAAAGTAAGTAAAAAAACCCCACCAATTTTCTAGACTTCCATGCAAATAATTAGAAAAGGTAGATGAAATAATTTCATAAGAAAAAATGGCTTAACAAAATGGATTCCATTAGATAAAATGCTTACAAAGATCTATTTTCCTACAAGAAATGGAAGAATTGTGCCACAACAGCGCACCATTCCACAATGACTTGAGAGGGGAAGCTTATCAAATCTTCAAAGAACTGAGAGTCACAGTCCTATAAACAATCCCTGAATTTTTTTTTTGGGGGGGGGGTGATGCATATATAAATCCAATTTGTATATTCAACACTATACCAGCTACTGTCTTAGGGCTCCTAATAGCCAATAAAATACCCAGTAGTTCCCATCAGGCAAAACCTGCCTCAAAGTCACTGTGAGCCCAGGCTCCCACAACATCCGAATATTCTTCTCTAAATCCCCCGCTAAGATGGGTTTTTCCCTTACTGTGGGGCAAGATAGATAATAAGTTATACTTCAGTTAACATATTTTTCTGGCATCTAGTGGAGTAGACACTGGAAAAACAGCAAACTCAACACAGATGAGGATTGGTTTTACAATGCTGGAGAGTCTTCTGCACAGAATATGGCTTTTGGTCTGGGTAATGATGGAAAAAACTATACAGATAAAAGTTATGTTTCTTATCCTAATTTTTTATAAAGCAATAGATATGGTTTTACTAACCCACTTATTATTATCTAAAAGACTGAGAAAGTAAAAAGTTATATGGAAGTCATTAAATATTGCTTAGCATAGGCATTATGTCATTCTTGGTGAATGTCAACACAGTAGTGTTGACACCACATAAAAGAGTATTTAAATAGCAGGGGTTGGAAGTAGGAAGCTAACATTGAAATTCTGCAGGAAGGAAACTACTACTCTTACTTTCCCTCCCTCACAGCAAGTAACAAACGATTATTAATTATCCAACTCAAGATGTAATGTTTATCTTAAATCCCATGTATATTATTTCTTGACTATAAAGGTCAGAAGGTCATTTTTGCTAAGATTTAATAACTCACTTCTTGGTAAATGTCAGTCAGGACAGAATTACTCTGTCCAGAAAAAAAAAAAAATCAATTCTTAACAATCTGTTTTTTAAAATTCAAGTCTATTTTAAAAAAACCTCTATTTTGAGAATGCAATAGATTCCCCTTAAAAACAGCAACAAGATGACCTTAAAATATCAGGTAATGTTAGAACATAGCATATTTTCAAGATAAACACATTTAAAAATTGTTCCTTCCCTCCCTAAACCCACCCACCCACCACTATTAGCATATTCTAGAAAGCAAAGCTTCTTCATGCAAGTGTCTACTAGAAACCAGCACACCACCACCTGTTCCTAGAAATAGCTGGTGATGAAAGAGAAAGGCAGTGAGGAAGTTGAGGGGTGACTAACACTGTGCAGGGAGCTGCTCTACAACTACTGGCATGCAGTGACGGTCAAGCAGGTGACAGAGGCTAGAACACCGAAAGGAGCCCAGTGCTCCAAGCAGAAAGCCCAACATCCGGTTCACCTCATCAAGATTTTCCTAATACCAAATATTCTACCACCAAAGGACTGAGGGTTGTTACAAAAGAAACTCTCAGGAACAAAACAGCAGTTATAAATGCTAAGTTTCTCATGAGCAATAAATCTATGTACTTGAGATAAATCTGTATTTTCAATAAAATTCATTTATTCCCTTACAAAGATTCATGTCTAGTTATCATATTGAAAAAAGTATTTTATTATTTGTAACTCAAATAAGGGCACCTTCACAATAGTTATTTAAGCCCATAAATTAACAGGTAATGATTAACAGGTAACCCTACATTTTGGCGTAGGTTAAGACTTGTTTCATTAAGAAAAATGTCCTTTTTCATTTGTTTTCATTTTCCCTCTCATGGAATATAAGTATTATCACTTAAAAACTGGGTTAACCTTCCACAGAAAATAAATACAATGAGAATATATTGGAAATTATAAATTTTAACTTAACTGGTACTTCAATATAATTCAAAGAGTTGGGGCTGGGAAGGTGGCTCAGTGGTAGAGCGCTTGCCTTGCATGCCTGAGGCCCTGGGTTCGACTCCTCAGCACCACATAAGCAAAAAGAAAAAAGCCGGAAGTGGCACTGTGGCTCAAGTGGTAGAGCGCTAGCCTTGAGCTGAAGAGCTGAGGGACAGCGCCCAGGCCCAGAGTTCAGGCCCCATGACTGGACCCCCCCCCCCCAAAAAAAAAAAACAAAAGCAAATTAAAAAAAAAAAAAAAAGAGTTTAAAACAGCCAAACTAAACTATCTAATAACTCAAAGATTATTATAACTTTTTTCCATAATGAACAGACACTAAAGTGACTGGAGAGCCAATTTGCAGATATCCACAAAAATAAAGCATGCCTTTAAGCGATGCTTAGTTCATAAGACATATTTGGTTCCTATATTGTATATTTTTAGAACAATTCTGAAACAAAATTCTTTACCCTAATATATCTACTTGTGACTCATACTTATCAAACCACATGTGTATCTAATTTCAGCTGAGATGATGATAAAGTTATGTTCTTAGCCAAAAATAATACAGCTTTCTTCAACTAAAATTTTAAAAAATGCCAATTTATAATTTGTGACTAATACAAATTCACAATATACATAGTCTGCTCTTTAGCTGGGTTGGCACAAGCAAACAAGTTGTGCTAGTGTATGTGTGGTGGTATGTGTAGTTGCAGACTGATGCTGGACCCTTGCACATGCAGGCAAGTACTCTGCTTCTGAGCTAAATACCCAATCCTTGATTTGGGGGATTTTGTTTTTTTGAGACAGGCTTTCTCTATGTGGCCTAAGCTAAGTTTGAATTTGCCTCCTGATGGCTGGAGTTACATGTGTGTACCACCACATCTGGCTAAATTTTTTTTTTAATTCATATTTATTTTTTGTCACTAAAAAATAAGAAAAGATGTATTCATTGTATTTTTATTAAAACAGTCATGCTCATTTGTTTATTTATTGCCTATGGCTACATCTAAACTATGGTGGTCAAACAAAGTAGCTACAACACAATATATGATCTACAATATGATATAGAATATATGATCTAACATGACCTATGGCCTTAAGAACCCCTTCTTAGAACTTTTTTTTGTTTAATTTTTTTTTTTGGTACTAGGGAGTCAAACCTAGGGTGTTATAACTGCTAGACAAGCACTTTGACATGAAATTACACCCCAGCCCCATTTTTTTAAAATGAGGCTTGAACTCTGGGTGCCTGGGCACTGTCCCTCAGCTCTTCAGCTCAAGGGTAGCACTCTACCACTTGAGCCACAGAGCCACTTCCAGTTTTCTGATGGTTTATTGGAGATAAAGAGTCTTTCGGTCTTTCTTGCCCAGGCTGGCTTTGAACCGTAATCCTTAAATCTCAGCCTTGTGAGTGTTCTTCTCCACTGCTACATATATATATACGCGTTACTGAAGTTTGAACTCGGGGCCTCACATTTACTAAAATAAGCCATATTCCCAGCCCTTCCTTAGTCCTTTTAAGATATAATTTCCATAATCTCTACATCAGAGATAATTTCAGTGCCTTAATTTTGCCTAATTTGATATACATTGACAAAATGCCCTTTACTCAAATCCTACAAGACTTAGCTTTATTTGCTGTGTTCACTGAGGTTTCCTATGTACAAACCTTTATAGGGAGAGAAGCTGTGAAGGTTAGCTTTAGATTAGCAAAGAGTATTCCCGTCAAGATTTACTTGCTGTTTATTTCCCTTATTGCTTTAAAATTACCATTTCGGAGTCACTGTGAGAGGCCTGACCCAGGCTGGATGCAGGCCCTAGCTCAGAGTGAGAAGCTTGGTCAAGGGAGAGAAGGGGCTCAATAATGTCATCGTAATCATCTTCCTCTGTATCCCCCTCCCCATCGGCAAAAGTACCTCTAGTCAAGAAATCGGAGCGCGTCCGCGCCATTCGAGCTTTCTTTTTATGGGCCGGTCTGGCAACCTGCTTGACCAAATGATAAAACAAATAACACAACAATGTTTTGGGTTTTTTTTTGTTGTTGTTGTTGTTATTTTGGGAGACGATGCCAATGAAAAAGGGCTCATGAATTTCCTAAAACTCCCTCCACCCCACCATACCCTTTTCTGCTGGTAGAAGTAACAGGTATGACCTAAAGGAACCTATATGTACATCACTGTGGACCAAGAAAGCTACATCTACACTGTTCTTCTCCACGGCCCTAAGGAGTCACATCAAAGTCACCTGAACAAGCTTCCTCCTTTCCTTAGCAACTTCTTTTTGGTAAACACAATCTGGATTTTTTAGGCACCATTCTTTGCCTGAACTATGTATTCCTAATTATAGCAGGTATACCTCATTCTTTCTCTAAAAACATTTAGGAGTAAATAGGCTGATGAACTTATCTACCTTTAAGAATAACTTCCAAAATAATGTACATCTACTTCATGTAGAAGATATATAAACAAATGTCAGTACTTACCTCTCGCTGGCCCGGCCCTGTGAACTTAGGTTTCCAGGCTGGTTCATCTTGTTTACTGACTTGAGGATTTCCACTGTGTAACGATTCCTTGTCCACACTTTAAATAAAGCAATAGTATTACATTTAAGTTCCTATCAGACCTCATGGAAGTAGTCCTAAATAATAATATGAATTACACTCTAAGAAGCAAAGCCAAAGAATTCTAGCAAATTCTTTAAGTAATTCCAGATCTTAGTCAAGTCCCAAAAGAATAAGTCAGATGTCTTTTACTTACTCCATAATACTATTATTAAGAATCCATATGTATAAATGAATTCTTAGAAACCCTAGCTGATAATCACTAGGTAAATTCTACTACAGTGCTATATGTGTAAGAATAATAGCAGCACAATTAGTTCAAGAGTAAAGCGGAGTCAATGATAAGAAATGACAAATACTGCATCAAATTCCCAACTCTTAGAAATGAATACTAGTCTTATGAGGGGCCTTTTCACTTAAAATACATAAGTGATGAGGACTTCATTGCTCTGAGATGGCTCAAGAACAACTTCCTCTTTCTGAAATCTTCTGTAACTTTCACCAATTGTTTTAGTTTAAACATGAAGATATAGCTTTAAACTATACAGAAAAACAATACAAGCAGGATAAAAATTGTTATTAGGCTAAGCCATAGAGATGTTTTAGTATTAATTTAGGAAAACATAATTTTTAGTTACCATATGGGATGACTGTTTCATCATTATAATATGTAGAGAAATATATATCAGGAACTGATGTAAATCTGAATACAATCCAATTACCTATGTTAACTCAATACCAGGAAGCTTAACGCTCATCAACAACATAGTATTAAGCTCTCTTCCATGGGACTATAAATTCCTTGGAGATCTTCTATTACATAGCATAGTATTTTTTTGGGGGGTGGTGGTGGGGAGGTCAGTCATGGGCCCTGAACTCTGGGCTTGGGCGCTGTTCCTGAGCTCTTCAGCTCAAGGTTAGCACTCTACACTTGAGCCACAGCACCACTTCTGGCTTTTTCTGCTTATGTGGTGCTAAGGAATTGCTTGCAAGGCAAGCACTCTCCCACTGAGCCACCTTCCCAACCCATACATATCATTGTATTGTTTGTAAGTACACACTAAAAATACTAGGTGGTAGGTTAATCGATCTTCCATTTAGAAGCCTTTCACTTAACTTTTTGTTGTTGTTATTGGTTGTGGGGCTTGAAATCAGGGCTTGGGTACTATCCCTGAGTATGTTCAAGGCTAGTGTTCTACCACTTGAGCCATAATGCCATTTCCAGTTTTCTGGTGGTTAACTGGAGATTGAGTTTCACAGACTTTCCTGCCCCAGCTGACTTCAAACTCCAATCCTCAGGTCTCAGCCTCCTGAGTAGCTATGATTACAGGCTTGTACCACCAGCACCCTGCTCTTTCACTTAACTTTTGTAAATGAAATCTAGAGTCATAAGGGGCTACTTTGTCCTTTGCCCTGTGCAATAATAAACAAACCCATTAAACAGATGGCAATCATCCCCAGGTAAAGGCCTCTCCAGGATATTCCTTTTAACCAGTGATGGTCAAGCCGAAAAATCCTAGTTTGTCCTAAAGGATTCCCTTTTAGCCATTAAAATTTCCTTTGCCACAGCTGACCTGCTGGTCTTTCTCCAAAAACAAAGACAACTAGTACGAGATATGCCAACCAAGCTTTTTTTTTTTTTTTCCGGGGGTGGGGTGGGGTGGGGTGGGGGAGGGTCCAGTCGTGGGGCCTGAACTCTGGGCCTGGGCGCTGTCCCTCAATTCTTCAGCTCAAGGCTAGCGCTCTACCACTTGAGCCACAACGCCACTTCCGGCTTTTTGCTTTTTGCTTATGCGGTGCTAAGGAATCGAACCCAGGGCCTCATGCATGCAAGGCAAGCGCTCTACCACTGAGGCACGTGGCTTCCCAGCCCCAACCAAGCTTTTTTAAAAAAAATTATTAATTTATTCATCTATTTTTGGTCAGTAGTGGGGCTTGAACTCTGGGCTTGGGCTCTGTCCCTGAGCTCTTCAGCTCAAGGTGAGTGTTCTACCACTTGAGCCACAGTGCCACTTCCAGTTTTCTGGTGGTTAATTGGAGATTAGAGTCTCATGGACTTCCTACCCACCCTGGGCAGTGATCCTCAGATCTCAGCCTCCTTTGTAGCTACTAGTGAGCCACTGGTACCCAGCCCCAATCAAGCTTTTAAATACTACATTTTCTTCAGCGTTCTCTAGAATTTCTTTTTTTGTTCTCCCTCATTAAACAAGTAAAACTATCAACTCTGTGCTTTTACTATTATGGTATAGAAAAAATACAATTTTTACTAGTATGGCATAAAAAGAAGACTTTTACTATTTACCTCTTTCACCTCTGTGGACCCTAGTAACCACCTGTGTACTATTTGGGAAAGACTGGATAATTCAGAAGCACAAATTTAGATAAACTGCTAAGGTCTCTAGTATTATTTACAGAACAGGATGTTTAAAATTTTACCTATAGGCTTTCATATATTCAATCCAGTATGTATGAACTCCTGGGCAGTGTCCTGGTCCACAGAAAGGAAAAGAACCTCCAAAGTGGTCACTAAGTTCAATTGCATTTCTTAATACTGTAAAAACACTCCAGTGGGGCTGGGAAGGTGGCTAAGTGGTAGAGTGTTTGCCTTGTATGCATGAGGCCTGGGTTCAATTCCTCAGCACCACATAAGCAGGGGGGGGGGAAAGCCGGAAGTGGCGCTGTGGCTCAAGTGGTAGAGTGCCAGCCTTGAGCTGAAGAGCTGAGGGACAGCGCCCAGGCCCAGAGTTCAGGCTCCACGACCGGACCCCCCCAAAAAACAAAAACAAACAAAAAAACACTACAGTGGAAAAATAAAACTAAAGTCTCTTGCTCATATTTGTAAATGGTTTCTATAAAAATCTGTATGCTATTTTATTTTTTGTTGGTCATAGGGCTTGAACTCAAGGCCTGGATGCTATCCCTGAGCTCTTTTGCTCAAGGCTAGTGTTCTACCACTTGAGCCACAGCTCCACTTCTTATTTTCTGGTGGTTAACTGGAGATAAGAAAGAGGTTCATAGCCAGGCGCTGGTGGCTCACGCCTGTAATCCTAGCTACTCAGGAGGCTGAGATCTGAGGATCGTCGTTCAAAGCCAGCCCGGGCAGGAGAGACCGTGAGACTCCGATCTCCAATAAACCACCACAAAACCGGAAGTGGCGCTGTAGCTCAAGTGGTAGAGCGCTCGCCTTGAGCTGAAGAGCTGAGGGACAGCGCCCAGGCCCAGAGTTCAAGCCCCACAACCGACAAAAAAAAAAAAAAAGAGGTTCAGAGTCAGTCCCAGGCTGACTTTGATCCACAATCCTCAGAACTCAGCCTCCTGAGTAGCTAGGATTACAGGCCTGAGCCACTGGAGCCCAGCTTCTGTATGCTATTTTTAAGTCCTCCAAGGCTTATTAAATATTCAGACTATGATATAGGTATTTTCATTTTTATTGTGAAATTTAATTTACCTCTTAAGGCATAACCTTCTTTAATTTCAATTTAATTACCCCATAAGAACTGAAAGAATCCACTGTATACAAAGACTACAAATACTGTTTTGTTGTTTTGGGTTTTTGCCAGTCCCAGGGCTTGAACTCAGGGCCTGGACACTGTCCCTGAGCTTCTTTTGCTTAAGGCTAGCGCTCTACCACTCAAACCACAGATCCACTTCCACCTTTTCTGTTTGTGTGCTACTGAGGAATCGAAACCAGGGCTTCATGCATGCTAGGCAAGCACTCTACCACTAAGCCATACTCCCAGACCTACAAATATTGATTTTAGGTTCTCCTTAAACTTTATTTTCCTCTGGAAGAGGTGAAGCTCAATGGTTGAACACTTGCTTAGCATGTGCAAAGCAAGCCCTGGGTTTGCTCTCTAGCACCACAAACAGAAAATAAACAAAAGCAAACTCCAAAACTTTTCTCATTACTGCCTCTAAGTCAAAATGCTTCCTTATAAGTACCAACAGTTAAAAGAATTAACACCTGTTTCTGTGAGTTATCTGAAGGAGGGAAACTCTTGGAAACAGAAAGCAGAATAGTGGAATAGGGGGAAAAGAGTTGTCCAGTAAGTACAGTGCTTTGGTTTTGCAATATGAAAAAGTTCTAGCGATACACTGCACAGCAATGTGCATAGTTAGCATTACTGTACACTTAAAATGGTGAAAATGGTAAATTTTATGTAATGTGTTTATCACACAAAAAGTACTGTGACAGTTATAAAGATAACTATGCCAACAGCTGTGAAAAAGCACATCAGAATCTTTAAAGCCTGGCAATATCCAGCTTGGATGTGGCACTTCATAGCTCTAGGAATATTATTACTTCATAGCTCTGGGACAACCTTCGAGATCTACAAGCTCTGCATTGCCCTTCCTAAGTGCTTCCTTAATAGGGAGAAATAAAAACCTCTGCTACCTGTGTTCAAGGATTCCTAGAATATAACTATCCAAATTCAGGGGACTAACATCTTACCTTAAAGAGAAATGACTAATTTGAGCAGCATGTACATAAACAGGGTAGAATATAAGGCATCTTAATAAAAAAAAAATTCCATGGTCCCCTCCCCCCCAAAAAAAGACATCAATAAAAAAATTCCATGGAGCTTCCCATTTATACACAAAAATAATTCACTTACGGGAAAGTACTCATATTGTCCTTTGGCGTGAAGAAAATGGCCCTTGTATTCCCCTCTCTGCAAGGGTCACTGGATTTGTGGCTGTAAGACTGAGCTGGCCTAAGGTGTTCTCTTTTTGAAATGCGATTATTCGTGAGTTTACAGGCTACATTCTGCTGAGTGCTTGTTCTTTCTGTTTTGGATAACTCGTTAACAGTACTAGACTGGCACAGACTTCCTTTTCTTTCAAAAAACAATGTGACAGGCCGGTCCTTCTGAGGTAAGTGAATAGAGGAACTGTCTTTTGGGGCAACAGCTGCACCTCTTTTAGTTACTGATGACTGGGATGGAGGTTCACCAGGTTCTCCTTTACCTGCCATGTTTAGGATAAGGAGAGAAGATGGTCTCTCTACTTTTTGCTTTGAGTGACAGAGAGAAGGTGCCAGGAGAGATTCCCCAGACCTTGGTTGTTCAACTGTCTTGAAGGCTTTACGCTCCTTCTCCAAAATATCTGTTTGCTGACGAATCTGTTCCATCATCTCCTTTTCATTCTGCTGTTGCATCTGTTTTTGCCGTTTTTCCTTTTCTGTGTTCAGCTTTTCTAATTTCCTAAGCACAGTATTGGAAGAATCTGTATTCAAAGAACCCAATTGATCTGCTGAGAAGTGGTACTTTGCAGCTTCCTTATTTATATCCAAAGTAAGAGCTGTCCTCTGTGCATCTTCATTTTCCAATAATTTGTTTCTTTGGATATTTGTGTCTAATTGGGAACTTGTTTTAAGGGGGTCTTGATGAGGAATATAAAAAAACGTAGGCAGACTATTAGAAATAAAAGACTCTCTCAGCTGGGGTAAACAGGTGATAGGTTCTGAACTGCAGACCCGCTGTTCCTTCATTGTCCCATTATTCACATGCTCTGAGTCAGGAAGTGCTCCTTTCTGTACCAGAGCAGAACTACCCCCACTTGAGGCAATGAGGGTGTCGTCCTGGGAATCTAGCTTTATACTGCTAGGTACCTTAGGTGATGGAACTTGCAATTCTCTATCTAAAATTATGGATTCTTGCTTGCTCTTTTGACTTTCCTCACAGCTCAGAAGTTCTAAGCTTCCCTGAGAGCTTTCACTATCTGGTGTACCCTGGGGAGACTGAAGGCCGTCAGGCATCAGTTCTGTAGACCATCTACGTTCCTCTGAAGGTGACACAGCACCTAGAGAACGGACCTTCAACAATTCCAAGCTAAATATAGCTTGCTCTAGTTCTCTCATTCTCCGACTCTCTCTTTTAGCCCGGCTCACTTTCTTCTGATGCAGATCCTCCAGGGACTTGGGCCTCTCTCTTACAATCACTTCTTCCTGCACGTCCACACCACTTGAGCTTTGGCCTCTTTCCTGCCACCTGCCTGGAGACTCTTTTGACAAGTCCACTGAACTTTCACGGCTAATTCGATTACTCTCCATTACAGATTTATATTCTTCTATAGCTTTTACTCTGTTGTCAAAAGAACAATCCTCCCATTCTGCAGGGTCTGAGCCCTGAATTTCCAGAGCTCCATATGCCTTGATATTCATCAATTCATGCTCTGGTTTGCATTCTTTTAGTCTTTGTTCTTTTAAAGCTTTAAACCTATATAAAAAATTACAAATATGTCTTTGTTATTACTAGAGAAAATACATTTACAAGGATTTAAAAAAAAAGAAGAAGAAAGTCATTGCCAGGTGCCAATGGTTCACACTTGTAATCCTAGCTACTCAGGAGGCTGAAATCTGAGGATTTCAGTTTAAAGCCAGCCAGGACAGAAAGGTCAATGAGACTCTTATCTCCAATTAAGCACACTACCGAGCTCCCCTCATCCCCTCACCCCGTCCCCCCCAAAAAAGCAAGAAGTGGTAGAGCACCTGCTTTGAGCAAAAAAGCTCAGATATAGGGTCTATGTTGCATTCAAGGCTGGCTTTGAATTCTGGGCTCCAGTTCTCTGCCTGAATCAGACTCCTAAATCTCTGGGATGATTAGTGAGTATACTACATTGAATTTTGAAATTTTCTTTTTATAATATCTTAGTATTTCTTACACTACTTGATTTCACTATTTCAAATTCTATTTACACAAGTCAGATGATATTTTCATTACAAGGACACACTAGCCAAAATATTCACTACCTCAAAAAGAAATCTCTCATTTTAATAATGACCTTATTTTAAGTTAATTCTTAAATGTGAAGGTAAAAATAGCTGAATGGACAATTTTGAAGATTAAATCTAATATAAAAGTAACACTCAGCAGTTCTAACTACAGATGGTGGAGGTGTTCATCCAATTTAATGTAATGAATATTTATTTAACTTCCATTATAAACCAGACAATACAGGGATTAGAGATGGTACAGGTAACAGAGTCTAGTGAAGAAAACAAAAATTGTACAAAGCAGAGTATACACAAAGTAGTTCAGAAAAGGGAACAATATTATATTAAAAATATTACCTTTGTCTTGCTCTGAATCCTCTACATGTTGACTGCAAAAGGATAATCTTGTCCCTTTGTTCTTTGTACCTCTTACTTTCCCTGTAGCCTTTCCATCTGGCCTGTATGCAGGTAGCAGCCATGTGCCTGCGCCTACAGAGCTCCCTCCATCTCTGCTGAATGATGATGGCTGAGGTCCGAAGCTCCAAGTACCGCTGCCTCTCTAAGTGGGCTCGCCAGGAAGCTTGGAGGAGGGCAGCTGCACCAACCATCACAAAAGCATCCTTCTGTATAGCCACATCTCTAACTTGCTTCAGATTCAGATACTTCCTCCAGAATCGCTGAGAAGAAAACAGAAACTGGTTGTCATGATACCATAAATAGTTACACAAAAGAAGAAAAAAAAAGATAAATTTCTTATGCCATAATTAGAGGCTAAGGTGCTAAATGGTTCATGGTTTAAAAAAAAAAGTTTTCACTCTGGTGCTTCAAGATTTTGCTTTTTGTAATGGTAGATTACCAAGGTCAAGGAAGGCATTGCCACCGGAAGTGTACTGGACACTAATTCTGCTTTACAACAGGTGCTGCAGACCACCTTAATCCACAATGGATTCATGAAGCTGTCAAAGCTACTTTACACAAACAACACTGACACTAATAGTCTATTATATTCTGGCACTCTGGTGGGTGTCCAGCATCTGAAAAATGAGCAAGATATATTCTCATCCCTCAAGTTTTATTATTACATGTTTCACAATGAAATAGTTCTGGTTATTAACAAAGGCCAAAATAAAAGTGGACACTCTCACGCTCATCTCACCTGGATGATGATAGATGCCTGTCTCAAGCGAAGGAAGTGCTGCCTGCACAGTAAGACCCTGAACCATCGCTGCAATAGTATGATTCTGCGGAGCACCTCTTGGTGAAGCAGGTCTTGTAAATGCTGCCGTTCCTTCTCCTTTAGGAAGACCTAACAGAAGGAAGAAAGACAGAGGATGCAGCTTAAGAAGAAATGAAACATTTATTTCAAGGAGTACCACTTTTGTGGCAAGCTTTTAGAAAAAAACAACTACAATGGCAAACACTGATAAATATTTCTATCAATTGAGCTATAGTAGTCACTGTCTAATTGAGAAGAATCTACTAGAATATAGGAGGAGACTGGGAAGGTGAAAAAGTACAAAAATTCCAGTCCCTGAAACTATTACACATTGTTGTTTTGGGAAAATCACTACAATAATGTCATTTTTTGAGTGTTGGAGTAAGGGGAAATTATTGAGATACACAGACATTCAAAACAGATCGTAATATAAATGATAACCATCTTCTGGAAATCTAGCATGTATTAAAGGCTTTTTATGGCCCAAAGTCATTAGTGAACTTTTCATTCTACTAGTAAATCTTCAGGAGTTGGGAGAACACAAAGATAAATGAGACATATCCCTTTGGAAACAGAATTTGCACTTAATCTTTAAGAGCTGGAATACTTGATCTCGAGGAAAACAGTAAAAGAACAAAGAATACAGATAGAAGGTCTAACCCCAGAAACACAAGGAGTTAGGAATGATAAAGGAGTCCATATAACACAGTGGGACAATTTGTTTTTGTAAAGAGAGTATCTATTTGTATGAAGGCCTTTACCAAGAGGAAAATGTTTCAGTTTAGCAAGCATGTTATCAGGGAACCCGGCGCCTGTAGCTCATGCCTGTAATCCTAGCTATTCAGGAGGCTCAGATCTGAGGATTGCAGTTCAAAGCCAGCCTGGGCAGGAAACTCTTTTCTCCAATTAACCACCATAAAACCAAAAGTGGCGCTGTGGGTCAGTGGTAGAGCACATGAGCTGAGGAGCCCAGGGACAGTAGCCAGGCCCAGAGATCAAGGCCATGATGAATTACAATAGTAACAAAAAGAATGTTATCAGGGAATTGTTACTGAGCAGAAGGATAACATAAAGAAAGTAATGTATTGATTATTTTGGTATTATGAGTAAAAGAAATGACTAAAATAAACCACATAGATGAGCAGCATTTTACTGTAAGAGTAAAGTAGATGAGAAGAACTAAGAAATAAAATGAAAGCATTAGGAATGGAAAAAAGGAGATGTGAAGAAGAATTGGAACTTCAGATGGTAATACAAAGGTGATCCTGGTTTCCAGCCTGAGAAACTAGATAATGGTGACAGAGAAAGTAGTTGAGAGATTAAAGGAAGCAGAGGAGCCTGAACAATGTGACCCTAGACAAGCTGAGTTGCAGACCACAGTAGACTATCCAGTCAGAAATGGTTTAGTTTACACTTAAAATTATAATCAGAATAACACTTGTTTTAAGTTCTGCAGTTAATGTTGACTGTATAATTCACAAAACCTTAGTTTAATCCATACCTTATGATACCTGATACACACTTTCTTTTCATAAATATTCTCATAGGCAAAATCAAGCATTATTATTACAATACAAAACAACACCTAATTTTGACAAAGGCTGTATATATTTACCATGGTTTTTCCAACTTGATAATTATCTGGATTAAGATTTATTTTCCTGAAGAAATCCTGAATGTTAAATTTGGATGGAATAATATTTCGGGGAAGAAGTACATGAAAGTGGCTTACAAAATCCTGAAAAGTAAAAAGAAAATGGAAAATCAAAAAGAAATTGTATGTAAATAAGACCATAAATTACCTGATTATTCTTTTTAAAAAATCCTTTTCTATTTCTTTTAAAACACAGTAAATAAAAAAGGTGCTTATCAATATAAAATACAAAAGGTTAATTTAAAAAACACAGGCAGGAGGAAGGATACTAAGATCTACATACTACATTATCATGGCAACAGAAGAAAAACAAAGGGCATGAGCTAATTATCCATTTTGACAAAGTTTGTGTTAAAGGCCAGAGAAAACAAGTTATTTAACAAGAATCTGAAATTTATACCCAAGAACAAAAAAGCAAAGGTGGCAGCTGAATTGCTCCTCAAAGAACTGAGCTGCTGAAAGGCCCCTATAGAATTTCTACACTCACAGCAACAGTAGCTGGTAGTAACAGCTGTGAGCCATCCTTGTAGTTCCCTATGAAAGAAAATCCTGCTGAGAAACTAGGGAAAAGCACACAGAATCTTTTCTTACGAATAGGTAACTCTGACTAAATTACTTTGATGACTAGAGAAGTCAGTTTGAAGACTTGCTATGTTAGGAGAAAATTTACAATTAGCAAACACTGGATCAAATAAGAACCGCCAAATGGTGGACTCTATTACAGTACAAACTCAATGTGCTAGCTGGCATTCAATGGAAGCAAGTTCTCTAATCCTTTTCAAAAGGAAAATAAACAGGTGGGCTCCAACGTAATATTTAAGCAAAATATGTAGGAGTTACTTAACATGAATATATATTTAAATATCATTACTGAAGTATATAACCTGGAAAGAATATTTGGAGCTGTATCCTGATTGGCAAATTCGAACTGTTTCCAGCATCCCAGTGTATCGAAGCTGTCTTAGTACCAAGGCATCATTGAATCTCAAGGGCAGCTAAAACAAATGGAACAAAGGTTAGCCTAGATATCCAAATTAGGATCCCTCTTGAAAACAAGGCTAACTTTAGAATATCTAGGGATTAACTACAGGTTACCCTGGTTAAGCTACAGCAAAAGTGATGAGACTACCTTGCCTCTCAGAGTGTAGCTTCAGAAAACTTCTGACTATCCAAACTTAAAGGAGGTAACCAAGCTTCAGGCTTCTTCAGCTGTGTAGGCACTGGACCTTAACAACTCAGTAGGAGGCAGAGGGCACCAGTGGCTCACCCCTGTAATCCTAGCTACTAAGGAGGAGGCTGAGATCTGAGGATCACCGTTCAAAGCCAGTCCAGGCAGGACTCTTCTTTTTTTTTTTTCCATTTCTGATTTTTATTTTCTTAATCTGTATTTTTTAATTGTAATCCATGGGACTCTTATCTCAAATAAACCACCAGAAAACTGGAAGTGGCAGTGTTGCTCAAGTGGTAGAGCGCTCACCTTAAGCTGAAGAGCGCAGGGACAGTGCCCAAGTCCAGAGTTCAAGCCCCATGACCAACCAAAAAAAAAAATTACAAATGCCCAGCCACGTGACAAGAGTGGGGGAGACTGATTTGAATACATTGTAAACTTGTGGAAGATACCAATGAAATCCCTCTCTGTGTAACTAATGTAAGCTAATTTTTTTAGAAAAGAAGGGAAAAAAAAGGTCTTGCAATCCACTCCCAACACAAACATATATGCACACACACACAAAGCTAAGAAATCACTTTTAAGAGGTATGGCATGCATAAACTACAGATTAACAAAAGTTTCATTTAAAAAAAAACAAACAAGTTTTTTCTGATGGAATTTCAAAAAGGTATTTGCTCCTTAAATTCAAAGAGATGCTAAATCTAATCCATACAAATTTTATAGATAGGTTAAATATGGACATTAGAAAAACAGTCAAGAGATAATGTTCATTTTCAAGATTTTCCTTATACATGCTGTCCTTTTTTACCTTTTCAGCATTAGAGCGAATGCATTTTACAAAATATGGCTCTGCTTGACCAAGTGTCTCCATCAGCTTGCTTAATGAAGCCTGTAATACAAAGCAAAATAATTAGCATTCCAGGATAGCAACAAACCTTCAGAAATATAAACAATAATGTTGGTAGGGTATACAAAACCTTTCTATACACACATAGAAGGGGAGTTCTTCTGGAAAGCAAATTGTATGTATTTCCATTCTGATTAATTTAGATAAAGGTAAGAATAACAGTTCAATCTTAAAGCTGATAGCCTGAGAAGAGATATATTTCAGAGTAATTTATTTATAGAGTAATTTTTTTTACATTCTATTAAACCATCTTATTCAAATTCACTTTTTACTGTTGTTGTTTTTTGAAAAAGACTCTTACTGGGGCTGGGAAGGTAGCTCAGTGGTAGAGTGCTTGTCTTGCATGCATGAGGACCTGGGTTCGATTCTTCAGCACCACATAAGCAGAAAAGGCCAGGGCTCAAGTGGTAGAGTGCTAGCCTTGAGCTGAAGAGCTGAGGGACAGCGCCCAGGCCCAGAGTTAGGACCCCACAACAGACAAAAAATAAATAAAAATAAAGACTCTTGCTATATTGCTGAGGCTAGTCTAAAAGTCTGCTACACAGCTCAGACAGGCCTTCAACTGACAATTTTAAGCTTCCTAAGCGTAGGTATTAGAGGTATGCACCACCATGTCTGGCTAGTCAAGCATTCTTAAGCCAAAAACATCCAGCAACATAATCAGTGTAAAGGAGTATACCCTTAATCTTAGTGTCTATAGAACATTCAATGTTGTCACCTCTTTTCTTTCCTGATAATAGTAATTTGTATCTTTTTCTCTTTTCCCCTGATGAATCTAACTGAAGGTTTACAAATTTCTTAATCTTTCAAAGAACTTGCTTTTTGTTTTATTTTTTTTCCATTAAAGAATAAAGGAAACTTTTATTCCCAATTTGACCTAATTCTGATATAATGTTTCCATCTTTCTGCTTCTTTGGATTTAATATGCCCTTCATTTCTAGTTTATTAAGGTAGGAATTTAGATCACTCTTAAGACCTTGCTTCATTTCTAATAAAAAGCATTCAAAGCTACAAATTAGTGCTGCTTTGGCTACAATGTATACATGATCCCATTTAAAATATTTTGGGGGGGGGTTGGGGGGGTCCGGTCGTGGGACCTGAACTCTGGGCCTGGGCGCTGTCCTTCAGCTCCTCAGCTCAAGGCTAGCACTGTACCCCTTGAGCCACAGCGCCACTTCTGGCTTTTTTCTTTTTGCTCATGTGGTGCTGAGGAATTGAACCCAGGGCCTCATACATGCAAGGCAAGCACTCTACCACTGAGCCACCTTTCCGGCCCCGCCCCCATTTAAAATATTTTAAAACCATCTTTCCTCTTTAATTCATGTATCATTTAGAAGTCTGGATTGTATTTCCAAAACAAAATGTTATCTTTCTTTTTAAAGTTGATTCCATTACGTTCAAATAAAAACATAGCTCTTCTTCTCCTAACTCAATATTTTGTGCTACTCCCCACAAAAAAACATTTCTTTGTATGGTTATTTTTTAAGAAAATGACTTCAGGGGTTGGGAAGGTGGCTCAGTGGTAGAGCACTTGCCTTGCATGTCTGAGGCCTTGGGTTTGATTCCTCAGCACCACGTAAGCAAAAAGAAAAAAGCCGGAAGTGGTACTGTGGCTCAAGTGGTAGAGTGCTAGCCTTGAGCTGAAGAGCTGAGGGACAGCGCCCAGGCCCAGAGTTCAGGCCCCATGACTGGACCCCCCCCAAAAAAAAAAAAAAAAAAGAAAAGAACTTCAGCTGGACACCAGTGGCTCATGCCTGTAATCTTAGCTACTAAGGAGGCAGATATCTGATGACCATTTTTCAAAGCCAGCCTGGGCAGGAAAGTCTGTGAGTCATCTACAATTAACTACCGGAAGACCGGAAGTGGTTCTGTAGTTCAAATGGTAGAGTGCTTGTCTTAAGCTGAAGAGCTCAGGGACAGCACCCAGGTCCAGAGTTCAAGCCCCATGACCAACAACAACAACAACAACAAAAAAAAGACTTCAAATTCATTACTTTTGGATTTCTAATAGATGATAATTGTGGCAGTACTGGGGCTTGAAATATGGCCCTTACATTTTCATTTTTATTGTCCGTTATGGGGCTTGAGCTCTGGGCCTGGGCACTCACATGAGCTCTTCAGCTCAAGGTGAGCTCTTACCACCTGAGCTACAGCACCACTCCCATTTTCTTTCTTTTGTTTTTTGTTTGTTTGGTCATGGGGCTTGAACTCTGGGCCTGGGCGCTGTCCCTCAGCTCTTCAGCTCAAAGCTAGCACTCTACCACTTGAGCCACAGTGCCACTTCCAGTCTTCTGGTGGTATACTGGAGATAAGAGTCCTCATAGACTTTCCTGTCCAGGCTGGCTTTGAACCGTTATTCTCACATCTCTCCCTCCTGAGTAGTTAGGATTACAGGCTTGAGCCACGGATGCCCGGCTAGTGTTTAATTGGAGATAAGAGTCTCACCAAGTTTCCTGCCAGGGCTGGATTTGAACCATGATCCTCAGATCTCAGTTGCCTGAGTAGCTAGGATTACAGGTGTGACCCATGCCTGGCAGGCACTTACATTTCTAATGTTTAAGTTTCATTTTAATCTTTTCACTCCTTTCTTTCCACTTCAACAGTACAAATGGCCTTTGCTGGCTGCAATGGGAAGTAGAAAGGCAGAGGGAATAATGAGAGGCCCAACTCCTGGAGCAGTGTCCAGACTGTCATCATCTTCCAAAAGGCTATGTTCTATTTTTTTTCTCATTACATTCATACTTCTTGTGATATCCATGACATATTTAAAAGATTTATAATATCCATTTTAAAATTAGCATCTATTATTTATTTAAACCTTGTCTGCAATTTTTAGGTCTGCTCCTAACAACCCCCTCCTGTTATGATTTAGGTAATTCCTTTTACAAATATTAGAATGGATTTCAGTGTCCCATTTACATACATACATCATGTCTAACATACTCTGATCATATTCCCTAATTATCTTCCCTTATTCTCTTCTTCCTCTTCATTTTTTGGTTTTCAAGTGATTTTTTTCCTTTGGTTTTCAAGTGTTAAGTGTTTTTTTTCTTCTGGTATTCAGTTAAATTTCTTAGTATCAACTTGTCTCTTTGAAGACCATAGACTTAAGCTTTGCAAGGACCAGGGCAGAGTAGCCCTCTATTTCAGTGCCATTACTAAGGCGTAGTCTTCTGACCTATGTACCAATAAGTCACTCCACTCACACTTGCGGGAACAGAACTATTCCTCTGGTCCTACGTAAATACCAGGAATTATATAGGCCTACATAATTCTAAAGGTTCTTTAATCAGATTCATGGAGTTTTAACTCATATATGTACAGATCATATCATATACTAAAGGAGACCACTAAATGGCTACTGTTCTGTTTTATACTATTCTGTCCCCAAATTCATACTGTTTCTTTCTGTCTCCAACTGGAAAGACCACTGACATCTGTTTGGCTTCCCTGTTTCTGAACTTTATCAAACTACTAGGCATTAATATGAGACTCTGTCCATTTCTTTCCCTTTTTGAAGCGATCATACTCATATAGTGCTTATTAATAACTGTCTAGTTTTTGTTCTTAGAGCAGAAGAGCACTCTTGTATCAGTTAAGCTTTCATGGGTTCTTTGATTTCATTTTGATGAGAGTAGCATGCATGGAATGAGCGTGCAGTCAGTAACAGAACATCCTTCTCAGCTCTTTCCCAGCTCTTTTAGCTCTTTTTCCCAGCTCTCTTTCCCAGCTCTCTCTCTTTCCCACCTTTTTTCCCAGCTCTCTCTCTTTCTCAGGTCTTTCCAAGGCCTTTCCCAGCCATGTGTAATAACAGCAGAACATAACCCATCCTAGCCCTGGAGTTTCCTCACCTCTATGATAACAAAAATAACATCTATCTCCTAGAATTCTTGGATGAAAATTTAGATAATGCATATGTGTAAATATTTAGTAACTGGCCAGGAAAATATAGGAGATTGGCCATTATCTTGGAAGGTATAGGACTTGCATGTGTTTTTGATCTTCCTCATTTTCTAAATAATCAAAACTCATTTGTCCTATAATTTGACAATGCATCAAAAACATTAAAGATGACTCATTGGTAAAAATTAGATTTTAAGTGAATATAAGTTGAGACAATCTAGAATTCATAAAGTTGGATTTTAAGAGACATACATGTTCACATATACGTAACTTCATTATATATGTATATATAACTTTATTACATATAATTTTTTATTCTGGTAAGTATATAGTACTCTTCAGTTTAAACATAACATTTGGATGCAAAGCACCAATAGAAGATCTAATGAGCTGGGTGCCGATGGCTCACACCTGTAACACTACCTATTCAGGAAAATGATATGTGAAGATGCAGGATCAAAGCCAGCAAAAAAGCTCAGGGCCAATGCCCTAGGTCTGAGTTCCAGCCTCAGGATGAACTAAAAAAACAAATTAATTAATTAATAAAAATACAAGCTGGATGCCAGTGGCTCATGCCTGTAATCTTAGCTACTCAGAAGGCTGAGATCTGAGGATCACCATTCAAAGCCAGCTGGGGCAGGAAAGTCCTGAGACTTTTATCTCCAATTAACCACCAGACAACTGGAAATGGGGAAGTGTTGCTGTGGCTCAAGTGGTAGAGAACTAGCCTTGAGCTGAAGAGCTCAGGGACAGTGCCCAGGCCCAGAGTTCAAGCTCCAAAACCCACCAAAAATAAAACAAAACAAAGTCAAAACCTCATTACCTGTATAATGGGATATTCAATTCCCAGATCTCAGCCTCTGGAGCAGCAAAGGTAGATGTGAGTCATCGATGCATCTTCAATTTTGGTTTTATTATCAACATTCTACTCTTTTTATCCTCTCACCAAAAACCGAATGAATTACTCATAGGGAAATCAACTATGCAGGGACGTGTGAATGACAAAGAGGCAAATGACATTTTTCCCATCTCTGGTACTTCTTTTCAAAATGACCATTAAAATACTCAACTGTCTCGTCAATCACATTAATCTTTCAATGAGAATCTACAAGGAACAGATTCTTATTTGGTATGTAAGTAAAAAAGGATAATGACCTGAAACTGGGCACTGATACTGGGCGGTTTCTTCTTCTTATGAAAATGAAGAAGAGACTTGGTTATGCGATCCTGTAGCGTCAGTCTTGTCAGATGCTTCAAAGAATTCACCTCCAGCAAATGCTGAAAGAAGGGAAAAACAATCTCACATATTAATTAGTCTAAGAAAAGCAAAATCCTAGCTGGGCGCCGGTGGCTCACACCCGTAATGCTAGCTACTCGGGAGGCTGAGATCTGAGGATTAAGGTTCAAAGCCAGCCGGGGCAGGAAAGTCCATGAGACTCGTATCTCCAGCAATCCACTAGAAAACCGGAAGTGGCACTGTGGCTTAAGTGGTAGAGTGCTCACCTTGAGCTGAAGAGTGCAGCAACAGCATCCAAACCCAGAGTTCAAGCCCCACGACGGACAGACGAAAGAAAGAAAGGAAAGAGAGAGAGAAAGAAAGAGGGGGGAAGGAAGGAAAGAAGGAAGGGAGGAAGGGAGGGAGGCAGGAAGGAAGGAAGGAAGGAAGGAAGGAAGGATGGAAGGAAGGAAGGAAGGAAGGAAGGAAGGAAGGAAGGAAGGAAGGAAGGAAGGAAAGAGAGAAAGAGAAAGAAAAGCAAAATCCTGGGCTGGGAATGTGGCTCGGTGGTAGAGTGCTTGCCTTGCATTCATGAAGCCCCAGGTTCGATTCCTCAGCACAACATAGACAGAAAAAGCCTGAGGTGGCGCTGTGGCTCAAGAGGTAGAGCACTAACCTTGAGCCAAAGAAGTTCAGAGACAGTGCCCATGTCCTGAGTTCAAGCCCCATGACAGGCAAAAAAAAAAAAAAAAAAAAATCCTCATAATTTGATGTTGTTGTTGTTGTTGTTGTTGTTGTGGGGCTTGAACTCTGGGCTTGTCATAATGTCTAATCTATATGTTTATTCTATGAAAGTGGTGAAAATATAAAGGTCACTAATGTTCTTCTACCATCCATTTCCTTCTAGATGCTAGGAAAGTAAATTGTAAGTTAAGAGTCCCCACCCTCTCCTGTATGTACAACGCTGGGTATGATCTTTGCCTATAAGATACACTCTTATAGAAATGAGAAAGTACAATTGAGGCAGAGGCCTTGGCTACCATTTCTATTTCTTCTGACAAATACACATGTCTAGTAGCTACATTAGCATCTGTAGTCCCAGCCTTCAGGCCCTAGTCTTGTGTGAGTTCAGAGGCAGAGAACTAGACACTGTGTTGTCACAACTGCTAGATAAATGCAGTTTAGCCCTGGATATCCCTGGCTTACAGCACACGTGGCATGTGCCTGGAAGCAGAAGGTTCTCATTTCCAAGCCTTCTCTGATTGCATCTGGGGCAATGCTATCTTACTACTCTGAAGCTTCAGGGCTTCTAATGATTTTTAAGTGACTAATTATTTGAATATAATCCTTTTCCTACTTAAATATATCTTCATTGATAACTATTATCTCCAACTGAAAACTGACTCAGTGACACAAATCAAACAAAATCCCAGGGCTACATAAGGTATTCCAGAAACACATAGGAAAAAAGCAAAGTCATTTGTCTAATCCTTTAACTAGGAAGACAAGCATTAGAGTGTAATTGTGTGTGTGTGTGTGTGTGTGTGTGTGTGTGTGTGTGTGTGTGTGTGTGTGTGTCTACATACATGAGTGCCAGTGCTGGGACTTGAACTCAGGGACTGGGCACTGTCTTTGCTTTTTTGCTCAAAGCTCTATTTCCAGTTTTTTGGTCTCACAGATTTTCCTGCCTGGGATGGCTTTGAACTGCAATACTCAGATCTCAGCCTTCTGAGTAACTATGATTACAGGCATAAGTCACCAACATCCGGCACAAATTATATTTTTAAACAGTACTATATTTTAGAGCAGTGAATTCAGAAATTGACTGTATCTACAAAGATGTAAAATAACTTAATACCATTTAAAAAGCAGTAAAGGCCTTTATGTGAAACACTATACTACATTAAGAACATGACAACTTATAGTCTAAAAATAGTAATTTACAATGTAAACATCAAAACACAAAAATGTTCAAGTAGCAAAATTTAAAAAAAATTTCAAAAACTGAAATTAAGAAAACATTTCCCATAAATAACAAAGCCTCATCTTTATATACGAAGATTTTTTTAATTCTCTAAAAGACACCTAATACAGTGACAAACAGAAGATCTGAATGGGCAATTTTCAAATGAAGTAAAAATAGTGAAGGCATAATGACAATAGTTAAATGGCATCTGCATTCAAAGAAATATAGCAAACTGGGCATGTGGCTCACATCTATAATCCTAGCAAGCAAGAGGTGGAGACAGGAGGATCTCAGTGATTTTAAGTACATCAGACTGCCAGCCAGTACACTGACACAACACAGTAAAGGTGTTAGTTAGACTTGTGCAGCTCTTGGGATTATTACCCTCCTGCCAGGGAAGTTCAAGAGAGTTACAAACAACATCTTCTTTTTTTTTTTTTTTAGGTCCGGTCGTGTGCCTGAACTCTGAGCCTGGGTGCTGTCCCTCAGCTCTTCAGCTCAAGGCTAGTGCTCTACTACCACCTGAGCCACAGAGCTAAAACTTCCGGCTTTTTTTTTCTGCTTATATGGTGCTGAGGAATCGAACCCAGGGCCTCATGCATGCAAGGCAAGCGCTCTACCACTGAGCCACCTTCCCAGCCCTCTAAACAACATCTCCTATGGTTTTTACAGCAATATACTCCAAAACAGCAAAAAATTATTAGTGGCAGACACATTAAATTTGATGAGCAGAGTATGTTTCATCCACTCTACACAACAAAAGAACCCTGTAAAGTTACAGTGACAGACATGGAAAGTATTTGAAAACACAACTAACAAAAAAGCCGTGTATATGTAATGACATGTGCAACATGGCATATGTGCTACATTTTGTAGGTTTATTACTTTATTCTTTTAGAATTTTTTAATTCTTACAAGAAAGCTCAGGTATATTCATAAAAAGTAATTTTACGTACTTGTCATACAAGAAGAAAACATAGATAAGTTTTAAATAAAAGTAATTTAGTATTGAGTCTTACAATGCTAAGCTTCCCTTCTCCTACCCACTACTAAGTAAGGGCACAAATAAAGGGCTGGGGGTGTACTTCAATGGCAGAGTGCTGGCCTAGCATGATCGCAGCAGCAACACACACACACACACACACACACACACACACACACACACACACACACACACACACGTAGTATAGATTACAGTAAGGAAATTCACCATGTGCCAAATACTACTCTGTTTTTAACTAGTGAACCTGGGTGAAAAACCAAATGAATAAGACTTCAGGGTATGTGAAAAGAAGTAGGAAAGTCAAATGTTAAGAGTTCATGAAGTTTTATGAGAATGCACAACACTCATGCAGTAATTTATCATCCACAGAGCATTTGCTCTACAATAGCAGAGTTAAGCAGTTACAACAGAAAGTACAGGACTTCAAAGGCCACGTAACTCTTTATAGAAATTCATGACTAACTCCTGGAGAAGATGGTGAGAATTTGATATTCAGATTATTATCTTAACCTGGCTCAAGGAAAATGGAAAGAATTCGTGTAAAGTGGCAATTACTAATCAAAAATTCATATTCAGCTTTTAAAAACAATTAAAACATGACATTGTCACCAATAACTACTTACTTGAAGTGTTCGTTAGGCTTGACGGTCATTACATTAGCTATTATTTATGAAACAGACTCAACTAAGGAGATACAGTACTTACTTTGGATAGAAATAGGGTATTTCTTTTTTTTTTTTTTTTGGGTCCGGTCGTGCGGCCTGAACTCTGGGCTTGGGCACTGTCCCTCAGCTCCTCAGGAGCTCAAGGCTAGCACTCTACCACTTGAGCCACAGCACCGAAACTTCTGGCTTTTTTCTATTTGCTTATGTGGTGGTGAGGAATCGAACTCAGGACCTCAGGCATGCAAGGCAAGCGCTCTACCACTGAGCCACCTTCCCAGCCCCAGAAATAGGGTATTTCTTGTTTGTGAATTATAATCAAGGCATTAAAAGAAAAAGTTTTACCATAATACTCACTTTTGGAAGAGCAGGCTTGGATTTGAAGTTTTTGTTTCTCCTATAAAGAAAAATTTTTCATCAGAAAAAAATTAATTAGCTAAGTACCAGTACCAAGCTATTCAAGAGACTAAATTCTAGAGGATCTCTGTTCAAGGGTAGCAGGGGCAGAAAAACTTGCTAGACTAAATCTCCAATATAACTAGCAAAAAGCAGGACTTGGGACATGGTTAAGTAACAGCGTACCACCACAGCATGCAGTTCCATGAAAAAAAACAAGCAAACTATAAAAATGTCAAGGTCTCTACTCAATCAGATTCAATACTAATTTATAGAATCATAGATTTCCTGTAAGATAGTATTATGTAATTCAATCAAGCAGGTAACTTTAGGAAGAAAAGGTAAGCACAGAAAAGGAAGAAAAAGATACCTGTAATAAGTCATATAATATTTACATTCCAAGCTAGTTTCATTTTCCTGGTTGTATGTAGGGCTCTCTTCATTCCTACTCTAATAAAAGATAATTATTTCTGCTTATTTTGAGACTTTTCAAATGGAATGCCTCAAAGTAAATCTTTGAAAGTGTTCTGAAAGCAGTTACCATTTTCACTCTGCGGGAAAGGGATCCAGTGACAAAAGCAGCAAGCAGATTTGGAGTAAGGAAAGAAGGAAGGCAAAGAGAAACCAAAAGGAGTAAACCCAGGAAATCACAGAGAAACAATTAGGGAGGAAGAAATAGCAACAATTGAGTTTGAAACTGGTGTCTGGCTCCCCAAGCTGGGGACAGGGAATCAGGACAACAGAAACACCAGGTAGGCCGGGCATCGGTGGCTCATGCCTGTAATGCTAGCTACTAAGGAGGCTGAGATCTGAGGATCAAGGTTCAAAGCCAGCCTGGGCAGGAAAGTCCATGAGACTCTAATCTCCAAAAAACCATCAGAAAACCAGAAATGGTGCTACGGCTCAAGAAGTAGAGCACTAGCCGGGCACTGGTGGCTCACGCCTGTAATCCTAGCTACTCAGGAGGCTGAGATCTGAGGATCAAGGTTCAAAGCCAGCCCAGGCAGGAAAGTCTGTGAAACTCTTATCTCCAATAAACCACCAGAAAACTGGGAGTGGCGCTGTAGCTCAAGTGGTAGAATGCTAGCCTTGAACTGTAGAGCTGAGGGACAACGTTCAGGCCCAGAGTTCAAGCCCCATGACCGACCAAAAAAAAAAAAAAAAGTAGAGCACTAGCCTTGAGCTGAAGAGCTGAGGGACAGCCCCCAGGCCCAGAGTTCAAGCCCCACCACCAACCAAAATCAAAACAAACAAACAAAAAATCACCAGGTAAAATAAAGATGTCTAGCCAAGGAACTGCTAAATCGGCTTTGGGAGGAAAAACAGACAACCTTTGAACCTTGCTTCCCAGTCCAAGAACTTGGGAGGCCAAGACTGATCTACTGTAAAAGGCTAGACTGCAAGAACTAGTATACTTTGGGTCCTCTGGTCCAGGAGCAAGGGTTGACACCTTCAGAGAGTTCCTCTGAGAACACAGGGACAAGAGATCACACAGCCTCACAGTACACTGGGCTACAGAACTTGTGTATACATAAGATCAGTAATGGAAAGGGAGAGCAGACAAGCCAGCAGGGAACAACAAAAGTTTAAACTGTGGGAAGCTAGGCTATGACTAGGAAGCCAGAGGATACAGGAGCCCAGCAGGCTGCTAGAGTTGGAAAGACCTTGCAGGCCGAAAAGGAAAGACACCTGAGCAGCAGCTGTAATTACCACCAGGGAAAGTACTATGGTCCAACTCAGTCATAGGAACTAAGATCTAGATGATCACAGTTCAAGCCAGCCTGGGTAGAAAAGTTTGCTAGATTTCATCTCCAAAATAACCAGCAGAAAGCAGGGCTGGAGTGGTAGTTATAAGCGCAAAGCAACCAGCTGAGCAAGTATAAGACACCAAGTTCAAACCCACATGATACAAAAACAAAAACAAAATATTATATTAGATTCACAATTCTAAATACTGACTAAATGTTTTTTATTCTTGCTTCAATCAAAATTATATCCATAAAAATAAGATAATCTTTTCATTTTTTTTCAGCCAGAAACTTTAAAGTATTCATAAAAAAGAAATCCACATTACTGATTAGTACTGACGTGAGAATTCCATGGGCTCTTTCCAGAAGTTTGCTGCTTGAAGAATTTGCAAATATTCCATCTTTATCAAGCAAGGAGGTACTACTTGGTAGCCTGCTCTGGCGAATCCCCGTTCTGACATTCCAGGCAATATCAAATGTATCACTATAAAAATAACAACATGTTTTAGCTAAAAGATATCCCTAGCAGCTGTGTTCAGGGTAGCTCAAGCCTGGATCGTCATGAGGCTGACGATCTGAGGATCACAGATCGAAGCCAGCCTCGCAAGAAAATCCATGAAATTTTTATCTCCAATTAACCACCAAAAAAACAAAAGTAAAGGTATGATTCGAATGGTAGAGTGCCAGCCTTCAGTGAAAAGGCTCAGAAACAGCACCCAGGCCCTTAGTTCAAACCGCAGGACTGGTACAAAAAAAGAAAAATGTTGTTTAAATAATTAAAAATAAAACATTAAGTAATAGACACAGGAAAAATGCTGGGCAGCACAAAATGATCTTGTCTTCTCATTCAGAACAAAACATTTCTGTGCATGGGTACAGATTCCTACACAAATATGCATGAGATAAATACATCATATAGGTGACATTATTAAATATACTATTATCATTTGTTAGTCAATACATAACAGAAAGTACTATAATACAATGGCTGTTATTATTTCCAAATGCTTCTATACAACACTGTACAATCTTAAGGTTCTACCAATCCATAGGATATCTAATTTCCTCCTGAAACCTCTGATTTACATTACACTCACTAAAGACACCCCCACCAATATTACTAGGATGGAATTATTAGTTGAGTACTGTTTTAGGCACTAAAGACTAAGAAATAACAAAACACATCAAATTATCAGTGAGTAAAGAGTTAATGAGGTCATTCCAAGTAGAGATAGTAGATATCAAGCCAGGCCGCACCAGTGGCTCATCAGTGGCTCACGCCTGTAATCCTAGCTACTCAGAAGGTTGAGATCTGAGGATCATGGTTCAAAGCCAGACTGGACAGGAAAGTTCATGAGACTCTTATCTCCAATTAACCAACAGAAATGGCGTGTGGCTCAAGTGGTAGAGCACTGGCCCTGAACTGAAGAGCTCAGGGACAGTACCCAGGACAAGAGTCAAGCCCCATGACAGACCAAAAAAAAAAAGATAATAGATATCAAATACTTTTTTATCTTTACAAAAGCCAGTAGCATAATTACTACAGAAAGCACACTGCTTCTTAGGAGCTGGATGAATAGGAGGCTCTGAGCTCAACAACCTACCTCCTTCCCTCCTCCCACCCCACTGGCACCAATGAAGGCAGTAATACCACACACAGGTCAGGAGGACACTGAAAACAGCAGAACTCAGTCCTCACACAACTACCTCTTAGGGTACTAACAAGCTGGATTATATGCTCCACAAAAAGGTAGAACAAATTTTTGTGGAGAATCTGACACATTCATTCTTGGCTCTAAAAGAATGATTTAGGGTGACCAAATGCAGCAATGGTAGGCACTGTACACTGCCCTGAAACGAACTATGCAACTTGTGGGTGGGGGTGGGAGAAAAACTGGGAGAGAACGAGGGAAATGGTGACATTGTTAAAAAAAGAAATGACCTCTTTATTGACTTATATAACTGTAACCCCTCAGTACATTACCTTTATAAAAACAATTAAAAATTTTTAAACAATAATTTAGCACCGGTAGTGATGCTATGGCTCAAGGTGGTAGAGTACCCGCCCAAGCTGAAGAGCTCGGGGACAGCACTCAGGCCCTGAGTTCAAGCCCCACAACCAATAAAAAATAAATAAAAAAATAAAAAAAATAATTTAGCACCAACAACATGGTCAGTTATTTTCCCATCTTTGTGCATAGGAAAGAACAAAACTACACTAAAATCCTCACCATTAGGTGGATTATACTCAGGAAGGAAGAGACAATAATAAGCATATGTCAAATAACAGATGCAAAGACGAAAATTTAGAACAACAGGATAAAATATGATAGGCTAATAGGGCAGTCAGGGAAGGCCTCATTGATATAGTTCCATTTAAACAGAAATGATGTGGACATGGCAGTGCATGCTTGTAAACTCAGAACTCAGGAAGATGACACAGAAGATCATGAGTTCAAGGTCAGGGTGGGATACAGGAAGTTCAAGATTATAAACAAGACCTTGTCTCAAAAACCAAAAAGTAAAATAAACTGAAAAGAAGAAAAAGGAAATCAAGACATGAAGCAGTTATGTGGAACTGCAAGTACAAAGTCTTGGAGATGGAAACACTGTTGATGAGTTTGAGAAATATTAACTAAGTCTACCAGGCTAGACTAAAAATGAGCAAGGAAAACTCAATTGCTAACCAGTAAGATTTATCTACAAAAAACAGAATAACCCTTAAATGTTTCAAAAATGTAAGAGGAATCTCAGAAGTCAAAATTTATCATCTTATTTTAAGTTATTCTGGGGAAATGTGTTTGGTTTTTTTGTTTTTTAACTGCAGAACCATTTTACCATACAAGTTTTCTTAACTAGACTTGACCTATTTATTAACCTATTCTATTAACTTGTTATTACATAACTCACAAGAAAATTACTTATGGCTTGACATTTTTCAAGTTACATGAACAATATGGACTTCTTCTACAGTTCCTTGAAAACATAAACCAAACTTACTGCTGGTTTTTTTCATTTAGAGTGTTCATGCCCTGGAGATCAGAAAGAGGTGTTCTAGGACTTTTCCGAGTTATACCTAGAGAAAAGGGAGAGGGAAGGCAAAAATTTCCAAATCAATGCCAAGAAACACTAATCATCAAACAGTTTTTCTAAAGACAATTTTTTTTAAAAAAATCAATGGTTTAGTTTTTTTTTGTTTTTGCTCATCCTGGACCTTAAACTCATGGCCTGGGCACTGTCCTGAGCCTCTCTGTGCTCAAGGCTAGCACTCTACCACTTGAGCCACAGCGCCACTTTCGGCCTTTTCTGTTTATGTGGTTCTGAGGAATCAAACCCAGGGCTTCATGCATGCTAGGCAAGCACTCTACCACTGAGCCACATTTCCAGCCCCCAAAATCAATGCATCTTAAGGCCTACATATTTACTAAATGTCAAAAACATAAAGATAATAACATGAACAAAATCCCATAATCTATCACTTAGAAACGTGATTGGGTTAACCATGAATCAAATTAGGTCCATTCAATGACTTTATGGAAAAAAACTTCCAAGTTTGATTTTATAATATTATATATTACTAAATTTTTTTCTATTTTTTTAGGTCTGAGACCAGGACTTGAACTCAGTACTCACCACGTTTGCTCACTGGTTAGCAGTCTACCAATTAAGTTATGACTCCAACCTCTGAAGTTTTCAAATATGATTTTATTATTACTTTTTCTGTGTGTCAGTTGTGGGGCTTAAACTCAGGACCTGGGCGCTGTCCCTGAGCTTTTCCACTCAAGGATAGCACTCTACCACTTTGAGCCATAATGCCACTGCTAGTTTTCTGGTGGTTAATTGAAAATAAGAGTCTCATGGACTTTCCTGCCCAGGCTGGCACTGAACTGCAATCCTCTCAGACTCTTGGACAGCTAAAACTACAGGCATGAGCCACCAGCACCTGACTTTTTAATATACTTTTACTGCCATTATTAAGGTGTTGCACAGAGGGGGTTAACATTTTATAAGTTATATAACTAGTACATTTCTTTTTTGGACAATATCACCCCTTCCTTCGCTTTCTTCCATATATTATAAAATTTTAACTATTGGTAAATAGAAGAAGTACAAAAGCTAATAGAATGCTCCAATGTCCAAAAATGTAGGAATTTGTGAATGAATATCTAAATGTACAACCTTGTGATGCACTCTATGCCAACTGGTGCTTTCCTGTCTTTGAGTTATCCATAGTAACCTAAAATACTGCTGGGTCTAGGATTGTCAGGCTGAGTCATGGAAGACAAGGCAAATGAACAACTTGAGCTCCCCCTAAATGACTTACAGGCTTTTTCAATACTATCTCCTGTATTTAAAATGATGGATAAAGCAAGGGACTAATGGCTCACACCTATAATTATAGCTACTCAGGAGGCTGAAATCTGAGGATCGAAGTTCAAAGCCAGACTCAGGCAGGAAAGTCCATGGCTCTTATCTCCAATTAACTAGCAAAAAGGCCAGAAGTGGAGTGTGACTTAAGTAGTAGAGTGCTAAGCTTTAAGCAGAAAAACTCAGGGAGAGTGTCCAGGCACTGAATTCAAGCCCCAGGCTTAACACCAAAAACTAAAAAACATAAAAAACTATGGACAATCAGAATGAAGAAACAATAGCAACAACCAAAAATAACATCAAAATCTCTCTCTTTTTTTCTTGGTGGTAGTAAGGTTTGAACTGAGACCTTCAGGCTTCCAAGACAAAAGCTCTACTATTTGAGTTTTGTTATCAATCCTTTTTTTGGCTTTTAGTCACTTATCAAGAAGGGTCTAGCATTTCTGCCCTGGGCCAGCCTCTAGACCACAATCCTCCATATGGTCTCCTGAATAGTAGAGACCACTCTACTATATACAGCTTGTTGACTTGACACAGGGTCTACTAACTTCATTGTTTGGCTGTACTTGATCTATAATTCTCCTGATCTTTGCCTCCTTATTAGTTATGAGCCATCAAAGATGTCTTTTTTTTTCATTGAAATACTTACCTTAGTTCTTTCTAAAATATCATTTCTTAAAATATATTACACATTTTTTAAATATTAAGACCAGTAAGTAAGGGAAATGTTAAAAAACTTACAACATTTTCTTTTACAACTTCTATATTCTTCTTTCACTGATACTGGATACTAAAATTTCATGCAACCAGATAACTGGGAAATTAGTAACCTAAATCTGTGACAGTTTTACAAAAGCTCTTAACAGACTGTGTAGCTCTGTCGGTAGACCCAGATTACTAAATTTGGCTCTGAGTACTCTGAAGGATTCATTTCTTCTCACAACAGAAGTAGCTTGATCATTGTAATCTGTTAACACGCAAAAGAACCAGTTTTCATGCAGAAAGAATCTAGTCTAAAGAGTAAGGGATGGAATGGAAACCAAATGCATCTTTTACACCAATTTTGTGAAAAGTAAACAAAAAAAATGTGCATCATGGTTCTGTTATTTTTCCTTAAGCCAAAAAATAGATGTGACTGCTTTGCTCCACTTCAGACTGGAGAACTACAATTGGTGTAAATGGATTTACCAGTGAAAAACACCATCAGCATTCCAAAGTTAAAATCCCAGCAACCAGCTGGATAAGAGAAAACTTTGGAAGTGTTAGATATAATCATTCAACCATTTCCTAAGTGCCTCTATGTTTTAAAACTCACCAAATTGTGCTCTTTGCATAAGTTTATTTTACTTCAATTACATTACAATGGCTTCTTAAAAAAAGCAGGAAATTATCATTATTTTTATCTATGACTCAGATACTTAAAAGTCACCAAATGATTTTAAACAAGTACAATTAACTACTGAGTTATCACAGGCAAACAGGACAGCCACCCAACTCAAACAGGCATACCAGCAGCTCAAAAGAAAGCACTAAAAATCTCAAGGGAGGGGCTGGGAAGGTGGCTCAGTGGTAGAGCGCTTGCCTTGCATGCCTGAGGCCCTGGGTTCGATTCCTCAGCACCACATAAGCAGAAAAGAAAAGCCGGAAGTGGGGCTGTGGCTCAAGTGGTAGAGCGCTAGCCTTGAGCTGAAGAGCTGAGGGACAGAGCTCAGGCCCAGAGTTCAGGCCCCACGACCGGACCCCAAAAAAAAAAAAAAAAAAAAAAAAAAAAAATCTCAAGGGAAATATCTAAGATGGTCTGAAGAACCATGGAGGCCATGCTGCATATGTAGTCTACCAAGCCATAGAATGCCCTTGGTTCCCATTTCCATATGGATATGCGACAACACAGAGTGATTAGAATTTGTAGCCTTACTGTACTTCTCTTCCTTGCACCTCTGCAGAATCTCTAAGCTTCTCTGGTGGACTGGGTGTTGGAGGAAGCTAAAACTATCCATACTTTTCAAAACTGCACATGGCGCTGTATCATCATGTCCTTAGGAAGCAAAAGGGGGAAAACGGAGAAAAGAAAAAGACATTATGTAAGCCCAAACCAAAATAAGAATAAAGACAATGCTGCCAACTATCTTAAAAGTTTATTAATAAGTCTCAATGGATAGATACTAAACGTGATTGATTTATCCAATTAACCTGAGGATATTAAAAGTCTTTTTCAGATAATTCAATGTCTTTATTACTACCAAAATGTTAAGTCATTCTTTAAAACTTCTAAAATTAAAACATTAGGGACATTTGAAAAATAATTTGCATAATTTAGCTATTTATAAAAAAATGAGTCACTGGTACTGGGTCTGAAATTTTGTTAGCATATAGTTGGCAACATTGATGAAACCCTGAAGAGAAATATACCCAAAATAATTTACCAAAAATTTTAACAGCTCTTTCACAAAACCTGCAATTAACCACACTTGTAGGAAATTCCAACAAAGTGTGTTGATCAAAGTGTGAAGAAAAGCACCAAAGAGCAAAGAAACCAAAGAAATCTGAAAATATAATGGAAGCCTCTCCTCCTCAAACCACTTCTTACAAAAATGAGACAGAAATCAGCCACCAGTGGAAAAGGGAAGAGAGCACACTCAAGTAGACCAAAGCCCCAGATTAGAATCACTTCAGCAACAGGGGAAAGAAGAGGGTTCATGTTGTATACATTTAGCAAAACAGACACAGGGTTTCCAGACTTGGGTGGAGTGATTCTTTGAGTATTATTTGCTCAGAGATCACATATAGAATTAGGAAGTAGTGTTCAAATTAGAATAGTTTTGTCTTTAAAAAAACAAAGCAGCCAGGCGCTAGTGGCTCACACCTGTAAACCTAGCTCTAGCTACTCAGAAGGCCAAGATCTGAGGATCATGGTTCAAAGCCAGCCTGGGCAGGAAAGTCTATAAGACTCTTTTTTTTTTTTTTCAGTAAGACTCTTATCTTCAATAAACCAGAAGTGCCACTGTGGCTCAAGCGGTAGAGCACTCACTCGCCTTGAGCTGAAGAGCTGAGGGATAGCGCCCAAGCCCAGAGTTCAAATCCCACGACCAACCAAAAAAAAAAAAAAGGCACATAATTTAATAATAGGGACAAATTAAGCAAAACATAAAGGAAGAACTCTAATTCCATTAGTGTACTTTACTAAAAAAAAAAAATTAGAAATGAGATTCAGTGTAAAAATCTACAAATAGTCCTCAAAACAATCACTTTACAGGTGAAACCAAAGAGGTTTACAGGGTATATTTTAATCTCACTATAATTCTATAATTCAAGTAATAAATTAAATCTACAGAATAGGCTCCTCCATCTAGCAAAGGAAATCTTATAACCAATAAATAATACTAAATGTATAGAAATAACAGGCTTTTAAAAAATGGATTGGAAATATTTTATCTGACATTAAAAAGTTAACCCTATGTCATGTATCCAGTGTAAGAACCAATAGTTGCAAATGTTCAACAGTTCAAAAAGCAATGTATTTAACCAAGTTTGCCATTATTTCATAATCAAAACACTCTTCAGTAACAAAACTCAGTTTGCATTATTACCAGTAATCCTATCCTATGCTTAAGTGTTTTACATCCATTAGTCTGATCAATATTTGATAATGAAAATATACCAACACATACCTGCACATATAAAACACATACACTTTTTTTTTTTTTTTCTGGTAGATCGTGGGGCCTGAACTCTGGGCCTGGGCGCTGTCTTTCAGCAATTCAGCTCAAGGCTAGTACTCTACCATTTGAGCCACAGCACCACTTCTGGCTTTTTTCTTTTTGTTTATGTGGTGCTGAGGAATCGAACCCAGAGCCCCATGCATGCAAGGCAAGCACTCTGCCACTGAGCCACCTTCCCAGCCTCCACATACACTTTTAATAATATGGAGTACACTCAACTCATGAGATCCAGTGTCAGAAAATGTTAAGAAGATAGAACAAAATAAAAATTATTGCTGGATACTAGTGGCTCACACCTGTAATCCTAGCTACTCAGGATGCTGAGATCTGAGGATCATGGTTAGAAGCCAATCAGGTAGGAAAGTACATAAGATTCGTCTCCACTGAACTATCAAAAAGCCACAAGTGGAGGTATGGTTCAAGTGGCAGAGCATAGCCTTGAGTGGGAAAGCAAAGAAAAGCCAGGCCCTGTGATCAAGCCCCTGTTCTTGTACAAATTAAGAAAAAAAAAATTGTGATGACATTCCTGGTGGTTGAGAGGTTAAAAAAATAATGAAGCATGACAGAATATGAGCAACTACTGCTTACCAGTTTTTCTTTGAATGTGTCTTTTCCCAGCTTCTCTGAAAGCAACCACGGCTCTGAAGAAAGCTCGAAGAACTGCCCAACGGAAAACAGCTACAGGATCAATTCCAATCATCCCAGAGATAAATGCATTCTTGCTACTTCTCAGAAGAGCTACAATGTCTGGGCGCATATGATCTGTATTTTTTTCCCGGAAATCCTATGTGAGAACAGTGCTAGTGTTATGGTGACATGTTTGAACAGTGGATAAATAAAGATGAATGGAGTACTTCTTTATTGGGTAGTGCCTAGACTAAGTATCTTCTATAAAGGGCCAGCCAAACTAAATCGATTAAATCCATCTACTGGATTCAAAACAAATGAAAATAAGAGTGAATATTGTACAATTTCATGACAGCTTGTTGAACAATGACCAAGAACATTTTCTGTAAAACCCCTTCAGATAGGGTTATTGAATAGAGTAATGACAGAAATCCAAAGGAACCAGACCAGGAAGAGCATCCCAAATGGAAGAAACATCTTGCCTGACCCATGTGGTGATAGGTGAGGCAAGCCATGTGAACAGAACACAGTGAGCACAAAGGTAAAAGGGAGGAGGAGTAGACAATAAGGCAAATAAACAGTATACTTAGCCTCTATAAGCTTGTGCCAAGACATTTTAATTTCCTTTATTCAGTGTAAAAGGAAAGCCACTAGGGCAGGGCACCAGGGGCTCATGCCTATAATCTTAGCTACTCAGGAGGCTGAGATCTGAAGATCAAGGTTCAAAACCAGTCTGGGCAGAAAACTCTGTGAGACTCTTATCTCCAATAAACTACTCAAAAAAGCCAGAAGTGGCACTGTGGACCAAGTGGTAGAGCACTTGCTTTGTGCAAGGGAATCTCAGGGATAGCACAAAGGGCCAGAGTTCAGCCCTAGAACCAGCAATAAAAAAGAAAGCTAATGGGGGGGGGGGGGGGAGAGGGGGGAATGGGAAGGATGGGAAGGGGAAACGAAAAGGAGGCAACAATGCTTGATAAGAATTGTACTTATTATCTTGCCCATGTAATTGTAACCTCTCTGTAGGGTATCTTCACAATAAAAAAAAAAAAAAAAATTAAAAAAGCCATTGGAAAGGAAATGAGAGCAGCCAACCAGAAATGAACAGGACAGACAACCAGAAAATGGGTAAGAGATTAAACCAGAAGGGATTGCAGTTCAAAGCCAGCCCCCACAGGAAAGTTCATTAGACTCTTATCTCCAATTAACCACCAAAAACGTCAGAAGTGGAACTATGTGGCTCAAGTGGTACAGCACTAGCCTTCAGCACAAAAGCTCAAAGACAGCACCCCACACCTAGAGTTCAAGCCCAGAACAACAACAAAAAACTTTCCACAGCTCCTCATAATAATTTTAATTAAAACTAAACTTGTATAGATCTAGTTCAATAGGAAAACATGAAGGCATGAGCCTTTCAGTCAGGCCTTAAAAAAAGCCACATGCCAGTGGCTTATATCTATAATCCTAGCTACTTAGGAGGTTGAAATCTGAGGATCATTCAAAGCCAGTCCAGGCAAGAAAGTCTATGAGACACTTATCTCCAATAAATTACCAAAAGAGCTGGAAGAAGAGCTGTGGCTCAAGTGGTAAAACACTAGCCTTTGAGAAAAAGAAGCTCAGGGAGAGCATCCAGGCCCTGAGTTCAAGCCCTAGTACTGAAAGGAAAAAAAAATTAAGGAAATGACTTAAAATAAATGTTATCTATTCTTTCAGACTGAAAAAGTTTGTAAGAATGGAATGATAGGTCTATCTTCAGAAAGAAACAGAGAGAAACATTACCTAAGATGGTATTGTACTGAAAAGTACAGTCTGATTTTTATTAGTATCTTTATAAAATGTCTCTAAAACTACCAAGAGGGTAACATATCAGGGACAGTGACACATTCTGCCTAAAAGCGTATGTGATGAGAAATTCACTGACCTTTACCCCATATTTTACTTTTCCAGCATAATGTTTTATTATGAAAGCAGGCTCCATCACAGTTGGAAATTCAATATAAGAATTCTCTTCATGTTGATGCTTAAATTTGTCTAGCAATGTTTGATTTGTAGCCTGTGGAAAACTAAAATTTTTAAAGGAAAAAGGAAAAAACACAAGAAAGATACCATAATTAGCACAGTATTGTAAAAAGTACATTACAATTTCATGGTCTTCTAACACACTTGGTAGTGTCCAAGTTTTCACTGCAGTCTATCATCAGATTCTCCTAGCTAAACATTGAGTATAATGAGGACTAATGCCTCTTCTTCACAGAAGAGGTGTCAGAAGATGGGATTTGCCCACTCCCACCCAGTGGGAATAAGAAGTGGTCTGAGGTAAGACAACTCAGGTCATCAAGAATTTGGCTTCAGCTATGGTACACTCTTAATACTATAAAGCTCAGAGGAAAACAAAACCCAAGTCATATGCTCTTTGGGGACAAAAAATTCCCCAAAAGGAATCATCTCTTATTCTTTAAACAGGTCCTAAAAATGCAAGTCATTTTTTGCTTGCTTTCTTCTTCACACATAGCAATTTTCTATATCTATACCAACAACTATGTACGTCTATATCCATTATTATTTTTAAAAAACACCAAGTGGATTTATAATAACTACAGTGATTTAAGGGAAAAACTGGTTGAGAACAATAAGGTTCACAGAGGACACAGAAAGCCACTGTGTTAAAGGCTGGGGAAGCTGCACACCAAGGCTAATCCTTGCTCCTTAGGTTAGTTTTCCCAGGTATTCGGACTAAAAGATAGTTTACACACAACTGGTACCCAGAAGTAGGTTCAGAAGCCTTTGGAAGTGGTCTGTGGGAAGAATTCAGAGATGAGAGATGGTTAGATGCAAAGTAGGAAGAGCTGTGCTGACTAACCAGATACTACCACAGGAGGCTCGAGAGTATGAAAGTATAAGGCAGTCATTTGAGGAGATCCTGGGGCATCGTTGTCTCCCCAGGATTCTTTTCTCCATGTCTCCATCTGTCCAGAGACTCAGAGGCAACTACCAAGGTCTGAGCAGCCACAGCAGTAGTCTGTTCCAGCAACAGACATCATCATTATCCACAGGATGTCAATTCTGCAGATATGCAGAATTCAAGAGCTATGGGACTGTGGAGGCTTCCAGAGATATCAAAGGCTGTCTGTGGAAGGGAAGGAATCCCTATACTTACCTCCTGACAGGACAATGTGTGAGCCTGGGACAGTAAAGTCAAAGCTGCAAGAGAGACCTCAAGGAAATAGAAAATGCCAGAAATATGGAATGGCCACCAAGGAAAGCCACAGGCAGCCAGCCCAGAGTGGCCATGTGACCATACCTGACAGGGAGCTGCTGATATGCCACAGATGCCAGACATGGATTACATGATTTAATGTTTGCCATGATAGGCTTCTGTTTTGCTTTGTTCTCATTCCTTTTTGGAACCTCATTCCATTTTTTGGAGGGGTGTGTATGTGTGTGTTTCCATCCATCCTAGGTCTTAAACTCGGGGCCTAAGCACTGTCACTGAGCTTTTGTTCAAGGTTTGTGCTCTACCACTTGAGCCACAGCTCCACTTCTGGCTTTGTGGTGGTTCATTGGACTTTCCTCCTTGGGCTGGCTTCACACTGAAATCCTCAGATCTAAACTTCTTTATTTTTTTTTTTTTTTTTGGGGGGGGGGGGGTCCAGTCGTGGGGCCTGAACTCTGGGCCTGGGTGCTGTCCCTCAGATCTTCAGCTCAAGGCTAGCACTCTACCACTTGAGCCACAGTGCCACTTCCGGCTTTTTTCCCCCTGCTTATGTGGTGCTGAGGAATCGAACCCAGGGCCTCATGCAAGGCAAGTGCTCTACCACTGAGCCACCTTCCCAGTCCCAGATCTAAACTTCTTGAGTAGCTAAGATGACAGATGTGAGCCACTGGCACCTAGCTTCATTTCTCTTTTGAATGGCAATATTTGCTTTGTGCCTGCCTACCATTATATGCTGGATGTTTGTATTTTCTTGGCGACTTTCTTCCTCCTACCAAGTCCCACCTCCTAATATTCTATTCCCCTATGAATCCTAATGGTTTGGTATACTGAACAATGGTGAGAAGTAATAGCAAACGTTGCCAAAACTTACCACCTGCACAGACATGGTAGATTTAATTTACCATGATATTGTGTTCTACTAAACATGAAAACTACATAAAACTCAATCCCAGGAGTGAACTAAAATGTACATATATAAATATAAATAAATGAATAAACTTAGCAGCAAAATCAGTTCAATAATGAAGTCCAGCCTATTAAACAAAAATTCATTTTTTAAAGAAATTCATAGCTGGGTGCTGGTAGCTCACACCTGTAATCCTAGCTACTCAGGAGGCTGAGATCTGAGGATCGCGGTTCAAAGCCAGCCCAGGCAGGAAAGTCCACGAGACTCTTTATCTCCAATAAACCACCAGAAAACCGGAAGTGGCGCTGTGGCTCAAAGTGGTAGAGTGCTCACCTTGAGCTGAAGAGTGCAGGGACAGTGCCCAGGCCCCGAGTTTAAGCCCCACGACTGACCAAAAAAAAAAAGAAAAAGAAAAAAAAAAGAAATTCATACAACGAAACGTGTAGCTCTTTAAAAAAAAAAAGAAAGAAGCTTGTAGCTCTTTATTTGAAAATATGATGAGATATTTAAATTTACGAAGATAAAAGAAGTCCACTAGATAATAACAAAGTAAAAAAGATTGATACTCACTTGCTCTCTTCATCCAAAAGATGGAGCAGTCCTGTTGGCTTTTTGCTAATAAGATTTATGCAACAAGTATTATCAATATAATCTATGTTGTGCCAGCTAATACCTTCAGTTCTATATTCCTCCTGGGAAAACCAAATAACAAAATAACAATTTATTCATCTTGCAGAATGTAAGAGTCATGATAACAAGTATTGAGAAGATTTTAACAAGAACTGTCTAAGCTTGTGTATGTGTGTGTGTGTGTGTGAGTGTGTGTGTGTGTGTGTGCATGCACGTGCATGCAGGAGCACATGTGTGTGTTGGTCCTGGGGCTTGAACATAAGGCCTCTCAATGTTGTCCCTGAGCTTTTTGCTCAATGCTAGTACTCTACCACTTGAACCACATCTCCATTTCTGACTTTTGTTGAGTAGTTTATTGGAGATAAGAGTGTTATAGGCTTTCCTGCCTGGGCTGGCTTCAAGCAGTAATCCTCAGATCTCAGCTTCCTGAGTAGCTAGGATTACAGGTGTGAGCCACCAGTACCTGGCTTTCTAAACTTTCTAATGTAGCTAATTACCAATCCATACAACAGAAGGATATTTTCATCTGTGCAAATCTTGATACCATGTCAGGTTTTCTTTTTTCTTTTTTCACAGGCGACCAGGAGAGGAAAAGCATGTACATACTTAGGTACTCACTTGCTCCAACTTAAAGATATGCTGATTGAAGTAGTGTTGTAAACGTTCATTAGCAAAATTAATACACAACTGTTCAAAGCTATTGTTTTCATAATCTTCAAACCCAAAAATATCAAGAACACCAATGGACAAAGTCTGTAAAAAAATAAAAAGAAAGAGAAAGAAAATTGGTTTAAGGATGAGTTTCAGTTCTCTTTACTTAGCAAACTATTTTGAGAATATTAGTAATATCTATAAATTTAAATGTGACTTATTTTAATCATTTTAAAACATGTTAATATCGATGAACTACTTAGGAAATCAAGCAGATTATTTAGGATCTGGAGTCTGGTTTGGGCTCCACTGTAAGATCAAGGCCAATCTCAACCACAAGGCAAGACCCTGTCTCAAAAACAAACAAGGTCAAGCCAGGCACCGGTGGCTCACACCTGTAATCCTAGCTACTCAGGAGGCTGAGATCTGAGGATCATGGTTCAAAGCCAGCCCCAGCAAGAAAGTCTGTAAGACTCTTTTCTCCAATAAACCACTAAAAAACCAGAAGTGGCACTGTGGCTCAAGCGGTAGAGCACTCGCCTTAAGCTGAAGAGCGCAGGGACAGCGCCCAAGCCCAGAGCTCAAGCCCCATGACCAAACCAAAAACAAAAACCAAGGCCAGTCTGGTGGCTCATACCTATAATCCTAGCTACTTAGGAGGCTGAGATCTGAAGATTGTTGTTAGAAGCCAACCTAGACAAGAAAGTCCATTAGACTCTCATCTCCAATTGACCACCAAAATGCCAGATGCAGAGCTGTGGCTCAAGTGGTAAAGTGACAACCTTGAACAAAAAAGCTCAAGTTCAAGGCCCTAAGTTCAAGTCCCAAAACCAGTGCATGCATATGGTGCATGAGCGTGCCTGCACACACATGTATACACGTGCAGAGAAAATAATAGGTTTAAAGTACTGAGTAGCTCCAAAGGATTGTAAAAAATCAATAATCAAAAAATCAAAAATCAATAATTGTTTCCTCCTAGAAATTATCTTTGGAACTTCTTCATAGATTCTTTAGGAGACAGCAAGCAAAAAGGTGACATTATCTGAAAAACGTACTCTTTACCTGACTTATCTAACTTAACCACTCAGTACATAAACTTTGTAACAATAAAAAATTTTTAAAGATAGATTCTGCTCTACTATTTGCATACAAACACCACTCCACTGCATTCTTTTTTTGTTCTTTTTGTCCTTTTAACTCATTAGGTAATCTAGACAAGTGCCATACCCATCTCCTTCTCTTTCTTGAAATACAGTTGGTATAACAATTTTGACTGAATAAAAAGGATTTTATTTTGGTGCAAAGAGATGTACTGAGACAACTGCCATAATGAATATAAAAGATTTTAAGTCTGTACTAAGAGGGATAAAGCTATGGTTCCAACATGCCTACCAAACATGAGGCCCTGAGTGCAAACCCTAGTAACATTAAAAAACACAAACTAAGAAAAAAGTCTCTCTCTCCCTTATTTGAACTGTTTGGAACTGTCCACTGTCTTATAATCTTAAAAATGTAAAATTACTTTTATATTTTTTACATTTAAGCTCTTACCTATAAAGTTAAATTGTAATTTAACTTATCAAATTGACTTTTTTTCAAGTGTATTATTTTTATTTTCCTTCTTAAGGACATAGATTTACTTAATAGACTTCATCACACAAAATGTTCCTAGTATAGACTTCTTTATCCTATCAGGAGTATAAATAGTGATACTACCCAATATGGATGTAGCAACTACACTGTTAGCAGTGTAGTTTTTTAACTATGGTACATTTAAAACATAGCCTTATACCTAGCAATTTTGCAATGAGAAATTTCTCCTAGAGAAACTGCACAAAGTAAAAGGACAGCTGCAATTAGGCATGGTAGTACATGCCTATAATCCCAAGCATTCAGGAGGGTAAGGCAGGAGGTTCTGAAGTTCCAGACCAGAATATACTACACACTGAGATCCTGTCTCAAAAAGTGAAATGAGATTAAACATATATATATGTAAATATATATGTGTGTGTGTGTGTGTGTGTGTGTGTGTGTTTATATTACAGTTATGGTTATAATGAAACAAGTGTTTTAATTAGGAAATTTATAGTACACATCATACGGTGTATTACAAATTTATTTAAGGTAATGAGGTCCAGATTCATGATGACACAAAGGATCTCAAGAGATTTTACATAAAAACAACTGCAATGACATTTATACTTTCAAAGGCAACTCTGTATATTAATGTCTTTGGCATGCAAATACATACAAAAAGGTTTGCAGTGATACACAGAACAGCTCATCTACACGGGGGAATATACAATGAAGGTAAGAGTAGTACTACTGTATATAATCCTGTGCTTGAAAATTTCACATAGTAACCAAGCTTATTGGTCAGTTTTCAAGGAAAAACATATTGTAACCTAAAATGTCTTTACCTTGGTATTGTGCTCCAAATCTTTACTATTGAGAAGTGCATGATTAATTCGAAATACTATCCAGTCAAACAGAGCACTATACAGGGACTTAGCCATGGAGTTCCTCACTGTTACGGCCTACAAAAGAAGAAAAGAATTTCATGAGTACAAAATAGTATTAGTAATAATCTAAGATACGACAATAAAATGTCTTTACTATAATTCAAAAAAAATCACTATCCTGAATTAGAAACTAATTTTGGCTCAATGTATACTTCATATATATTCTACAAGTGAATTGTTCTCTATGCACTCATTTGAGTCCAACTTTAAGAGAATACATGCTGAAATTGCTATGACACAAACAAAATGTAGGTCATTCAGTTCAAAACACTCCACCCCAGGGAGAAGACAATTCCTTCATTAAAAAATTTAAAAATGTTTTTTCTCAAGATTTCTTAGTAAGTCTTAAAGTTGCTCTAAAAAACAAAGTCTCATAATTAAAGAAAATTCACCACTTAAAAAGTATTTCAAGTCAGGCACTAGTGGCTAATATCTATAATCCTAGCTACTCAGGAGGCTGAATTCTGAAGATTGAAGTTCAAAGCCAGCTTGGGCAGGAATTAACCACCAAAAAGCCAAAAATGGAAGCTGTGGCTCAATAGTAGAGCAGTAACCTAGGAAGAAATCCTAGGTGTGCCTGACTTAATCAGTCATCATTCTTAAAGAAAGATTAGACCTTCTTCTCTTAATGAAGCATGGCATGCTTTGTGTGAGAGAAGAAAACTTAAGAAGGAATGTGGGAATGGAGGTGCAGACAGGAAAACCCTTGTCAGCAAGACAGGGGTTTTAGCTAGCTCTATGCCAGCCCAAAAATCATTCTCTAGAGTTCAGTAACAATCTCCACTCTCCTGAGTCTCCTCTTTTGTTTCTATTTTGATAATTGTCCAAACTTGGATTCTTTTCTTTTGTGTGTGTGGGCGGGGAAGAATAATGGGGCTTGAACTCAGAGTCTGGGCAGTGTCCTTAAGCTCTTTTACTCAAGAATAGTGCTCTACCAATTTGAGCCACAGTGCCACTTCCAGTTTTCTGGTGGTTAAGTAGAGGTAAGAGTTTCATTGACTATCCTGCCCAGGTTGGCTTTGAACCATGATGTTCAAATCATAGTCTCCTGAGTAGCTAGGATCATAGGTATGAGCCACTGGTGCCCAGAATAATTTGGATTCTTAATACTTTCATGATATTGCACTGTTGAGTAGTGACTTTTCAGTAGTTTTCCTATCCTTACAGTGATAAGGGTACCTATACACCTGGCAGATTGAGAATACAGATGGTATTTAGTCACAGGAATAGGTTAGGTAATCTAAAGAATAAAGAAAAGAAAAAAGACTGTGTCCTAGGATATTCTTCCTTTTAGGTCAGGAAAGAAAGAAAAAGCAAGAAAAAAGAATGGCAAAGATGTAGCCAAAAAAGAATGTAAACCAAGTATAATGAGTAATAACTGAAGAAACCACCTCAAGAAGGAATAATCAACAGAGTTCAATTCTACCTGTCATCTACCTACACAAAATAGTATAAAATTTTCAGAATGAGGGCAAGATTAAAATTCTTGAAGCCAGGCACAGTTGCTTACGCCTGTAATCTTAGTTGCTCAGAGACTAAGAATGACAATCATGGTTCAAAGCTGCCTGGGCAGACAAATGCAAACACCCAGCTTCAAATACAAACTTCTAATAATGTCCAGAACTTTGATTTCAAAGAAAGCCATACCTCTGCCAGTTTGTATGGTAAAACGAGCTTTTCTCCCACTGTTACAGTCTTCCTTGTAACTAATGCTTCAAATAACATCTCTTCTTTCACCTATAAAACAAAAAGGAAAATTCTGTGTAAGGTTTATGACAAAAAGTTGAATTATCTTATGGAAAAGTTAAATAAAGGAAAAGCCTTAAATAAGAATAGCACCACATAAGCAGAAAAAGCTGGAAGTGGCACTGTGGCTCAAGTGGTAGAGTGCTAGCCTTGAGCTGAAGAGCTGAGGGACAGCACCCAGAGTTCAGGCCCCACGACCCTCACCCTGCCAAAAAAAAAGGAAGCTCAGTAGTCCACTCACAGATAATTTCCCAAAAAAGAAAATGAAGTCAGTAAGATAGATACACAGCTATTTCTAAATTATAGTTTGCTTCCAAGATTAAGGTTTAGCTAAATAGCTAAGTGCTTGCCTAGCATATATACTGGGCCCTGGATCTAATCCTAGCATTATGGGGAAAAAAAATTTCCTCCTGATCTTAATGGAGAAACTGTTTCATCTTCAAGAATATAGAAAACACACACACATACAAAATTCAGACAATCATCATAATCACATAAGCTAGAGATAAGGACTAAAATATGAAAGAATATCTTGAATTAAAGGAGTAGTCCTAAATGTATTTATTACCATGTTTCAGTTTTTTTGGTGTTTTTTGTTGTTGTTTTGTTTTGGTTGGTTGCAGGGCCTGAACTCAGGATATGAGTGCTGTCCCTAAGCCTCTTTGTGCTCAAGGCCAGCACTCTACCACTTGAGTCACATCAACAATTTCCAGCTTTTTATTGGTTAACTGAAGGGAGCTAGGTGCCAGAGGCTCAGGCCTGTAATCCTAGCTACTCAGGAGGCTGATATCTTAGGATCAAGGTTCAAAGACAGCCTGAGCAGGAAAGTACATGAGACTCTTCTCTCCAGAAGTGGTGCTGTGGCTCAAGTGGGACTTTTCTGCCCAGGCTGGCTTCAAATTGCAATCCTTAGATCGCAGCCTCCTAAGTAGCTAGGATTACAGGTGAGAGGCACTGGCACCCAGCATTTTTTTTTTTCCCAGCATTTTTTTTTTAATGGATGCTTGTTTTTTTTTTTTTCTTTTAATGGATACTAAGTTTTAAAATAAGGACACCACTTGCTTGGTTCTCATTCCCTCTGCAAAAGCAAACACTATCAGGGTCATGACATTGTCATTTCAGTCTTGTTTCTACCTATTTGTGTGGATTAACCATAATCACACACACTGTGTTATACTGTCAAGTACCAAAAGCCTTGGGTACTTTACTGGATGTATGGATTTAAAAAAGGACCACCAGTCATAATGTCCTGCATTATCACAATACCAAATGCTTGGCAAAAATATCACCTGAAATGCCTGAATTCAAATACCATCTATGCTCTGACCTTCACGACCTTCAAAAACCACAACCTACAGACAACCACAGTTCATCTCCTAGAAGAAATTCATTCCATTGAGCGAGTTTACTTCAAACTCAAAATACTCCCTTTTCTCATGCCCCTTGTGCCAGCCAGGATGTCATTCCATTAAAGTTAATAAGCAAAGTCCAGTCACATGTAGAAAAAAAAATAAACACTGTATAGTTAAATAAATAAGAAAGAAGCATTCACTGCTCCTAAATAACACCACAACCTTATAATGGACCCAATTAGTAAACAATTAACTTCATGCTACAAAAATCTAACCTTACACACCAAGTAGAAGTAAATATTTCAATGCACAGGGAGTCAGTTTAGACATTTACTAAGGTTAAACTCCATGAAGTGGTTCATGAACCAAGGAATGAAAGATGAGTGATGTTTAATTTTTAAGTATCACAGCAACTTATTCATGGTTGCCAAAAACTGGAAACAAGCAAGACGTTCTTCAACAGGTAAATAACTACTAAACAAACTACAGTATAACCATATGAGGAAACTATTACCCAAAGATAATAAAAACAAATGCTCTGTATTAAGCCACAAAATGACATGAATCCTGGGGCTGGGAGGTTGGCTCGGTGGTAGAGTGCTTGCCTTGCATGCATGAGGCCCTGGGTTCGATTCCTTAGCACCACATAAACAGAAAAGGCTGGAAGTGGTGCTGTGGCTCAAGAGGTAGAGCACTAGCCTTGAGCTGAAGAGCTGAGGGACAGTGCCCAGGCCCAGAGTTCAGGCCCCACAACCGACAAAAAACAAAAATGACATTAATCCATTTTAAATGCATGTTCCCAAGTAACGTAAGTCAATCTGAAAATGTAAAAGATTATATGATTCTAATTATTTTACATTCCAGAAAGGACAAACTATACAGCTACTAAAAGGATCACTGGTTGTCAGTGTTGAGAGAGAGGGGTAGAATACAGTAGTATTCTATATGAGATGATGATGGTGAATACATAACAAATATAACCAATAATCTCAATAAAGGAGATGGGAGGAAAAAGTGAAGATATAAGTAATCTTGAAAATGAATGGAATTTATAGGACTAAAAGCAAAACAAGAACTATCCATAAGCATTGTACTCTCACTAAGAAAGCCATTTCCGCCGGACTCGGGTGGCTCACACCTGTAATCCTAGCTACTCAGGAGGCTGAGATCTGAGGATCATGGTTCAAAGCCAGCCCAAGCAGGAAAGTCCGTGAGACTCTTATCTCCAATAAACCACTAGAAAACCGGAAGTGGTGCTGTGGCTCAAGTGGTAGAGCACTTCCCTTGAGCTGAAGAGCACAGGGACAGCGCCCAAGCCCAGAGTTCAAGCCCCAGGACCAACCATGGGGGGGGGGGGGGGGGGGCGGGGAACCACACAGGAAAGAAACTGCTGCAAGAATACTAGCACAGGAATTGTCTTGCCATATCTGCAGAATCCAAGAAAAAGAAACAAACTAAAAAGGGAGGTAACCTGAAGACAATACCACTGGGGACTGTAATTCAAATGAGGATGCAGACAAAGACCACGCTGACCCTGAGCCTCCCCTGCCTTTGGGTACAGTCAGAGATGCCATGGTCAGGAGTGTCACATGGTGCAGTAACACTGACGATCTGGAAAGGCACTACCAACACCTGATGCTTGCTCTGGATTCCAGCAGAGTACAAAACCAGCAGCTCTGAAGTGAGACTGAACTGAATCAAGAAAAGAAAGACCTTCAGGATCAACAGAGGAAAGAGAATGAGAAGATGACTTCTGTGCAGAAAGCACTGAAAACAGAGCTGGAGCTCCACAAGCTATTGAAACAGATGTTGGTTTCAGAAAAATTTAATTTACAATCTGCCCTGACCCACATGCAGCAGGTGGCCAATAAACAAGAACTGGAGCAGGAAGGTCTTGCCAGCCACATGCTAGATTCACAGCAGAGCATCACAGAGATAGAAATGACATTATCTTGCAGCCTTCACCACACAGAAGGAAGCCATCAAGAACAACCTTAATAACATGAAGCTGCAGCTCCAGGAAAAGACCATTAGCTATGATGACCTGAAGGAAGAGAAAACCAAGCTGCAGGAGAGGCTGGAATTGCTCCTGACACAGAAGGCTAACATAATGATCAAAATTCACGAGTTACAACAAGCAATAGAGGAGCAGGAAAAGTTAGGAAGACAACTTGATAACATGAAAGAGTTGGTGACCACATTAAAGTTGGAGAGAAACAACTTTATGGAGAACTTGACAGTGTAGAGTTCCACATGGAAGGAGTAGGTCCAGCAGGTCTTGAAGCAGATGAGCCAACTGAGCCTACTTCCTACAGGAAGTAGACCTAGTTGGTGGTGATTGCAAGAATAGAGGTGCAAGTGTTAACTTTTTGTTCCAATTGCAGAAAAAAAAAACAATGGAACAGAGGCTCTGTGCCTGTCAATCTTAGCAATGTGGAGAAACACAAGTTGGAGGTCATAGTCCAAGACAACTGGGGCATAAAGTAAGACCCCCCCCTGTAAAAACAGCCAATCCAAAAAAAGGTTGGATATGTGATAAAGCAACTGCTTAGCAAGCACACATTCAGGGGAGGAGGAAGGGAGAGGAGGGAGGTATACAGCCAGGAACATGTAGCTACATCTGTAATCCTAGTTATTTGGAAAGAACATCCTTACTTCTCAACCAGGAGCTGAGCACAATAACATGAACTAAATAACATGAACCAACTATAACAGGAAGCCCAAAATAGACAAGAGATATATAAACAGCTACAGTGGGAAGCCCAGGTCTATAACCTGGACAAGGCAAGAAGCAAGAGCAGGAAGGAGAGGTGCTGGAGGTATGGCTCTGTAGAAACTCACCTGCTTAGTGAACAGGAGGGCCCTGAATTCAAACCCCAGAACTTCCCCAAAAAGTTAATAAAATCATTATTTTAAAAAGTTATTAACCGGGGCTGGGAAGGTGGCTCAGTGGAGCTCTTGCCTTGCATGCATGAGGCCCTGGGTTGGATTCCTCAGCACCATATAAGCAAAAAGAAAAAAGCTGGAAGTGGCGCTGTGGCTCAAGTGGTAGAGCGCTAGCCTTGAGATGAAGAGCTGAGGGACAGCGCCCAGGCCCAGAGTTCAGGCCCCATGACCGGACCCAAAAAAAAAAAAAAAGTTATTAACCAACTAAAATATTTAACAAAATAAAAAAATAAGAATTTGGGCTGAAGGTGGCTCAGTGGTAGAGCACTTGCCTTGCATGCCTGAGGCCCTGGGTTCGATTCCCCAGCACCACATAAGCAAAAAGAAAAGAGCCAGAAGTGGTGCAATGGCTCAAGTGGTAGAGGGCTAGCCTTGAGCTGAAGAGTTGAGGGACAGCGCCCAGGCCCAGAATTCAGGCCCCACACCAGGACCTCCCCCCCCAAAAAAAAGAAGTTAACCAGTATTTAAAATTACAACAAAATGTAATCACTCACTTCTAATAATTCCGAGACAATAGGCAACACTTGAGGGTTGCAGATATCGATGGAGTCATCACGGTACGTCCTCTTCTTATAGCAGATATCACCCAGATGTAGTATTGCTGAGAGGAGAGAGAAAATCCTGTGGAAACAAAAGCACAAGTGACACCATGCACTTCATTCCAAAATTCTAGCTAGCAAAAACCTAGCTAGCAAGACTCTATTCTCCCTCAAAAAGAAAAATAATTTCTAAAGAATTATTTTCTTGCCAGGAGCTGGTGGCTCACACCTATAATCCTAGCTACACCAGAGGCTGAGATCTGAGGATTGCAGTTCAAAGCCAAGCTGGGCAGCAAAATCCGTGAAGACTTTTATCTCCAATTAACCACCAGAAAACCAGAAGTGACGCTGTGGTTCAAGTGGTAGAGAGCTAGCCTTGAGCTGAAGAACACAGGAACAGCGCCCAAACCAAGAGTTCAAGCCCCACGATCAACAAAAAAAAAAAAAAAAAAGAATAATTTTTTTCTCAGCTGGGCACCAGTGGTTCAGGCCTATAATCCTAGCTACTTAGAAAGCCTGGTCAGGAAAGCCCTTAAGACTCTTATCGCCAATTAACCACCAGAAAACTGGCAGTGACACTGTGGGCTCAAGTGATACAGTGCTCAGCTTGAGCTGAAGCGCTCAGGGACAGCACTCAGGCCAGATTCAAGCCCCACAAGCAACAACAACAATAACAAGAAGAGGGAGGGAGGGAGGGAGGGAGGGAGGGAGGGAGGGAGGGAGGGAGAGAGAGAGAGAAAGAAAAAGAAAAAAAGAAAGAAAGAATTCATTTCTCTGAGATTCAAGATTGTATCTTTAATCTTAGTGTGGTTTACTTTAAATATAATTTACTTTTTTTTTTTTAATATTTTTTATTTTTGGGTCGGTTGTGGGGCCTGTACTCTGGGCCTGGGCGCTGTCCCTCAGCTCTTCAGCTCAAGGCTAGCACTCTACCACTTGAGCCACAGCACCATTTCCGGCTTTTTTCTTTTTGCTTATATGGTGCTGAGGAATTGAACCCAGGGCTTCAAGCACACAAGGCAAGTGCTCTACCACTGAGCCACCTTCCCAGCCCTAATTTACTACTTTTATCATGAACTTTTTACATTTGAATTTTGCTTTTATTTTCACAAATACTTTATTTGTGCCAGTACTGACGTTTGAACTAGAGGCCTTGAGCTTCTTACCTCTTGAGCCACACCCCTAGCTCAGCCTGGTTAACTAAAGAGGAAGACTGTTAAGACTTTTCTGCCTAGGCTGGCTTTGAACCCAGATCCTCAGATTTCAGCCTCCTCTGTGGTTAGCATGACAGGTATGAGCCACCAGAGCCCAGCTACAGTAAAGAATTTTTTTTAACACAACAGTACACACATATGTTAAATATTCAAAGGGAATATGTGCCTAGGCCTTGATACAATTTAAGAGATCAGTGATACAAAAAAATGAAGACCTATAAAATTAGTGGTGTAAAGTCACAGTGTTTAAAGGAATGTCCATGGTTAGGCTTCGGGGACACCATGAATTCCAAGTCATAGATGTAAATATTTGTGGATATACAAAAAGATTTCCAGCTTTCATCAGACTTTCAAGAACTGATGACCAAAAAACTCAAGCCAGAGGTCGGTGGCTCCCAGGGCTCCCACCTGTAATACTAGCTACTCAGGCTGAAATCTGAGGATCATGTCCCCCAGCCAGGGCAGAAAACTCCTCATGAGACTCTTATCTCCAATTAACCCCTCAAAAACCGGAAGTGGCATTATGGCTCCAAGTGGTAGAATGCTAGCCTTGTGTAAAAGAGCTCAGGGATAGTGCCCAGGCCCTGAGTTCAAGCCCCACTACCAACTACAACAAAAAAGAAACCTCAAAACAACACTTAAGATTGTTGAGTGTTGAAACAGATAAGGAATCCTACTAGAGATAAAATAATATAATAAACTCACTGTCTTCTCGTCTTGGGAAGAAATCCTACCATTTCCATGGCCAACTGTAAGCGTTCAAAGTCATGCCGCAAATCTTCTCCCTCCACTGTAAAGCAATCCTGCTTAAGATAAAAAGTGAGAAAATCAAGATTGCCTGTTAGAAAGTAATGTGAGATTGAAGGGCTGACATTAATCAAGACACAAAACCTGACCTCTAGAATTGAAACTCCTTTGTACTTAAGAAAAATAAATATTGAAAATGTTTAAATATGGGCTATTCATATTTTTAAGATAAGTAGATGAAAGTATAAATGCCAAATAAATGTGGTAGTAGTATATTTAGACAGAATCAGACTCAAGAGACATCATATTACAGGTATGTGAACCAAGTATACCTACCAAAATACCTTTTGTTTTCTCTAACACAAGAATCACCAACACCAGGATCTCATAAGTAACTTAAGAATCTAGCAGTACTAATAAAACATGCAGATACCAAGTTTCATTTTAAGTATTTTAGGATAATTTTGGAGATTTGAAGCATTAACAATATAATTCCACAAGCAAATGTTTTTTATTCATCAAATAGTGAACAAGTAACTAACCAAATGCAAGGCACTTCAGTAAATTCTGGAGACATTAAAAAAAATTCTAAAAGGCAGAAATACTGGTAAAAAGTAGATCCTAGTTTTATTTAAGTAAAGCAACTTACGTTATTAGTTGTTCTCCATATAGAAATACCTCCTAATCAAATAGTAACATGGAAATCAAGACAAGAAGCCTAAGAGTCCTCAAATACACAAGTCATTGAGTTAGTAAAAACACAGACAACCATATTTAAAACAGTACTGTCAAGCTGGGCACTAGTGGCTCATGCCTGTAACCCTAGCTACTCTGAAGGCTGAGATGTGACAACCACAGTTCAAAGCCAGCCTAAGTAGGAAAGTACATGAGACTCTTATCTCCAATTGACCACCAGAAAACTGGAAGTGGCACTGTGGCTCAAGGTGGTAGAGCTTTAGCCTTGAGTAAAAAGGGCTCGCACCCAGGCCCCAAGTTCAAGCTCTATGGTCAACAAAGAAATAAAAAAATAAAACAGAACTTTCTTAGTGTAACCCCTGGATTTCATTTCTTCAAACAGACAAAGAGTAACATTATGAGAATAAATCTTTAAATTCATTTACCGTATATTCTCACACTCAATACTTTATACTTACTATCAAAAACCACATACTTTTGTTAACTTTTTTACTGCCTAATTTCTAGGAAATAGATCAATTATTTAGTAAACACAAGACTACTACCTGTCTTATTCACTGCAGAGCATAAGCACCAACTCAGTACCAAGACTATGTGAAGAATTACTGAAGAAAATACATATTCATCAAGTTCCTGAATAACACATTAATATTAGACCTGTATAAAAATCCTTCATGAGGGCTGGGAAGGTGACTCAGTGGTAGAGTGCTAGCCTAGCATGCATGAAGCCCTGGGTTCAATTCCTCAGTGTCACATAAGCAGAAAAAGGCAGAAGTGGCACTGTGGCTCAAGTGGTAGAGCACCAGCCTTGAGCAGAAGAAGATCAGGGACAGTGAACTTTACAACTTGGGAGGGGGGGGGGGTTGGTAGGGAAGTAGGGGGAGAAATAGGAGAAAATGAGGGAAAAGAAATGTACTCAAAAAGAAATGTACTCATGACCTAACTGATATAACTGTAACCCCTCTGTACCCCACCTCTACAATAAATTTTTTTTTAAATCCTTCTTGAGAAATAAAGTAGTTACTTACTTTCCAAAAAAGTATTTCTCACCAGAAGCCAGCTAGCTACTCAGAAAACTGAAATGTGAGGATCACAAGACAACAATTAAGCACCAAAAAAGCCTGAAGTGGACCTGTGGCTTAAGTAGCAGAACACTAGCCTTGAGCAAAAAAGCTCAGGGACAGTGTCCAAGCTGAGTTCAAGCACCAGGGTGGGCACAAAACAAAAAAAAACTACTTATCAAATATTTACCATGTACCAAAAAAAATACCTGTTTTAAGCACTCTGAGTCAACAAGTACAGCTAAACATAAAGTTTAAAATTACACCTTGTTTTAGAATGTTATTAACAATATTTTTATTTGCTTAATGAAGAGGTATACATGTACAGACTAAAATTTTTAATTTACTACAAAAAAATTTCCCCTGAGAACACATGCATCTAATATTCTGATCATAAATTTTGTGGAAACAATCTTAAGACTTGCTACAGATATATCAATGCAGTGGGAAAAATACACATATTTTTTATGTATATGTGAAAAAGACACAATGAAATTCCTTTCTAGAAAATTGTAAGCGTTAAGAAGAGAGTTGGGTAAGGGGAGATAAGAGAGAGTAATGGAAGGAGTAAATAAGATCCAAGTATATTCTTATGTATATATAGAAATATCACAACGAAACCTCTCACTTTGGACAATTAACCTAAAAAAAATTTATGTGTCAGTCTTGGGTTTGAACTCTGGTCCTGGGTGCTGTCCCTGAGCTTTTTTACCCAAGGTCAGCACTCTATCACCTGAGCTATAGCTCTACTTCTGGTTCTTTTGGTACTTAATTAGAAATAAGAGTTTTCACAGACTTTCCTGTCTAGGCTGACTTCAGAGATCCTCAGAGCGCAGCCTCCTGAGTAACTATAGGCATGAACAACCAGCACCTGGCTTTCAGGGCCCAAATTCTTTTTTTTTTTTTTTTTTTCTGTCTGATACTAAGACTCGAACTTTTGTTCACTGGCTGGCACTCTATTACCTAGCCACACCTCCAAACCTGCTCAGAGTCTAAATTCTTAAGGATTAAATTAAACAAAAGCAAATCAACTCAGTTACACTGCAAGCTCTGAAAAAGGAACCAGCTCATATTTGCAGTATGAGTTGCCTGCTTCCCAAGAGGCATGACCTACTTGGTGTAGTAATAAAAGATAGAAAGAAGCCAGGTGCCAGTGGCTCACGCCTGTAATCCTAGCTACTAAGGAGGCTGAATCTGAGGATCACAGTTCAAAGCCAGCCCAGGCAGGAAAAAGTCCTGAGACTCTTACCTCCACTAAAGTGGCACTGTGGCTCAAGGAACTGTGGCCTTGAGCAGAGGAACTCAAAGACAGTGCCCAGGCCTAGAGTTTAAGCCCCATAACCAACAAAAAAAAAGGAAAGATTTGCAAAATTTAAATGTTTTCTATTAAAACTCATCAAAAATCTATAAATTAAGATATCTGACTTTAGTCCTGAAAGTGTTCAATCTAAAACCAACTTTCTCGGTTTATTGTAAAATGGTACTACAACTCAACAAAATAATTCTGCAGTTAGTGGGGTTTATAATCACATGCAGCAAGATTAAAGTTATGAGTATTTAAAGCAAGGACTAACACATTATGCTTCCAGGAAGAATATTTAATAAATTAATTTGTTTGTTAGTTAATATAGGTAAATAAGTATATTTCTACATGTTTCCAGCCTTTTAATCTGACTTAGCTGTAAATGGAAGAAAAAGATCCTTGTGTTCTTTTCATGGTTACACTTATATAAAACACTGAAGTAGCTAGGCACTGGTAGCTCACGCCTGTAAACCCAGCATCTCAGGAGGCTGAGCTCTGAAGATCACTGTTCAAAGCCAGCTAGACAGTAAAGTCTGTGAGACTCTTATCTCCAGTTACCACAAGAAAACCAGAAGTGGCTCTGTGGCTCAAAGTAGCAGAGCACTATTCTTGAGCAGAAGAGCTGAGACAATACCCAGGCTCTGAGCTCAAGCCCTATAACCGACAAAAAATAAAATAAAGCTAAATTTAGTTATATTACATATACCCTTTTAATCACTCCATTTGAAACGTAAAATAATCTTGTTTATAGGATTTTTCAGTAATTTGGGGACATTTTATTAAAGCTATTATTTCTCTTGCTATTAAAAAACAATTTAAAAATATGCATGCACTTACTATGTAAACAGACTATTAAAACATGAAATTGGGAAGATGTAGTGGGGTTGTTTTTGGTTTGTCATGGGGTTTGAACTTTAGGTCTGAATACTTCCCTGAGCTCTTTCATCTTTCACTCTACCACTTTGAGGCCACAGCACCACTTCCAGTTTTCCTATGAGACATGAGTCTCATAGGAACTTTTCAGCCCAGGCTGGCTTTGAACTATGATCCTCAGACTTTAGCCTCCTGAGTAGCTAGGATTACAGGCAGAAGCCACCGGCACTCAGCTGACATCATTCTTTAATAATAATTAATATGTATAATATCTGGGTGATAAAATTACTAAAATATAATTTAAAAAATAAATCTCAGGAGGGGGATGTAGCTCACTGGTGGGGTGCTTGCCTACCACATTCAAATCCCTGGGTTCAATACCTAGCACTGCAAAAATAAATTCACCCGGACAGGCTCTGGTGGCTCATGCCTATAATCCTAGCTATTCAGGAGGCTGAGATCTGAGGATCTCAGTTCAAAGCCAGCCCAGGCAGGAAAGTCTGTGAGACTCTTATCTCCAATAAACCACTAGAAAACCAGAAGTGGCGCTGTAGCTCAAGCAGTAGAGTGCTCACCTTGAGCTGAAGAGTGCAGGGACAGCGCCCAAGTGCAGAGTTCAAGCCCTACCACCCACAAAAAAAAAAAAAAAAAAAAAATTAAAATCATCTGAAGGGAAAAAACTTTAGTGCCTACTGATCCATATCAATGCTGAAGTATCAGGAACAGAATCAAATTACAATTTGTGAAAATAAATGCTAAGGTAGACTAAACAGGAGCCATTTAGAAAAGCCATTCAGAACAGTAATCTAGATTTTAATCAACAAACTATCTACATAGAAATCAATCATCTGAAGAAATGAAACTCTGATATATCTCCTATCCTGGTATGTCCAGTGATCTTCATTCTGACTAAATTCCAGATAGATGCAAATGAGCAATGTGAAGGCCCTTGTAGAGTAACACAGAATATTTAGGTACTGGTACTGACCGGCTCAGAGTCATAGCAATAATCATCCCAGCTCTGTCTGAGGGGTTTCTTTGTTATCTGAAAGTAAGGCAGATTAGTGAGGGAGAAGTTACTAGGCAGGTAACTGTGACTGTATTTCTCTATTAGATGTAGTGTGCAGGCAGCACTGCAGTTATCCAAAAAGGAGTTATTTTGCATAGCAGCAAAAAACAGTAAGAACTTAATAACCATTCAGATTCTGGGAGATTGTAGTTTTCAGTTCAACAAAAACATGTCATTGTCCAGTGAATCTGATATTTATATTAACTACTTAATTCTATGTACTACTAACACTGGCATTATGACAAGAGTATGTCATGGCCACTGATGACAAGCAGATCCAAGAAGACAAGCCAACTCTGGATTTTACCTATTACTAACAATTTTCATCTCATTAACAGGTGAATAATGTTTTGTTAAAAAGAAAATACTGAAGTCAGGTTGCGGTGGCTCACACCTGTAATCCTAGCTACTCAGGAGGCTGAGAGCTGAGGATCGAAGTTCAAAGCCAGCCTGGGCCGGAAAGTCCGAGAAACTCTTATCTCCAATAAACCACCAGAAAACCGGAAGTGGTGCTGTGGCTTAAGTGGTAAAGCTCTAGCCTTGAGCTTAAGAGCTGAGGGACAGTGTTCAGGCCTAGAGTTTAAGCCCCATGATTGACAAAAAAAAAGAAAAGAGAAGAAAAGAAAATACTGAATCACCCAGAACTGAATTAGTCATTTTTTTTTTTTTAAAATCTACTTAGTTCTATCCAGGAAAAGTGACTAATATTAAGTCAGAAAGTAATGTATTAAGTAACTTTTAAGTTCTTGATATATTAATAAAAGATAAAACAGTTTAAATTAATATCAACTTTAAAAATTAAGATATCAGGGGCTGGGAAGGTGGCTCAGTGGTAGAGCACTTGCCTTGCATGCATGAGGCCCTGGGTTCGATTCCTCAGCACCACATAAGCAAAAAGAAAAAAGCCAGAAATGGCGCTGTGGCTCAAGTGGTAGAGCGCTAGCCTTGAGATGAAGAGCTGAGGGACAGTGCCCAGGCCCAGAGTTCAGGCCCCACGACAGGACCCAAAAAAAAAAAAAAAAAAAAAAAAAATTTAAGATATCAGATATCCAGGGAAAAGGTGCAAGGTGTTAATTTCATCATCCTAAATAAGTACTAATTACTGGGCATAACCTCAAAATGTCAATTAATTTCAAAATCTTCATAATAAGCCGGAAGTGGTGCTGTGGCTCAGTGGTAGAGCACTAGCCTTGAGCTGAAAGAGCTGAGGAACAGTACCCAGAGTTCAGGCCCCACAACTGTCAAAAATAAATAAATAAATAAACCAACAAAATCTTCATAAGGACTTTTGCAATTGCTTTAAACGATCTTTTTTCCATAGACACAAAACAATAAGGCAATCTATTATTTTAATGATTCATTAATTTTAAAATTTTGTTAATCTGAAGAATTAGAGAATTCAAGATTATGGAAACTTGAGAATCACTGTTTTGGAGACTTAGGACTGAGTTTTGGGTTTCAAGGAAAGAATCATATTCTCTAATCATTTGCCATTAAGGAATTTCATATTGAAGGTTTAGGGGAAGGTTTATTAAATTATGCACAGACTTTAAGTATCATAGTATCATGCAAAGACATGCATTACACTACAAAACATGCAAATCAGGTTTCCAGCCATGGGATAAACTTTAGTATTAGCAACATTTAACAGGAAAATCACTCTGGAATGAACATACCACTTTCTGATATAGAAGTACCAGTAAATGGGTTATTACTTTCTTAAAGAATTTCACAGGAAGTAAAGCTGCAGCTCAAAGGGATAGAGTGATAGGGTTGAGCCAAAAAACACAGAGGCAGTGCCCAGGCCCTGAGTTCAGCCCTATGACCCACCAAAGAAAAAAATAAAAAAGAATTTCACAAAATACAAGAATATACGGCCAGGCACCAGTGGCTCACACCTGTCATCCTAACTACTCAGGAGACTGAGATCCGAGGATTTCGGTTCAAAGCCAGCCCAGGCAGGAAAATCCGTGAGATTCTTATCTCCAATAAACCACCAGAAAACCGGAAGTGGTGCTGTGGCTCAAGTGGTAGAGCACTAGCCTTGAGCTGAAGAGCTGAGGGACAGCGTTCAGGCCTAGAGTTCAAGCCCCATGACCAACAAAAAAAAAAAAGAATATATGTAGCAATTCTTTTAATATTTAAATGAAGGTGATAATCTATAATTTGAAAAATACATTAAATTATTAGATTTCATGTAGAAAAATACAAGTTGATATCCATTACCATAATTATGCACACACTAGAAAAAAATACCTTTTTCAAGAACCAAAATTTATGCCCTACATTTTGAAATGCTTTTCAAGAAATCTCACCTGGTTGAGATAATGATATTCCTCAGGTTGTTTAAGATGGAATGCTAACCTCTCTTCTTCACTTGCTCCTGCCAGGAGGTAATAGAATACATGATAGTTCCTATTGGGGAAAAAAATAGTATAGCTTTATAGTGAGCATGACTTATGGTAGGGCATTTAATGAGCCAAAAAAAAAAAAAGCACTAGCTTTGCTTATCTTAATACAAATGTGATAAATTCAGTATTTAAGTGTGCCAAATAGTGAAATTTTAGATGCAGAATACAAAAGAGGAATGAGAGTGCAATGACCAAATTAGAAGTTTTTGAAAATTTGTCAGGATCAACTTTTATAAGAACTCTGAAAACTGGGGCTGGGAAGGTGGCTCAGTGGTAGAGCACTTGCCTTGCATGCCTGAGGCCCTGAGTTCGATTCCTCAGTACCACATAAGCAAAAAGAAAAAAGCCGGAAGTGGCGCTGTGGCTCAAGTGGTAGAGCGCTTGCCTTGAGCTGAAGAGCTGAGGGACAGCGCCCAGGCCCAGAGTTCAGGCCCACAACTGGACAAAAAAAAAAAAAGAACTCTGAAAACTAATCAAAGCTTGAAGCAATCTTGGGTGTATTTACCAACTACGTCTAACACAAAAGAGGATGTACACCTGCTGAAGTCATATGGAGCATTATTACACTACAAATGCAAAGGAACTAAAATCACATAATGCTTTAAACTGAAACCAATTAAAAATTAAACACCAGTAACAACAGATTTTTACAAAGTTTACAGATACGTGACAATTCAATAACACATTAGTAAATAACCAATCATGAGTGAAAAACATAAGATAGGAAATTAGAAAATATTTGGAGATGCACAAAAACACTTGGTTCCAGAACACCATTAGTCAAAAAAAAAAAAAAAAAAAGAATCTGAAAATGCTCAAGACCCTTGTATAAAACAGCACAGTATTTGCATATAGTTTTTGTACATTTCCACATATACTTTAAATTATCTCTACACTATTTACAATACCTAACCATATGTGTGTGTGTGTGTGTGTGTGTGTGTGTGTGTGTGTGTGTGTGTGTGTGTGTGATAATAATAGTTGTTACTGTATTATTTAGGTAACAATGATCAGAAAAAACTATATATGCTCAGCATATTTTCCCCAAAATATTTTTTTATTGTAACAATATTGTACAAAGGGGTTACAGTTACATGTGCAAGGTAATGAGTACATTTCTTATCCAGCATTGTTGTCTCCTCCTTTGTTTTTCCCCTACCATCCCTTCCCTCCCACTTCCTCAGCTACACCCTCCACTCCCCTCCCCCAAATATTTTTGATATGAGATTGGTTGAATCTATGGTTCAGAAGCTACAAATGCAGAGATACAAAACAGGGGCACAGCTGAAGCAGTGTTTGAAAGACTTTGTAACTGCAAACAAATATTTCAAAAGAAAGCTCTATCTATAACCTAAGCATCTACCATAAGAAACTAGAAAGGGAGGCAGGTGCCAGTGGACCACACCTGTAATACCAGCTATTCAGAAAGTTGAGATCTGAGGATCACCTTTCAAAGCCAACTTGGTCAGGAAAGTCCAAACTGAGACTCTTATCTCCAATGAACCAACAGAAAACCAGAACTAGCACTGTAGCTCTAAGTGGTGAACACTAGCCTGGAGTAAGAGAGGTCAGGACAAGCACCAGGCACTGAGTGCAAGCCCCATGACCAACAGAAAGAAACCTAAAGCAAGCAGAAGGAAGGAAATAATAAGTATTAGGGAAAAGAAATAGGGAATAGGAGAAGTAATGAAAACCAAAATTAATTATTTTGAAAAGAGGTAGGCCAGGCTGGCGGCATGGTTCAAATTGTAACCCTCAGCACCACCGAGAAAAAGGAGGAGGTGGGTAAATATCAGGCATGGATTACCTGACAGTAATCCCAGGTAGAGATTAGGAGACAGAGATCAGGAAAACAGTGACTCAATGGAAGCCCAATCTACTTAATTTCAACCAACAAGATAGAAGTGGTAATTAGAGCTACACAGGAAGCATAGGTAGAACACGGGGGACAGGGACGGACGGACAGACAGACAGACACACAGACACACACGTGAGTGCGCGCGCACGCGCACACACACACACACACACACTCGCGTGCACAACACATGATAGAGGGAGGAGGAAGGAGGAAGGAAGGAAGGATGAAGATGAAAGGGAGAAGATATTGTTAGCCAGTAATTACTAAGACTTTTATTATATGAAAATCACGAATATCATCTTATAAATGTTAATTTCATGTTATCTTCTAAAGAACTCTAGGGTACTTTTCTATCTGTAAGATTGAAGGGGGGCTGGGAAGGTGGCTCAGTTGTAGAGTGCTTGGCCTTGCATGCCTGAGGCCCTAGGTTCGATTCCTCAGCACCACATAAGCAAAAAGAAAAAAGCCAGAAGTGGCGCTGTGGCTCAAGTGATAGAGTGCTAGTCTTGAGCTGAAGAGCTGAGGGACAGCACCCAGGCCCAGAGTTCAGGCCTCAGGACTGGACCACTCCCCCCCCCGCCCAAAAAAAAAAAAAGATTGAAGGAAATACCTAAAAAACAGATAGATGAGTGAGACCCCAAGAAATATTCAAGATTTACATGTAGATCTGCTTGACTTCAACTTTGGCTCTACTTTATATTTCACTGATGAAGCAAACAAATAATTTACCCCTTGATATCAGGTTTCTTCATCTGAAGACTATCACATTTATTATCTCTCAAGCACTGAATACCGCAAATACTATAAAGGCCCAAGAAAACATTGTTCACAAATAGTAAGATAGTGCTTGAGAAATGGTGGAGTTTTTTGTTGTTGTTGTTGTCAGTTGTAGGGATTGAACTCAGGGCCTGAGCACTGTCCTTGAGCCTCTTTGTGATTAAGGGTAGCACTCTACCACTTGAGCCACAGTGCCACTTCAGTTTTTGAGTGGTTAATTGGAGATAAGAGTCTCATAGGGACTTTTCTGCCCAGGCTGGCTTCAAACCACATCCTAAGATCTCAGCTGCCTAAGTAGATAGGATTACAGGTGTGAACCACCATGTGCCTGGCTAGCAATGGTGTTCTTTTTCTTTTTTTTTCCTGGTCCTGGGCCTGAACTCTGGGCCTAGGGGCTGTCCCTCAGCTCTTCAGCTCAAAGCTAGTGCTCTACCACTTAAGCCACAGCACCACTTCCGGCTTTTTCAGCTTATGTGGTGCTAAGGAATTGAACCCAGGGCCTCATGCATGCAAGGCAAGCGCTCTACCACTGAGTCACCTTTCCAGCCCCAGAAATGGTGTTCTTGATCTCATAGTTTGCTTAGAACTTAGAAAAGCCAGTTTTACTACCCAATAAAAAAGAACTTCTTAATAGCTCTGAAAAACTGCAGGATGAAAAAGTGAATTAAGGGTCACAGTCAATCTGCAAGAAACTCAAGTTAACTTTATTTTTTAGACAAATAAAAGTAAGTACCGTTCATTATGCTCTTGATAAACAAGTCTGGACTTCTCCAGCAGATATTTTTCAACATAGGCACTAGAAGAAAAATAAAATTAGTTGATATAAACAATAAAGTTTAACATAGAACAGTCTTATTTATTTAGATGGCACAGAAATATAAAGAACACTCTCCCACTAGACACTGATGGCTCACAAATGTTATGCCAGCTATTCTGGAGACAGAGGAGCCTCCTTTTAGGGGAAAAAAAAAATCTTTCTACTTCTGAAGTTACTACCCTAGAAAGTTTGTTACAATAATAGAAAGTTGACTGACAGTATTCAAAGTCAATCAAGTAAGGCAGAAAATAATCAGAAATAAAGAAATGCTTTAAATTCTTATAGATATTATATACTTAGAAAAAGAAAAACAAGCTGGGGGAGGGGGATACTGGTGGATCACACCTATAATCCTAGCTACTCAGGAGATTGAGATATGAGGATCTAGAGTCAAAGCCATCTAGGGCAAGAAAATCGGTGAGACTCTTATCTCCAATTAACCACCCGAAAACCAAAAATGACACTGTGGCTTAAAGTGGTAGAGCACAAGCATTCAGCAAGAGCTCAGAGACAGTGCCTACATCTTGAGTTCAAGCCCCACTACCAACAAAAAAAAAAAAATTATTTTTAAAAGAGAGAAAGATAATAGTAAAAATAATAAAAACAGAAAGTTAACTAGATATGAGATTACTAAAAACATTACTGTTCAGCTGGGTATAGTGGCTTATGCCTGAAATCGCAACTACAGAGATTGTGTGGATCATATTTCAAGCCTACCACACACAAAGTACTATTAAGAACCTATCTCAGGGGTGGGAATGTGGCTTAGTGGTACAGTGCTTGCCTAGCATGCATGAAGCCCTGGGTTGGATTCCTCAGTACCACAGAATCAGAAAAGGCCCGAAATGGTGCTGTGGCTCAAGTGGTAGAATGCTAACCTTGAACAAAAGAAGCTCTGAGACAGTGCCCAGGACCTGAGTTCAAGCCCCAGAACTGGCACGCGCGCGCGCGCGCATGCACACACACACACGCGCGCGCGCGCGCAAGACCCTATCTCAATGGGGCACTCCAGTGCCCTCAGCGTCAAAGGAGCCATAGGCAGAAGGATTGAGGTTCAGGTTGGCCCTAAACAAAAACACAAGACCTTATCTGAAAAATAACTAAAGCAAAAAGGCTGGAGCCTTGGCTCCAGTGGCAGAGCTGCCTAGCAAGTATATGGCCCTACATTCAAACCACAATACAACCAAAAAGAGAGAGAGAAAAAAAGATCAACAGCATGCATATATACAAATAATATACAATCAGAAGATATAATGCGAAAAAAATTACTTATTAAAAAATAGTAAAGAGCCGGGCGCTGGTGGCTCATGCCTGTAATCCTAGCTATGCAGGAGGCTGCGATCTGAGGATCACAGTTCAAAGCCAGCCCGGGAGGGAAAAGCCCGTGAGTCTTTTATCTCCAATGAACCACCAGAAAACCGGAAGTGGCGCTGTGGCTCAAGTGACAGAGTGCTCGCCTTGAGCTGAAGGGTTGAGGGACAGTGCCCAGGCCCAGAGTTCAAGCCCCACAACCGACCAAAACCTAAAAAAATAGTAAAATATTTAAACTCAACCAGAAATAAGGAACAACCATGGGTACAATTATCTCTAAAACAACAGTAATTTTAACATTAGTGAAAAGCAATCAAGCCATAGGGAGATAGAAAAGAACCTTAAGTATACAGTGTTAGGCTAAAGAATCCTGTCTGGAAAGATTCCATATGATTCCAATCATATACTAGAAAAGGCAAAACTATAGAAACAATAAAAAGATTGGGCGCTATCAAGGCAGGAATTGCTGAATAAGCAGAGCAGCAAGGCTTTTTAGGACCAGGAAACCATTCTGTATGGTGATATACATGGTCCTACACATCTGTCAAAACATACACAATGTACAACACAAAATGACACTGGTACCAACCCACCAACTTCAGAATTAACAACACTGTATCAATATTGGGCCATAAATTCTATAAAAAGTATGCAAGATGGTTATGATAGAAAAAATTATGGTGGATGAAAAAGTTAGAAATATCTGGGTGACTTCCCATTTATTTTTGCTATGAATCTAAAATTTCTCTTAAAGTCTTTAGTTTTTTTTAAAGCTATAGATAATGTTGCTGACACAATCAGGAGACTTATCGTAGACTACATAAGAATATTTTAACAAAATGAAAGTTCTTGATTTTAACAACAGTAATATGGAGATGTTATTGCTTTAGGAAATATAGTACTATTAAGAGTGCCAAGTTATATATTCAACATACTTGAAAACAATTCAAAAAAACAAATGTATGATGTAATATATAGAAATGACAGCAATTGTTAACAACAATAAATCTAAGTTGAGAGCATATGAGAGTTACTTTTCTGAGATTTCAATCTCTCCCGCTACAAAAACAGTGAGAGGAAAAAAATCATAAAGAAGACATCAATATTACAGCTCATAACTTACAAAAGGGAAATAACAAAAATAAAAATATGTTCTAAGCCTACTGCTACTTAGTATCAGAACTTACCCAAGCACTGTGCCTGTTTCCTGGTAATTGACTTGAATAAACTTGCCAAAACGACTTGAATTGTTATTATGAGCTGTCTTTGCATTTCCAAAGGCCTGACAAAATAAACATCAATTTTTTTAATGAATTTAAGCAATGCTTAGGTCAGTTCTAAGAGTCAAAATGCTAGAGACAAAAAAGAAAGGGAATTGCTACTATGTTTAGATTTATATTCATAGTTCAGATAAAATAAATGAAAGCAATTAGTAGTTGCTAAAAGATCAAGATTTTACTTTACTATTCAATAAAATAATAAAATAAAATAATTTAAACTTAATGTTTATTAATGTTCAGATTTCTCTTTCAAATCATACTAGAACCAGCAGAATATTTTCATGAATTTAATTATATTTATTTATTTATTGGGGGGGAGGTGGTCAGTCAGTTGTGGGGCTTGAAAGGCCTGGGAGCTGTCCCCAAGCTCTTCAAGGATAGTGTCCTACCACTTTGAGCCACAGTACCACTTCTAATTTTCTGGTGATTATTTGGAGATAGAGTCTCACAGACTTTCCTGCCCAGGCTAGCCTCAAACTGTGATCCTCAGATCTCAGCCACCTGAGTAACTAGGGTTGCAGGTATGAGCATCTAGCTCAGCTATACATTTTTTTAAATCTTTCATTACATCCTCTTTTATTTATAATTTTTTTTATTGTAAAGGTGATGTACAGAGAGGTTACAGTTACATAAGTCAGGTACTAAATAAGTACATTTCTTTTTAAATTTTTTTTCTATTGTAAAGATGCTTTACATTTTAAATGGATACATTTGCTTGTAAGTTCTAGCTTGCAAGCAAAAAAGCCACTGGCCTAATATTCACAATATATTTGAAGAGAGAGAAAAAAAAAGAAACAATTACTGTGGTTTTTTCCTATTCATGATATCATGAGAATGACATATATCTGTCTTAACTACAGAAACCTAAACAAGCCATTTACTCAACATCTCCTAAATGTAAAGCATGTGTATGCTAAACTGTACTGTGCAGAAGGCACATACATGGACTGACAAATATTCAAAGATAAACTTAACGGATGCCCTAACCCTACATTTCTATTCCAGTCACTACTAGAGTGCTACTGTGAGTGAAAAGCCAAGAGATAGGCATGAGGTCCTGAGTTCAAATCCTGATATTGGCACAAAAATAAATAAATACACATATACACAGATAAATTTTTAAAAATTGGCCAGGCACCAGTGGCTTGTATCTGTAATCCTAGCTACCCAGAAGGCTGAGATCTGAGGATCATGGTTCAAAGCAAGCCTGGGCAGGAAAGTTCGTGAGACTCATTATCTCCAATTAACTACCAGAAAACCAGAAATGGCGTTGTGGCTCAAGTGATAGAGTGCTCTCCTTTGAGCTGAAGAGCTCAGGGATAGCACCCAGGCCCAGAGATAAAGCCCCACAACCGACAAAAAAAAAGTCTTTCAAGAAAAGGTGCTGAAACAAATGGATATTCACAGGCAACAGTGGGCCCATACTTCACACCATATTCACTCAAAACTGGACTTGAAATGGACCACAGTCTCAAATGCAAACTCTAAAATTATAAAAGAAGAAAAATCTTTGTTTTCATGGGTTAGATAAGGTTTTGTAAAATGTAACACTGAAGGTATAATTCATAACAGAAAAAAAACAGAATTGGGCTATAAATTAAAATTCTGCTCTTCAAAAGACAATGTTAAGAAAGAATTAAACATGGAGAAAATGTATACAAAATATTTTCGTGGTATTCTGTATCACATCAAAAAATGTGCATCCAGCAGTCACAAAAGAACTGACAAAACCCAGCAACTGGGATGGGATATAGCTCAGTGACAGATTACTGAGTATTTAGTATGCAGGCCTTGGGCACAAAAAGAAAAAGAAAGAATAAAAGAGAAAGAAAACAGCTAGGCATAATAAATGTCTCTAATACCAGCACTCAGGAGGCTGAGGCAGAAGAAATTGTGAATTTAAGGCCAGCTGAACTAACTGGAGAGAACCTGTCTCAAATAAATGTAACCTGGGAGCTGGTGGCTCACACTTGTAATCCTTGGTACTCAGGGGGCTAAGAGCTAAGAATTGTGGCTCGAAGCCAGCCTGGGCAGGAAAGTCCATGAGTCTGTCATCTTCAATTAACCACCAGAAAACCAGAAGTGCTGTAACTCAAGCAGTAGAGCACTAGCCTTGAGCAAAAGAGCTCAGAGACAACACCCAGGCCCCGAGTTTAAGCCCCACCACCAACAAATTTTTTTAAAAAATCAAACAAAAGCTGGATGCTGGTGGCTCATGCCTATAATCCTAACTACTCAGGAGGCTGATAACTGAGGATGGCAGTTCAAAGCTGGCCCCAGCAGGAAACTCAGTAGAAAACTCAGTGAGTCTCTCTTTTTTTTTTCTTCCCTTCAGTCAGTGGGGCTTGAACTCTGGGCCTGGGCACTGTCCTTGAGCTCTTCAGCTCAAGGCTAATACTCTACCACTGGAGCCACAACACCACTTATGGCTTTTTCTGTTTATGTGGTGCTAAGGAATCAAACACAGCGCCTCATGCATGCGAGGCAAACACTCTACCAGTGAGCCACCTTCCCAACCCCCACCCCCTCGCCCCCCATGAGTCTCTTATTTCCAATAGGCTACTCAGAAAAAGCTAGAAGTGACGCAGTGTTTCAAGTGGTAGAGCACTAGCCTTGGACACAAAGAGATTCAGAGACAGTACCCAGGCCCTGGGACCAAAAATAAATAAATAAAAATAAAGCCTGGAACCGATGATTCTACATCTGTAATTCTAGCTATTCAGAAAACTGAGACCTGGGGAGCACGATTTGAACCAGCCTGGGCAGATATATCCAAAAGTTTCTTATCTCCAATAAACCACCAAAAAGCCAGAATCAAACCTGTGGCTCTAGTGGTAGAACCTTTAGGGGAAAAAAATCTAAAGAACAGTGTCCAGGCCCTCAGTTCAAGCCCCAGTACCAGCACAGCCTGGTGCTGTCCCTCAGCTCTTCAGCTGAAGGCTAGGGCTCTACCACTTGAGCCACAGCACCAATTCTGATTTTCTGGTGGTTAATTGGAGATAAGAGTCTCATGGACTCTCCTGCCGGGACTGGCTTTGAACTGTGATCCTCAGACTTCAGCCTCCTGAGTAGCTAGGATTACAGGCAAGAGCCACAAGCCCCAGCTAAAAAATAAAATTTTTTTTAAATAAAAACTTGGGCAATAAATTTGGGCAGACACTTCACCACAAAAGATATACAGATAACAAACCGTATAATAGAATGCTATCTAGACCCAAAGTGAGATCCTGCCACATACATATCAAGATAACTAAAACTGAACGAATGACTGTGTCAAGGAGATGAAGTCAGTGGGAACTGTCAGACATTGCTAGTGAGAATATTAAAACATTTAGATAATTATCACTTGTGAAAAGATAAACAGTCCCATATATACCTATTCTATGAGAGTAAACACATCAGTAATTTACTGAAAGCATGTGTCTACCTCAAGACTAGTAGACAATTTATGTGTTATAGTCAAAAACTGAAAGTAAGTCCACACATCCATTAGAGAATGAGTAAAGAAACTGGTACACAATAAAATAATACACCCTTAGCAATAGTCAATTATTGACAAATGCAACAATTATTGGCAATGTCAAAATAAGAAAAACCAAACACAAAAGAGTATACACTATATGATTCAATTTATATAAAACTGTAAAGATAAAAAAAAAATCTGCAATGACAGAAAGCACTTAAGTGGTTTCTTGTATATGTGTGAAGCTGTAAGGTAGGGATAACAGAAAAATAAGCAGAAACTTTTAGGATGATGACTATGATGCTTATTATTTTGACTGTGGAAGTTGTTTCATGGTGTAGACACATATCAAAATTTATCATAATGTACACCTTAAATATGTTGAGTCAGTTTGCCAGGCACCAGCAGCTCACACCTGTAATCCTAACTACTTAGAAGGCTGAGATGAGGGTCAGAGTTCAAAGCAAGCATGGGCAGGAAGTCTCTGAGACTCTTCTCTCCAATTAAACACACACACACAAAGCCAGAAGCGCACCTTGAGCACAAAAGCTTAGGGACAGCGCCCAAACCCTTGAGTTCAAGTCCCAGGAATGGCACCAAAAAAAAAAAAAACCTCACATCAATAACCTCTCTTACTTTACAATACAAACGAAGAATGTCAGTTCAGGTGCACAGGTTAAGGCCACAGAAATAAAAATATCAGCAGGAAGCCACGTGCTGGTGACTCATGTTTATAATTCTAGTTTCTCAGGAGGCTGAGATCTGAGGATCACAGTTCAAAAGCCAGCTCAGGCAGTAAAGTCTGTGAGATTCTTATCTCCAATAAACCACTCAGAAAACAGGAAGTGGCCCTATGGCTCAAGTGGTAGAGTGCTAGTCTTGAGCTGAAGAGCACAGGGACAGAACCTGGGCCCAGAGTTCAAGCCCCATGACCAACAAAAATTAATGTATATCAGCAGCAATACTTTCCCCAATCTAGTTCCACAACCCAATTATAGCCAGGACTCCTGCTGCGTCACTTACTAAGGGGACAACTGATCCTGTCCAGTCTCTTCCTATATCACTAATGACACAAAGCAATGGTTTTTTGTTGTTTCTTTTGGAGGGGAGGGTTGTCAGTCATGGGCTTGAACTCTGGGCCTGAGCCGCTTTAGCCACAGCGCCACTTTCAGTCTTCTGGTGGTTTATTGGAGATAAAGAGTTTCACAGCCTTTCTTGCCAGGGCTGGCCTTGAACGGTGATCCTCAGACCTCAGCCTCCTGAGTAGCTAGGATTACAGGCGTGAGCCACTGGGACACCCGGTTATCTAATTTTTGTGTAGTAACTTTAAAAAATAATAAACAGGCCAGGCTCTGGTGGCCAGCTTGTAATCCTAATTCCTCAGGAGGCTGAGATCTGAGGATCATGGTTCAAAGCCAGCCCGGGCAGGAAAGACCCTTATCTCCAATAAACCACTAAAAAACTGGAAGTGGCGCTGTGGCTCAAGTGGTAGAGCACTCACCTTGAGCTGAAGAGCACTGGGACAGTGCCCAGGCCCAGAGTCCAAGCCCCAGGACTAACCACAAAAAAAAAAAAAAATTACAAAACATTGCTTTTTCTACTTTGCCAATGTCCAGTTTCCCATGGTAACTAAAAGGGTCTAAACTTCTATAGAATTTTAGTATACTTTTATTTCACCTTTTCACATGAAACAATAACTTAAGATATGTTTAAACTGGGCGCCAGTGGCTCAAACTTGTAATCCTAGCTACGCAGGAGGCTGAGATCTGAGGATCACAGTTCAAAGCCAGCCCGGGCAAGAAAGTCTGTAAGACTCCTATCTCCAATAAACCACAAGAAAACCGAAAGTGGTGCTGTGGCTCAAGTGGTAGAGCACTCACCTTGAGCTGAAGAGCACAGGGATATCACCCAGGCCCAGAGTTCAAGTCCCACAACAGACAAAAGATATGTTTAAGAATAATAAAACCGTTTCTATACACTTACCTCAAGTACTGGTCCAGCTCCAAGAATAATTTGCTCTACTCCACTGGCAAATCCTTTCTGACTAAGGGCAGTAAGGTGGTGAATAAGAAAATTTGTGCTTTGAGTCTTCCCAGAACCACTCTCTCCTGAAATTACAATGCACTGATTCTTTTTGCGCTGAAGCATAGCATGATAAGCTACATCTGCCACAGCATATATGTGGGGCTCAAGTTTTCCCAATTGGTGGTTATCATACATTTTGACATATTTGGGGTTATAAATAGGAAGAAATTTGAATGGGTTAATAACTATTAGAATACTGCCAACATAGGTATAAATTTTTTCATGCTTAAAGCGACTTCGTAGGTTTTCTAAGAGAGTTTTCTCATTCAAATCAGGTAAACTACATAAATCATCGAAGTCTTTCTGTTGAGGCTGTGGAAGAAATCCCCTTTCCATCATCCTGCGGCGTTCTTCCGTCACCCGTAACCATGACTGAAGGCTACCATAATGGATTGACCCATCAAGGTTTTTCTCTCTCAGAAGAAAGCGGTAGTCATCTCCACTTATGCGATTTTCCAGAGCCATTCGAGGCCACAGCATCATTCGCTGAACTGGACAGTCTGTAGGGTTGAGTATCCATTCTTCTCCACCAAATTCCTTCACCTCTGCTAAAACATAGCATTTGCTTTTATCTAGCTGAAGCTTGTTTATGAGAGAGTCGATCACCTCAGCAGCAGTGGAGTTTTTTCTGGCAGGAACTGGACAATAAATTGTCCCTTCTGAAATTGTCCCAGGATAGATTCGTAATGTGTGTTCATTATCCTCAAAGCGTCGTCTTCCTCCATCACTTACATTCATATTGGATCCTGTCCCATCAGCATGGATAGTACAAGTTCAAGATTGTGCAAAACATTTTCTTCGCAAAAGAACTAAAACACAAAAAAGCAAAACATTTACAAATCACACTATGCATTACTTTCTAATGTAGACTAAAGGCACAGAAAACCTATTCAATTCAAGTGCAGGGGAAAACTTGTTCAAATCGAGGGAAATAAATGGGCATCACACACATAAAGCACTTTAAACCCCAAAAGATATAATAAGGAAAGCACCACTGCACATCCTATTATAGATAAAATGTTAAGAATAGAGAACAAAGAAAGAATACTGAACACTAGAACAAAAAAGTGCCACGTTACTTACAAAAACAAAACTACTGGAATACTAGCCAGCCCCATAGTCCTGAGAACCATCCACTCATTTACTGTCTACTCTCTCCCCTCTGATTTTTAATGGCACCTTTGCCATGTGGCCAATCCCCTACAGCTATCAGTGTATTCTGAAATCTGTTCCATTTGTCTACCTGTCATCTCTGCAACTATCTTAATTACCACACTTCTATAGCAAATGTTGAAATATGAAGGCCTATTTTCACTCTGTGGTATATTTTGGTTATTTATTATTAGGGAGTGAAGACTTAGCTCAGTGGAAGAACACTGGCCTAGCAAGTACAAGGTTCTGAGAGGTCCTTAGCACCATTAAAAAAAAGGAATTTTAACAGTAGTATATCAACAGCCATGGAGGGGAGAGGGGAAGGGATAGTGGAAGAAAGCCAAAGGAGTGGAAAACAATGAGTACAAGAAATATACTCATGCCAGATGCTGGTGGCTCTCGCTTGTAATCCTAGCTAGTCAGGAGGCTCAAATCTAAGGATCTCAGTTCAAAGCCAGACAGGCAGGAAAAGGAAAGTCCGTGAGACTCTTATCTCCAATTAACCACCAGAAAACCAGAAGTAGGACTGTGGCTCAAGTAGTAGAGGGATAGCCTTGAGCTGAAGAGCTCAAGGACAAAAATTCAAGCCTGACCAGCAAAAAAAGAAAGAAAGAAAGAAAGGAAGGGAGGGAGGGAGGGAGGGAGGGAGGGAGGGAGGGAGGGAGAGAGAGAGAGAGAGAGAGAAAGAAAGAAAAAAGAAAGAAAGAAAGAAAGAAAAAGAGAGAGAGAGGAAGGAAGGAAGGAAGGAAGGAAGGAAGGAAGGAAGGAAGGAAGGAAGGAAGGAAGGAAGGAAGGAAGGGAATGGAACTCTACCTTACTTATGTAACTGTAACCCCTCTGTACAGCACTTTTACAACAACAAAAAAAAGACTATCTCATTGACTCTTCCTATTCACAAACAATACATTTTTCAGTATTTCTTAATGAAAATACACTTTTTCTTTCTTTTTTTTTTTGGCCAGTACTGGGTCTTGAATTCTAGGCCTTGAACTCCAGGCCTCAAACTCCAGGCCTCATGCCTATAAGGCTTGCTTGGACTGGAGATATATCTCCAACCCAAATTCACATCTAAAGTTTCTCATTTTCATATCCTCCTTACCTTCTGTATACCTATTTAGATTTCTTTTTTTACTATCTTTAAGTAGTTATACCAAGGAGTTAATATTTAATAAGGTAGTTTATATAAATAAAATGCATCTTGATCAATATCTCAACATCCTTCCCAACCCACCACTGCTTCCATCACTTTTCTTAATCTTATAGGATATACATTGAATTTTTTTTTTTTTTTGACCAGTCCTGGGGCTTGAACTCTGGGCCTGGGTGCTGTCCCTCAGCTCTTCAGCATAAGGCTAGCACTCTACCATTTGAGCCACAGCACCACTTCTGGCTTTTTCTGCTTCTATGGTACTGAGGACTCAAACCCAGGTCTTCATGCATGCTAGGCAAGCACTCTACCACTAAACTACTATTCCCAGCCCTCCATTGAATTCTTCACTGCATTCTTCCCCCTTCTCATTATCCACCCCTCTCTCCTTGACTCCACCTACTCTTCAAGTTTCCTGATGTTTTGTTTCCTCATTCATCTCTGATAATCCTAAATATAAAATTTAATATTTTTCACACCAACATTTTAATGTTGGATTCAGACTAAATTACTCTTTAGATTATAACTGTATTTTGCATTTTCTTTAGCATGAGATGGTGTCACATGTTTAATAATTTCACTTTGCTGGTGCACTTCAGATGCAACTTTTTTCACACAAACACCTATTCCACTTGTTTCAAATATTGACATTATCACTTTACTTCTAAAGATAACAATTTTAATATTAAATAATCAGGTTCAGTTAGTTTTCCCAGTTATCTCAGAATATCTTTCATGTAATTATTCTAGTGGCATCAGGAGACTCTGTGGTAAGTGCAGAGATGCCCTGGGGTAGCAGGTTGTTAGACATAAAGCTATGTTGGTGTTCTTCTGAACCCTTAAGTACATAGCTTCATATAAGCAATCGTCTTTGGCAGCTGGCAGCAACAAAGCTACTCTCTGCAGCCAGGGGGCTATGCCCTGTACCACCACCATCCCAGGAGACATGCTGAATAACTATAATTTGATACTCAAAGAACTAAACGCAGAACCTCCTTTGCAACAGAGACCTATCCTGGCCCATCATTTTCAGCAATGAGCCCAACTCCAACAAGACATCCTCATTACCTTCAAGCAATCTCAGCTGCTATACCAGCCACTGGTCCCACTCACTGTATAGGGTTCTATAGTCCCTTTCTGAAACACATTTATCTTTTTTTGAACTCCAATGTCAGCACAGTTTTTTGTTATTGTTGTTGGGGTGGTGGAGGCGTGACGTGCGGGGATTTGTTGTTGGGTGGGTTTTTTTTAGATGGGGGAGGTGGTTGGGGAGATAATGGGATTGAACTCAGGGCCTTGTACTTGCCAGTCAAGCACTCTACCAGTTGAACCACACTTCCAGCCCCTTTTTTGCACTGGTTATTTTTGGAGTACACTGCTGTTTTATGCCTAGGGCAGGCCTTGACTCCAATCCTACTACTTGTGCTTCCCCATGTTGATGGGGATGACAGGAGCATCTTAGTTGAGAGGGAGTCTCACAATCTTTTATGCCCAGGCTGGCTTCAAACCACAATCCTTCTATCTAAACCTCCCAAGTATCTAAGATTACATGCTTGGACCACCATACGAAGCCTCTAGATGTTTTTATTAGTGTTTCATGTTGAAAAAAAAAGGTCTCAGTCTCCTGATTATCTAGGATTACAGATGTAAGCTACCAGTGCCTAGCTAGAACATGGAATTTTAAAATAAAATAAGAATACTTGGTATTTAAATTATCAAAAAGTCATGAAAAAAACGTAAGCTAAAAGTGATAAATCATTGAAATTAATGATAATCTTAATATAGAGATATACTATGATCAAGAAAAGGAGAATTTGGTATGACTAAAATGCAGATTTTCTCCAAATTGACTGTTGGAGTCAATACATTCCTAATCAAAGCCTCAACAAATTTACTTTCTGGATATTGACAAACTTTAAGAAGGGTAAGAAGTTTATATGGATAGTTTAAAGGAAATCCAGAATAACTAACACAATATAAAGAAAACAAGGCAGAACACTACAGAACATCGAACTTACTATAAAGCTACATAATAAAGACAGCTGGTACTAGAAAAATCCAAATGAGCCACAAAACAGAAAAGAGACATCAGAAATAGACCCAACAAATAGTCAACATAGACTATGGTGCTTCTATTGGAGCTCAGAACTCAAGGCCTGGGCACTGAGTTTTGTGCTCAAGACTGGCCCTCCACAACTTGAGCCTTGGCTCCACTTATAGCTCTTAAGAATCTCTCAGACTTTGCTGCTCAAGCTGACTCGGAACCATAATCCCAGATCTCAACCTCCTAAGTAACTAGGATTACTTGTATGAGCTACCAGTGCCCTAGCTAATAGAGTTTTTGTTGTTATTTTTTGTTTTGTCATTTTGGCAACACTACAGTGTGAAGTCCAAGCATTCTGTTTCCTTCACAGGCATGGGCATTATCACTTGAGTCATGATCCCATCCTGAGATTGGACAAAGAAACAAAAACAAGCTTGTATAAAACACAGGAACCAGTGGTTCAAGCCTGTAATCCTAGCAATTCAGGAGGCTGAGATCTGAGGATCACAGTTCAAACCCAGCCTGAGCAGGAAAGCTCCTGAGATTCTTATCTCCAATAAACTACACAGAAAAGGCCAGAAGTGGCACTGTGGCTCAAAGTGGTAGAGCGCTAGCCTTGAGCACAGAAAGGCTCAGGGACAAAACCCTGAGGTCAAGCCCCAGGACCAGCAAAAAGAAAAAAAAAAAACAAAAAAACATAAAGCTATACAACTCCAAAAAAAAGGAGACCAGAGTTATGGTGGATTAGAAATTAGGAATAGAGGGCTGGGAATGTGGCTTAGTGGTAGAGTGTTTTGACTGGCATTCATGAAGCCCTGGGTTCAATTCCTCAGTACCACATAAACAGAAAAAGCCTCAAATGGTGCTGTGGCTCAAGTGGTAGAGTGCACTAGACAGTGAGCAAAAGGAGCTCAGGAACAGTGCTCAGGCCCTGAGTTCAAGCCCATGGACTGGCAAAAAGAAAAAAGATATGCAAAACAGAAGTTATGCAACTCATCTCTCCCCTATTCATTCTTAGTTCAATACAGTAAGTAATAGAATTCCTAGCCAGAGCAACATGACAGGAAAAAGAAACAGAGAGTCAAATAGAGAAGAAAGAAATCAAATTATCCATACTGCAAAGGATATGATTTCATACTTAAACTCTACTGACTACACCATCATCTAGATATCATAAATACCATCAGAAATCTAGCATGATATAAAATCAGCTTTATATACCAATAATGAGAAAGAAATAAAAAATTACATTCACAATAGTCTCAAAAACAATAAAATATCTAAGTGTCAACCAAAGAAGTGAAAGACCTCTACAATGAAAACTATAAAACGTTGAAGAAATAAATGGAAGGTAATAAAAAATGGAAATATCTACCATGCTCATGGACTAGCAGAATCAATATAATGAAAAATAGCCATACTGTCAAAAGCAATTTACAGATCCAATGCAATATCCAAAGTCTCAA